ATGTCGAGCCCCCCCTCTAAAGAAAGACTTCCGGAGCCTCTGCGCTGCAGAACCCAGGGAGCCTGAGCTCAATCCCCACCTCTGCCCATTTCGATCTGGATGATCATTAATTGTACCGGCGTGCGGTCATGTATCACCACTGCGTGGTGCACGTTCAAGACCCCAGGCTATCAATTGTATTGCATTGGCTAGATTGCTCATCTATAGCTGAGAGACAAGTCGCTCGTTGAGGCAGACTAAGTTGAGGCTGTATAAACATACCAACAACCGTTTTTTTTTTTTGTTTTTGGCAGTAAGTAGTTGTCTGACTTTTGCCCCGATACATTTTGACATCATCTGCAAACTGCAGCACCTATGAATGCTGCAGACTATCTGCCAGATCATAGACAAGAATGTTGAACAACAGCAGCCCAAGACTTTGCCCCTGAGGCATTTCAGTATTTGAAACGTACGATGTAGTTTGGTCTGTTTGCTCTCACCAAGATAACTTGACAACCAACTACAAAACGAGCTAGTCATGCCCAATGCTGACATTTTTTAAGGAACAACTTATGATCTACAAGATCACAAGCTTTCGTGCATTCGAAATAAACAGTGTCAACTTGTACACGAAGAAAAATTCCGAGAACGCCCAAGCAGTTGTGAATGCAAAAACATTACGTTCTGTCTCCTAGCGCGTTGCGCCACTGCTCGCCGTGTATTTGGAGACTTGGCAACGATGGTGGATTTAGCTGCCTGCCTCTTCGCTCGTTTTGTTGGCCACGTTTCACTACTGCAACTACTGCCGAGGTTGTGGCCGCCGCCGACCATCCCGTTCACCGGGCAAAAGTGTCCCTCACTCGGCTGCCGCCATGTTGTTCAATTTTGATTTTTTTGAAATTTTGATTTTGACCACTAGACACGTGATCATAACAAGTCCTGAGGCTTTTGCGCAAAAATGAGCCAAGATCTGTATTGCGATCGCTGTAAAAAATATAGTAAACTATTTTTCTCAAGCTGTTAGCCTCAGAGATCAGTGTCGAGCTCGGCGGCTGACGGGTCGGCATCTAGCGGAAGCATTGCGAAGCTGCCCGAGTTTTTGTCATAAAAGCACATTTTGGACCAAAAAATTGTTTTGGACACTGAGCCCCCCCCCCCCCCCCCCCCCCCCCCCCCCCCCCCATCCCCCCTTTTTGTTTCATTTCTTTTACAGGCCATTCATTATGGTTGTCAGAAGACTACCCGATCAATAGTTCGCTGCAGCGTCACGTTTATTTTTATAAAGTCAAAAAACGCAACTTCTCGAAACCGAAACCGGACTGGGAAGGAAAAAGAAATGTTCAAGAGGAGAGAGAGTTGGCAGAAATCACGTGGCTCTGCAACATTTTTTTGTCTCCAATCAGCGCATTTGCGGCCATTTAGAAGCCACAAAAATTTGGTATATTTAATTTTTGTTTTTAATATTGAGTGAGTGCGTTCGATGACCCACAACGTTGATTATATTCCGTAATTGTGTCTAAACCATTGAAAGCGCACGTGAACACGGAGAAGAGAGTGAGCGCGACTCAAACCAGCCAGCTGTCGATCGGTGATTTTCGGGCGGAAGAAATTCTGTTTTGGGTAATTGGGCTCTCATCTGTCATGTACAAATGAAAACCTTGACGAGCATAAGCACCGTCAGTGTCCCTTTAAAACAGACGAAACATAACTTATCTCGTCGGTACTGTTATTAAAGATCAATAAACAATTATTTGTGCACGGTACTTCGTTACTGGAGCAGCATTTTACTTCACACTAACGATTGTATTTTTAACTTGCAGCACTCGCAATCCAGAAATGAACTTGATTCAGCATCGTTAGACGGTTTACAAAATACCACACACACAGCTCATCACTGATATCAGTGGTCTGGCTGATTATCAAGTGCACGTGACATGAAGTTTGAGTGCGGCTCGCCTAATCGTGATTGGTCAACCGATTGCACACAACCATATGAGCCGCGCCTCAAAGATTTTCAATCTTACCGTCTTGTACTTTCAATCTCGCCGTCTTGTACGTTTGCCTTCGAAAACCATCCTCGCTCCACAGCGTTGCTCTATTTGTGCTGCCATGTAATCCATTCGAGTAGATCTGGAACATTGCCACAACCGAACAGATTGTATTCCACCTTTAACTAATAGCAAATCGCCGGAACAGCTGGACTGTCCAGAACTTTGTACCTGATATATGATGCAAAAACATCTACGCGCGACACACTTACCAAGTTTTTCCCGCAGTGCCGATTCTTGATCGGTATCCAAGCGCGTGAAGGCAGAGACGCAGCACTTCAGCGTGCCAAGGAAGCTTTGATCACGCCGCAAGACCAGCGAAACTTACTTTCAATGAGTTGTGGTTTTTTTCTACGGCACTGCACTTTCGTAAAAATTTTCACGTGTTCTCAACAGCAAGTCTCAACATTTACACGCGGTTTTAAAAAACGTCTTCAACGAATAACGACGAACGAGTAGAAAACGTGTTTTCAACACGCTGCCTCTGCAACGCTAGCAAAAGCGCAATTTCGCTGCATGCAAGATGGTTGTCCGGTGGCCGCACTCGTGGTGCGGGGTTGCGCGATTTAAGCGAGTTCGTTTCACTACACGCGCGCCCACCAGTGGTGGAGTAACTGTATAGTCTCTGCTTGCACAGCAAGCGTAGCATATACAGTCACTCTAACTAGTGGTGCCCACGCGTGCCGACCAACATTACTAGATTACCTAGTTACTTCAGTCCGCCTTCCGTGGTTTGAAGCGCCACCTAGATTCTTGTTTCATAACTGTGTGTTCTATAGAGCTAGTGTCACTGAACAACTTTTCAGAGTACCACTTTCGCATTCGCCAATCCTGATCACGTGGACGGAAGTGCCGCCATGGAGCATCCTGCTACACCAGCGCCACTTACTTCCGTGCTTTCCGGCATTTCCAGTTCCAGTAGATTTGAATTTGGGAGCGTTTTTTTTTTCATGTGGATCAACAGGATCGAGCGATAAGGTGATAATGCCTGGGTGCTGCGCCAAGGGCTGCAGCAATAGGGCAGAGTTTCGGAAAGCATTGTTTAACAATCCTCAACAAAATGCAGACCGAGAACAATAAAACAAGTGGTTGCGCGGCATCAATCGAACGAACTTCAAACCCACCAAGGTCGCATTTCTGAAAGCATAAATAATTTTACTTCATGTAAACACTGTTTACTGCTTTGGTCCTGCCGAGTACTGTTGCTCTGTATGGTGCCCATTCCAGGCCCAACTGGTCGACAGACTCGAAATCGTGCAGCGTCAGGCCACATGGACTCTATTTTCACATGCCGGGCCAGCGTGCCCCTGCACCCCTGTGTGAGGCTCGGCTTAAGGCTCTTGGGTGGCAGAGCCTTTGGCGCCGCCGGACTGTGGATCGGGCTGGTCTGCTGTGTCAGCTGCTCGACGTCGGTTCTATGGAGGGCACTCCTCTTAGCTCCGACATCCAAATAGGGAAGCGATCCGGCCAGCCAGGTCCACAGCTTGCAAGCAATGTGCCCCACACTAACTCTGCGCTCCCGGCTGCCCTTAGGGACTTCTTGGCCGCACCCTTGTCCGTTTGTTACCCCATCCCTACTGAACGGACAGAATCAGCTGCCCTTTGCCCCGCTTTCTCGCAATCCTTTCTAGCGAGTAGGTACATGTTGTTCTTATGATGTTTCTGTTATGTTTTTCTCCTTTCTTTTTCTCCTGCCTCCAGTGGTTGGCTAGCAGACGCACAAGCGTACGGGCTTTCGTCTTTCTGTTCTAACCGGGCAAGCCACTCGGGGTAAAACTTCTCTCCAAATAAAGATAATTATTATTAATAGATTATAAAAAGAGTGACAGGTGAAGTACCAGTTGGAGGCACAACAGGGAGAATGCTATTCAAGGTCTTCAAGCTTTATTCACCTCTAAAACACAGGGCAGAAAAAGTGAACAACCAGAGCACTTCACAGGTCTAAACTGAAAACAAATAAAAACGTCTTTTCAATGGTACTCGGGACTTCTTGCAAGCATGCAAACCGGGGAAATCCCTTTTCCTCGTTCAACGAAGTCTTTGGAACACTACCAATAAATTGGCTCAACCGCTCGATGAACTTACGACTTCAGCGTCGTAATAATGAATTCACAAAATGGTAATGATGCTCGTACGATCGATGAACGTGAAAAAGAGTTCCGACAAGCTCGGCCGTGTCGCACTCGAACGCCAGCCTATTTGTGCACACACGCGCATGAAGTGAAACCACGATGGGCACCGAATGCAACCCCGGATGCCACAATGCAGGCCACTGGAACGGCACACAGAATGTTTCGGCACGTCGACGACACCTACTCGATGTGGAATCAAGAGTACGCACAGAGATGATACAGGGTGTTCTGGCACAATCCTTCCATCCTGACGTAGTCGCGCATGCCCAGAGTGCTTCGTCCGCACCTTGCCTAGACAGTGTCAATATGGGCCTTGCCAACTTTCAACAGACAGTATCACCGAAGCCCACACTATTGGCGTAGGCTTACACTGCCAATAGTCAAGATTGAAACTGCAAATTCATGCATTGGACTTGCAGTCTAGGAAATGCGCTTGCAGATTGTGTCTTCTCCAAATCTAGGCCCCAAAAAAACGTGACGGTCTTTACACGCCGCTTCTCGTGTACGTGCACCATTACTTTGACCGCTCATTCACAACCACTGGATCTCCTTCGTAAGATTTGAGGTTTTGCAAAACCAGACGCTGGGAATGTAGTCTCTTGTAGTGTGTGGCCACCTTCCACTTGCTTGCGGTAGGCACCTCCCAAGCCACCACTAGGGTGCCGGGATCGCAACCGGCGACACCATGACAGCTCTGTGACTGACCACTTTTGAGAAGGCCGTAAACATTGGTCGAGGACGTGTTCTGCGCACCATACTGCCACTTCCGTACGACCCACAGCTCGGCCAGTCGTGTCCTCCGACCCCACACCCGTAGCCGTTTCTGCAGCCGCATCACCGCACGCTCCGCGACCTCTCCTCGCCGCTCGAAGCCGCCCTAGAGTCTGTCGAACCGTAGTCGAAGCCACCAAGGAAGACCTCGTAGAACTGCACACGCTGGCTGTTAGCTCCTTGTGGACCCATGGCTTCCTGCAGATAAGGAAGTCTATGACTGGCACTGAAATGGCGGCCGACCGGAGAGGACGGCGGCAGACCCGCTTGACTTGGCCGGAGGGGTTCGAAATTTAGTAGAACCATCTCGTGCCCTTGCAGCACCCTGTACCGTACACATTTCTTTGAAAATGGGTCGACCATTTCGTAGCAAAGCCTTCACACGCACCACATTTAATGGGACCCAGGACAACCGTAACGAATAAAGCCTACGTGTCAACTTTCACTCAGAGCGGGTACGGAAAGAACCATTGAACTTTACAGACAAAACCTTGCGTCTGCGGCCCAAAAAGTTGCTGTGCTAAGGTACAGAACTTGGAATTTGCCTCCAACTGCTGTGTTTAGTGTTCTATTCCGCCCAAGCATCTAAAGCGATCACGACATGACAACAAATGACGTTGCAAAAGCCAGAGTGACATGCTCTCAGATGTCACAATCCTAGCAAATAGGTGTGAAAGTCCCGTAGAAAACAAAAAAAAACGAGAGATTTCAAGTGTGGTTGCTGAGGCGGTGTTCCAAGTCCTTGCTGCCAGGGCTTCCATAAACCTTCTAGCTGGCAAGAGACCAGCGGTGGAATGGGTGTCTCCCACACCCAGCTCCTCCGCTGCGTCACCAGCAGCATTACGGCAGGTGACAGCACAACACTTCTACTGCTGCGCCGGATAGGCGCCTTCCGGGGCACATACCCTGGAGGTATAATGCAACGGAAGGAACCTAGACACAACGTTACTCGTAGCCTTAGCTGCGCTCCGAGCCAAAGGGACCATCAAATGATTTTTGCAACTCCTTCCTCCTTAGCTTTTCTCTTCAACTCCAAAGCAAAATGAGCCACCACATGGTTGTGACGCGGTATTTCGCCGGACGCGATGACCCCAAGTTTCCATCCTGCTTTCTATGCACACCATGAAACTTGTCATTCGCAAGTGATAATAAGTGCCGTCAAGGCACTCCTTGGCTACTATCGTGAATCCAAACATTTGTCGACGGACTGACTGTTGACGAGTGAGTGAGCTGGGTTCGGCTGACCTGCTTGGGCACCGCGGATGCATCGCAGTAAAAAGGCGGAGAGCTACCAAAGGAAAGGAGGTCACAAACAATCCGCTGTATTTTCGTACCGAAAAGCAGGCTTTTGGCTTTCTACCCTCGTGTACAAGTTTTATTTTGGCACAATAAAAGATGGGCAATTAGTAAAAATCCCAATCTAAAATCATTTACCCAGCCCCAAATTAAAATCATGGTCCTTTTAACATAAAATAGTGTACAGAAGTGCTCTTTTGACCCCAGTGCCTGTGACGGCTGATTCTCACATCCAATAGACCTTTTTCATATATGCGCGCCATCTGTCGGAAGTTGCGCCAAACCTTTTCCGCGGTCTCGAACGTGTCGACCCACGTTTGATGTGACAGGCGGAGCGCTGCTACGGCAAAGTGATGCAGCGCTACTACCGTGTCTCGCTGCGCAATCAACGAAGCAATGAGAAGCCAACTAAAGTGAATATATGGATTGCGTTTGCGTTTCTTTTTAACCTGAACTTCTCACACCGAATATTGGAATGATTGTAGCATTTTGCCGGGACTATCCAAGTGGTGAAATGGCAAAGTCCGTGCCGCCTGCTTCTACTGAGGGCTTTGTCAAACTCTCTCGATATATGAAGCTCCCCATTGTTGTATTGATGGCCGGTCAAGGCTGTTTCCCAGATTTGTGCCAGTTGCGTCCGCAGCAACCAAAAGGACGTAACAATAAAGACACTGGGACAACTGCGGTTAGTGGTTCTACGAGGTTGCTCCTTGCGCTTGTCACGTTGTTTGCGGAAAAAAGCTTTCCTGGTGACTAGATTTTCGGTGTTTTTCGGTCATTCTGAACAAAGCCGATGACACCTTCAGAATCAGGCTCGCTAATATAATACATACTTAAGTACCCAACGCCTCCACCACATCCCAGAAAACCGATGACATCGTATGAACTAGCCCGGAGAAGGCTATGCAGGCAGAGCAAGAACGGTGGAAAAGCCTAAAAGATGGCGTGGAGGAACGACAGTTTGCGCGTCCGCCGAGAGATGGCGCCAATAATGAATAAAGTCTAAAAAAACCGTAAATTGCAAAAAAAAAAAGAAAGAAAACGCACAAAATTCTACAGTAGAGTCGCAGCAATGGCTTGGACAAGTCACGGCGAAGTCGTTGGGCATCGGCGTTCTTGGGATGGGCATAGAAAAGCGTTCGGAAAGAAACAGACGCATGTTTTGTTCCGAAAGTTTTTGCTTTTTGTTTCTTCTTTGGTGGAGAGCATGTGATACTGCATCTCCCAGCACAAGCTCTTGGCATTGACAGTGTTACAACAAAATTTTGTTGTCGACCATTTTTTGTTTTTGTTTTGAAGAGTGTGTGCAGAGGGCGTTGGTCAGTACAAAAACCCCAAGTTTACAGCAGGTTTTACACTGTGGTTTAGCTCTATGGTAATGCCTCCGCTTCGCATGCAGCGGACCCAGGTTCGATTCCCGTGGGCAATGGGCAATCTTTGTTGAGGATTTGCCAACGTCGACAATGGACATACCTGCCCCCGAAAAATCTCCGGAGCGTCGACTTCCGTCGGATCTTGGGGCTCTGCACACAGAGGTGGTTTCAGCATTCAGAATCGCACCTAGCTGTGAAATGACTCAGACAACAGACCAATCTTAACAGACACCATTGCGTTGCCACGTTGTTGGGCCCCTTTGGAAACCTGCGGCTCTGCAAAAGACGAGCTGGAATTCAACCTGTTGCCAGTGATTGAATGTCAAAGTTGCTAGTTTAAAAAAGTACAGACCTGGATTCGTGTGGAATGCAACCTTCGTCACGTCCGTGTAATCTCGTGGTTCACCTGAAGGGAAAAAGATCTGACACGAGACATAACATTCTGACTACATGTTCCCATTACAGAAAGAAATGCTATCGGGAACATACCTTTCGTAAGAGCTGGCACTGGGTTCCTAGGTTCCCAAACTTCCTCGTAACATTCCGGCTCTGTGAGTCAAGAAGAAAGTGTGATCATTTTCAATAAAGGTAATGCTTTGTAAGACCCAGAGTAAAAAACCCCCAAAAAACAAGCACCAATTCTAGGACTGACCTGATTTAACAGATACAAGATGGCTGCTAGGCTCTTCGTCCTGTTCAACATATTCTGGTGGCTCTGCAAACGCAGGGACGGCAGCGTAACATATTTATTTGTTTATTTATTTACCCTCAAGGCCCCAAAGGGCGTTGCAGAGGGGAGTGGAAGAGAGTGGGGGGGAAAAAGGTGACAATGGTACAGTTGTTCATACAATGAAATATAATGTAGTAATTAACGCTTGCTCAGACATTTCAAAAATAAGTTATAAAATGTTATAACAGTAATACCAATTAGAAAATGGATCATCAGAAAATGACAAACAAGGCATTTTTAAAATCAATAGTACTGGTTATGGAGACTATGTCAGCGGAAAGGCAATTCCAATCAGAGCTAGTGCGAGGAACAAAGGAATTATAATAAGTGTTAGTTTTTGTAATTGAAAATACCGACTTTGTTCTGAAAACATTAGTAGGTGGAGTTAGAGGTTCACGGTGCATGAAAGGGTTATTATGATAAATCTTATGAAATAAAGTCAGGCGGAATATGCGTCTACTGTTCATTAGTGTAAGTAAACCAAGGCCATGTTTCATTGAAGTAATGCTGGAAACGGTGTAATTACAGAGAATGGAACGTGCCGCGCAAATTTGAACTGGTTCCAACGTTGCAATGTTAGTGTTGGTATGACCGTGGTCCCAAATAAAACATGCGTTTTCAAGCTTTGTACGTACTAAAGTAGTATATAAGAGAAGTTTTAGTGACACTGGTGACTGTGAGAAATTTTGTTTGAGATATCTAAGCATGCAATTGGCGTTGTTAGTTATGTAGTTAGTGTGAGTTTCCCAGGAAAGATCAGAAGTTATGTAAACACCTAAGTATTATTACGAGGACGCAGACTGCAGCGGATGTCGTCGATGTAGTAATTCGAGCATATGTTAGTATGACGGGAAACTCTCACGGATTTACATTTATTAAGGTTGAGTTGCATCAAACACTTGTCGCACCAGTCAGATGGGAGGACGGAGATGCCCGGAGTTATTTGTTATTTCTTTATATACTACACAATCATCAGCAAATAAATTGATATTAGAGGGGATACATTCAGACAGATCATTAATATGGATGAGGAAAAGTAGTGGACCTAAAACAGAACCCTGGGGAACTCCAGATGCTACGGGAGAAAGTGGAGTTAGTAGCATTGGCATGCACAAATTGATAATGGTTGGTTAAAAACGATTCTATCCAGCGTAGCATGTTTGGATCAATGTTGAGCTTACTAAGTTTTAATAGGATAGCCGGTGAGGAACTTTATCAAAGGCCTTAGAGAAATCAAAATCAACAAAAAAGCAGTCTATCTGGGAGCCATGGTCAAGGACAGAATGAAGCTTATTAGTGAAGAGCAGAAGCTGTGTTTCGCAGGAAAATTATTTGCGGAAGCCGTGTCAAGTAGGATGAAAAAAAGAATCTGATTCTAGGAAACATGCAAAGTTAGATTATATGATATGTTAGAGTATCTTACAAGAAATGGATGTTAAAGAAATGTGCCGGAAGTTATTCGGTGAGGAGTGGTCACCACTTTTACGAATTGGAGTCACCTTTCCAACTCTCTAGTCTTTGGGAAGGCAGCCTTCCTCCAATGATTGCTTAAAAATCACTGATAGTATAGTTGATGAATATGGCTTTGTGTTCTTCAAGAATTTAGAGTTAATATTGTCAATACTGGACAAAGAAGAGAGCTTGACGTTGTTAATTATTGCAGCTATACATCATTGGCAAAAAGTCAGGGCCAGTAAAGTTGGGGTACAAAGAAACATGGGTGGAAGAAAAAGATTGTATAAATATATCGCTTAGCAATGATGCACACTCATCTTGCCCTACCCGTTCCCCATCTATGTTTGCAAGCTTATGCTAAAACGCCATGAAAACAATACTGTTACGAGATCCTAAAAGGAAGCTTAGCTTGAGATGTTTGGCTTGTGCCAAGATGTGAAGGAAGGAACTACATGCCTATGCTTAACTGTTGCGATAGATACTATGCCCTGGACGCTCTTTACTAAAAAAATTTAAAAAAAGGGACCAAGGGACATTTCAGGTTATGCTGCAATTAAATAAAGCTATAAAACATCTGTGCTAATAATTTTTCTAGCATTAAGAAATGCCACAAAATCTACCCTGTTCAATTCTTTCTGGATTTGTCGGTTGCAACAGTCTTTTATGCATTTGTCATTTTTCAACCAACTCTAAACCTTTTTAGTCGGTGCAACTTTGCACCAACTATAAAAATATAGTTGGTGCAATAATTGCACCAACATTGAACAAAAATATTAAGATGCATATAGATCCTTTTAAGTAATTAATATAGGAGCATTAAAATATACTACCTTATTTTGCTTTAAAACTCTGCAACAAAAACAGCTCTAAATCAACAACACCCAGTGTCTTCGGGAAAAGACGTAAAAATTCAGGAACGAGACAAGCTGAATTGTAAATGTTTCTCCGTTATTTGCAAAAAAGTTATTTTAAAAGAATATTTTGTACCATAAGTCTTATGTCGCAGTTTTAAGTGGGGAGGTTTCTATCAAAAAAGAATAGCAGTTCGTCTTTGTGTAATGTAAAAAAATGAATTTTCACGAATATCGCAACTTGAAATAGAACGCAAAAAATTTATCACACAAATATATCACCGCATGGTACTTAATGCAATATCTATTGCTCCAAATCCCAAAATTTTGCACCCGCAAAATATTTTCAAAGTTTGCACTTTGCAAAATTCACAAAATGTTTAACCTGCTAACATAAAGTCGCTAACAGTATATTACTCTGGCTTCTCAAGTTATGGTGTTATTGAATTATAACAACTATGATTAACACACAAAGCTAGAAGCTAGACAACCTAGACTTGTACACAAGTCTAGGTTGTCAATACATCTGATAGCTTTGTTTTGTAAAACAAGTAACTTGCAACAAGATTTTGTTACTGTTCCTGACCAATAAATTTACTAATAACGATGGACAAATAATAGTTCACCACAATGCATTCTACAATCATCCTCCATTCCAGAAACGGGCAACTGGCCACTCCTAATTTTAGCATTTGTGCATATGGCACGTGCCTCGCATGCATTACGAAGCAAAAAACATCTGCCTGCCGGGCTTTGACGATCACGCGCTGGGCTGCGATTTTGTGGACATTGGCACGGTGCACTTGTTCCACGTGTTTCGTTGTAGAAACCTCAAATGCTGGTAGTCCCTTTAGTGCTAGATTTAATCTGAAATGACCCGCTACATTATGCAAAAACAGCTCGCACAGCAACCCACCCTTCTTGATAGTAACAGCCGTCATCGCAGTGTTGCCACCGGAACCGTCCAACCCTGCAAGGGGAGATGGCAAGAGGCTGCGATTAATGCAAAAATACGCACTGAAAAAATTTGTGTCATTAACGCCAATTCGAAGCACAGAAGTGCTTTGCCACCATTAATAATGGAAAGATCACGTTGATGCTTGTATGCTAATACACTTGCAGGTATTTTCAAAAGCTTAAAGCTCTCCATAAAGAGAAGCACGAAAAGTCTTAGTGCGCAAGACATGAAGGCTCCAGCAACCAATAACGCCAACCCATCCAACTGTCAGCCACGCAAGATAGACATAAATGTGCAAGTTCACCTGAGACGTGTTCCAAAACTTCCTCAATCTCACTTTAGGGCAACGGTTTTGTACCTCGGGGTTCAAAAACCTACCTGCGTCTAGCATTGCTCTGTCTTGTCACGTGACAGGAGCAGCCAGATTAACTGTGATCTATTCGGGTAAGATTTGGAACACAGCCCTAGTCTAGCCTTCGCCAGAATAGTCCTACCTGATCATGCTGACAAAGACCGATGAGCACAGAATCTGTCATAAGACTTCCAGTCCTATCACAGATTCTTACGGCATGATGGGCCTAAAAGGGGCACTGACTCGTCAAAATCATTATTTTTTTCATTATCAGAAATGACTGAAAACGATACCTGGACATTATCCTCAAAATGCGAAACTTGTGAAATCAGTATCTGTGAAGTAAAAAAACTACTTCCAGATACCGAATTTGAAGTTCGCGTGCGATCCGCGGCAGTGCAGCGACTACCCATATTGAGCCGTCCTGTGAGTTCGAGTTTCTCTGACACCTCCGAACCTGCGTCACAGCTAGCTGTTGCTGCCAGCCAATACAGTAAAGTGTTGCACTAAAACTTTACAGAACTGTATACAGAAATCAGCTAATAAAACAAAATATGTGTTTAAAAAAAAAAAAGAATCTAACGGAAAGAACAATAGCATGGAAACATACCCATCCCCGTGGAAACTGCCTCGGTGCAGACCTCTGTAGGATCTGGCGGCTCTGCACACATAAGTGATTCCAACATTTAGAGTGGCACCTACCCATAAAATGCTACGAAGACAACAGACCAATCTTAACAGCCACTGCCGTGTTGATCTGTCGTAGTCTCTCTTCGGACACCTGTGGCTCTGCAAAGAATGTGGTCGGATTCAACGTGCTGTTGGTGATTGAACGCCGAATTTGCCAGTTTAATAAAGTACACACCTGCATTGAAGTGGAAGGTGATCTTTGTAACGTCCGCGTAATCTGGCCATTCAGCGGATAGAAATGAAAAAAAGTCATGAGAAAATGTTCAGAAATGTTCCTAGCCCCAAAAAGAAATGCTATTAACAACATACCTTTCGTAAAAGTTGGAACTAGGCTGTTAGGCTCTCGAACTTCCTCGTAAAATTCTGGCTCTGCAAGTACAAAAAGGATTGAGATTCTATTCAATAAAGATAATGTTAAAAAAAAAACTATGGAGGCATTAATTTTTTGACAGACCTGATTTAACAGACACAAGATGGCTGCTAGGCTCTTTGTCCTGTTCAACATATTCTGGTGGTTCTGCAAGTGGAAGCACAGCATAGTGAAATTTTAGCTTATGCTGAAACACAATGAAAACACTATACGATGCCAAAAGCTTAAGATGTTTCGCTTGCGCCAAGATACGAAGGAAGGGGGGCTAGATGCTTTACACTGCTTTTTAAACAAAATATATTTAAAAAAAAAACCTTTTTGAAATTTTGTTTTTGGAGTTTAGCAGGCACTTATCATCTTGTCCTGAAGTATTCTTGTGAAATAAGTCCCTCTTCCCCTGAAACATTGACTTGGAAACGTAAAATCGGTCTGTGCATGCTCTTTTGCTATTACTGTAAAACCCTTTAAAAAACCCCTGAAAAAGAAACAAGTTTTTTTTTTTTTTTTTTTTTTTTTTTTTTTTTTAACAATCAGGTTGGGACACGCGTGTCAAGAAATTAAATTTATGCGAGAAAAGATTTTATCCTGCAATATTAAAGGTGCGAGAAACGGTTTAGTTGGCAGTCACCTCCTTTCCACTTGTTTCCTCTCTCGGCCTTTCAGGCGTGTGGAGGAGTGGTGGATCGGCTTTGCCCTCACGTTGAAGTGGAAAGACCGAATGACCATTCCGTAATGTCATGGACTTTGCGCGCAGAATTTCAAATAAATCTCTCCAAAAAATATTGCTCTAAAAAGAGTCCTTTCATTTTTTTTTTTTTTGTGTCAAATTAATTTTTTGACACGCGTGTTCCAACAAGACTGTCTAAAAGATCTTTCTTTTTTTTTTCTTCTCAGGGGTTCTTTAAGTTTGTAAGCCCTAAACTTTCACAAAATTTGAGAATTGAAAAATTCGCCAAATTGAAAGGTACACGAAAATTTCGGTACTTAAAAAACAGGCGTCTGAAATTCACAAACTCCAGCGGCTGCGATTATGACCTCTGTGTCCGATTCGAAAAAAATAGGGGCCGCGAAAATAAAGTGTTTTACAGTATTTCAGAATTAACTGCTATTAACACACTGCTGTTTTATGGCAGCCATATCTCCACTTGCACGCATCCAATAGTCCATTTTTTCTTTCTCCGACAGGTACACGTGTGAGGTATTTAATAAGAGGTATATATATGTTAAACATAACATTGTGTTCTTTAGATGCCCTTTATACTTCCCACAATAAATAATTTTGAAACTGAAAAAGTCATAAAAACAAAACCTCCAAGTGCTTCCATTTGTCTTAATACTTTCCATAATCTTTGCAAATGAAACTTTCAATATTAGGACATATTTGTAGTCAGATTGTGAAGGCAGATATGTTGTGCTAATTTAATTCGTATTCACTTACAAGTTATGTTAAAAAAACTCTAGAAGCAGTGTTCCCTCTTAAACAGTCATAACAGAGAAGCCAAGGGCATATCTTAGTGCCAAGAAACATTTTAATATATGCTGAAAGGTGCGGAAGAAAAGCTAGAAAAACCAGAAGTGACCCGCTGCTAATGTCTGCTACATGTCGCTTTTTTGTGTGGGTCTTCTCCTACATTATGTGTGGTTTGTGAAAATTTTAGATCGAAAGTAGTTTTCACGGCATACTTTTTGTTGCGATTTTCTGTGTGTGCGCTCCTAGAAATTTATGCTGCTGAATTGTAAGAATTCAGGTGTAAAGAAGAAAGATCTGTGCAAGTCTAGTTGTCTAACATGTCAATGCATTGGATTGCTTTATTTTTGTAGGATGAGTAGCTTGGAAAGATCATTCTCTACTGCTTTTCTCCGGAGCAATGAACAGTGGCTTAGGTGAAGGCGCAACAGGTTGTCTTACTCGGTCCCCGTCCCCTTTATGCCACCTGTTTGGTCAGACAACCCTCAAATGTTGCCAGCCCTTTACAAGCCACATTTTAACCCAAAATGAGCTTTTACCTAACACGAAAACTACTCATGCAGCAACGAACCTGTTTTGATAGTAACAGCCCGCATCAGGCTGTTGTCACTGGAACAGCCCCACCCTGCAAAAAGAGATGGCAGGAGGCTTTAATTACCCAAAAAAAAAAGTGATGTGCTGAAAATTAAGGTGCTATTAATGCCCAAATCACAGCATAAAAGTGCCTTGCTGTAATTATCAAAGAAATGATCCCACTCACACTAATGTGCTAATGCATTTACAGGTATTTTCCAGAAGCCTGAAGCTCTGCATGAAGACAAGTTGACGAAATCTTCTAGTGTTCAAGTCAGAGAACTTCCAACAACTAATAATGCCAATCCATTAAAACTATCGGCCACGAGGGTCAAAGACAAGTGCGCAAACTCACCTGGTCCATCGTCCGGCAGTATGGATTCGCTTTCCTGGGTGTCAGAATGGCCCTGCAGATCTGAGACAAAACATAAAAAATATAATTTAGGATGCATGAAAAAAAAATGTTTGGGAAATTGTCACCAAGCTATTATTCAGACCAACAGATAGTTGGCCTGTCAGACAGCCCCTGAAATAGTTATTTTGTTAGTTCTTTTCAAAAGTGTTTGCATCTAAATTTAAGAAGTTGGGAAAAAAAAATTCGATGACACTTGATGTGAATGCGAAAGCATTATTGTCCAACTGAAAGCCGCCAAGTGCTCCTTCGAGTCTTGCGCCGCCAAGTGCTCCTTCGAGTCTTGCGCCGCGAGTGATGTTTTCGAGTTTTGCTCATGTTTCCCTACTGCTGAGGTTGCAGCTGCTAACGATATAGATACTCCGACCGCCGCCATGTTCCTCGCCGTTGAGAGGAGCAGAACTGGCTGCAGCGCCAACAGGGAGTGTAGCGGCGCGCCGCGCAGACTACCCTGGCTTGCTGCTTTGGCTCGCTCGTGACTGCTGCGCCGCTGGGTGAGGCCGCGGCGGGACTGCGAAGCTTGGTGCGACACCGGGAGTGTGAAGCTCGGCACGGCGCATGCTGAAATCACGTGTCCTCTCATCATCATCAAGGCCCCAGCTGCGGGTAACGGTTGACAATGTTGGACCTAAAAGCGCAATGTTAGGCATAACGCCATGCCAGCGTCACCCCCCTCACGTCAAACAGCTGCGCGTACCGGTTGATGACATTACACCTCAAAGCGTAACGATAGGCCAACCATTAGGCCTAACGTCAAGCCAGAGCATATCCGCACCCCCCTCTTGCTGCGTCGCCAACAGTTCGGCTGGCCCCTTAGCAACAACTATGGAGCCACATGACACGTTGAAACCAATGGGAGTTTAGGTGCCGTTTCGTTCAGTCAATGGGAATTCAGGAGACGCTTCGCCCAGCCAATGGGAATTTAGGTGCCGTTTTTCGCTGCTACAGACAACGCCGGCTTCGCTCCATGGGCCAGTTAATGCTTCCGCATTAAAACATGGATTTACATCAACATAACCAGATATGGGAACTGCTAATGGCAACAAGAAATGACTTTAGATAGGCTACATCAGCGAAATCGACGACACCTAGCAGTTTGAACAGAAAGCTGTTGTGGCAGATTCGCCAGCCTTCTTCAGTGAATCAGATATTCACAGCGCCTGGCGGTATAAAGATGAAGCCGTGAAAGAATGTTAAAAATACATATGGTGAAATTCGTAAATAGTGTTGCCAACTTGGACCAGAAACAATTGTATTGTTACTTTGAGACAAAGTTTGATCATGCATTCATTTCACGTCTACAATTTCAGAAGAGCAAAAATTCAAACAAATCAAAGAGTCCAACAAACTAGACAAGATAACAGGCTTAAGCTAGCGGAGCTAGTTGTTCCATACTTCAGGTAAGGCCAGCTGGACTAGAAAAAACATATACACACAAAGAAATGACCATACACACCGCTAGACTAACAACCAACTTTTTTTTTTTTTCCTCTTCTGTATGTTTTTTTGTGTGTGTATGTTTATTCTAGTTCAGCTGGCCTTACCTACACAAGATAAGAGTGTCAAACAAATGAAATATGAAACTGCCTCAAACTAACTGTAAATTTTCCTGTTCTCCTTCAGCCACGCTTACGTTGTCAGTTGGCTGGATTTGCTCGAGCAACACTTTGCAATCATTTTGTACACGGAGTAAATCGCTCAAACCCCAGTCTATCGCAGACACTGCACGCATTTCCTACAGGATAGTTTGTAAAGCACTTCCAATGCACATTAGCTGCGTCATGCCCCGACAGACGTGGTAATGCCACTGAAGAGTAATGTGACGAAGCAAGTTTTGCGATGTGACAACGCATGAACTTGCATTCAGCAACATCTGCCTCAGCTTTGGTAGACTGCAAAGCACATGCTAGATGTTTACGTTTTACATTGCTACACTTTCACATCGCTACACAGTTCAAAAGAGCGTCATTCGGCCCCTTCTGTGTAATGTAGTGATGTGCCAAACTTTTGCCAAATCAAAAATTCGGCGCCGAATCGCCAAATTTTAAAAATACATTGTTGCCAGACCTAAGAGTTTATATTTCATTTTTTTGGGCAAAAAAAGTTTGTAGGTTCTTTATAAATGCATATTGGCACAGCTCTTACAAAAATAAGGTAATATTCTACAAGATAATTGTATTGGTGTCATTTTTGTGTGTTTACTGGCAATTGTACAGTGACTTTTTGCAGAAGTGGTGTGACAACGAGGTTGGGTAGTAGCTGGTAGTAGCAAACGCAGCAATGAGGTTGGGACGCAGTCACGATACCGGAGTTTCGATTTTGAGGCCTCATCAGCGCAAGCCTTACTTTCTCTGCCAGTCACCGTTTCGTGAATGCAATGGCTGCTGAGCCTCAACTATAAGAGAAAACAATATTATTGTAAATATGCTTGTTTTCGGATTCAGATCAATTCAGCTTTGCATTAAAGTGTGCGTCCCATATTCCCAACGTCTCGTTTTTAACTTTTAAAACGCCAGTTTCCAATGTTAGGACACGAAGATGGGAAGAGTTAGGAATGTTGGACGTGCAATGTGGAGCATGATAGTTATGTTTAGTTTTATGCAGATAGGTGAAAGCCGCGACATAACGCTAATTAAAATGCAATATTATTTGTTTTGGCACAAACTACTTGTGAGCCGAAAACAGGACCGCTATAATAGTGACGAGTTCTTTAAAGTACTTGTCAGTCAATGTTGCAACTACCTCGCTGCATCACTCGAAAGATCAAACGAAAATCACGTTATCCAGAATGTACCGGCTCATTTGTGACTTGCGCAGTAGACTGTGTCAATTCCAAGTCTTGTTCCAGGTCTGCTCTTGAGGCAGAAAATATGAGAATTACACTCACAAGGGCGAACAAACGCACAGTTACCATGCCTCCTACTCCGTACCTCGCCATAACCACTGGTTGTGCTACACTGTACGATGGTAATCGCACGACCGCACGGCGTCCATTTGCAATTCATGGCCCTGTCAGCCCCGTCGCATTCTCGCGGAAGCACAGACATTTGCTGAACTTTTGCCAAACTTTCGTTCAAAAGTTTGGCATGTGCCAAACTTCGCTGACTTTGAAGTTTGGCAGATTCGGTCCATCACTAGTGTAACGCTAAGAACTGAAAACACAGAATCCGCGCCGCGCAAACAATGTCGCTACGCCATTGAGGGGCGACGACTGGCGGATGGATGGACACACGGACAGAGGACACACTTCTGAGGTTGAGTTACGTCGGAATGGGAGGTACTCATATGGTGTTAATCCGCTGTTTCGTTGCTAGATGTCAGTGTGATCAGACTTATAAGCGTCATGTAAGCTATGTATTCAACGGTGTCATGTGATTCCTTGCAATGCTCAATTTCAGCCTGTGCCAGACAGATGGAACAGGAAACTTTTCTTGAGAGAACCTCAGACTATGAAGCAGCCAGTGAGAGAATAGGGTCCATACCATTGGCATTCCCCTCCGTTTCCTCGTCTGACCTCCTCAGGGCTATCTGGAACTGATCTGGGCATAAAATTCCCTGGAAAAAAAAATAAAATAAAAAATTTAAAATGATTACACAGTGTGCCGCAATTGACAGTGGCAGCTGTTGCGTTGTCAAAAAATGTGCTTTATTTAGAAGACATACTTTTAGCTGATGTGCTTTAGGGTATTTGCTTTTCGTAGTATAGTCATAGGAGACGTGCGTTTGCAGAATGTTTTTACGCTATGCGCTTTTGGTGAGAAAATATCACCGAGACGCGCTTCTCTAATTCGGTGGTTGCCGCAGCAGAAGGAACAACATGTAGGGTCCACTGCTTCCACCACTTTGCATCTGCCTCGTGCTCCCGCAGCTTGTCGTCTGTGGCTTGCCGTCGATGCTTTCTCTTTACCTCTTCCTCACAAACAAGGGGGCCTTGACACCTCTTGCGCTAACGTGCTGCTGCTCGTGTGTAGTATTTGGGGTCCTGCGTCCTTCGCTGTTATCGTGCCGCTACGGTCCTCCGCCTACTCTGCCCAGTGCGGCAAGCTTGCTATTCCTGCTCCTCAGATGGAGAGCGAATGTTGCGTGGTCTGGCCTAGAGTCACTGAATGTTCCCAGAGTACCGAAACTCCCAGGTTTGAGGCTCCAAGATGGCGGCTCAATCTTTTTTTCTTTACTGTGGGCACCAGGAGCGTTTAGAAAGCATGTTTTAGCAAAAAATCAAACAGAAAAATCTCTTTTTTGTAGGAATTTTTATTGGAGATTAGTACAGAACAACAGGAGCATGATGTTTTTCTAAAATTTTAGTTTACATGGTTATGTGGCACAATATTGTTTTTATACAACCATGTCTCACGGGTGATTTAAAGGGATGCTGAACCGAAATCTGGATTTCCCAAAACACGCGGCAAAAGCGTGCAACGGGATGCTACAAACACCAAAATATCACTCATACAGCGATATCTCGAATGGATGACCGTATTTTTAAAAAAAAGAGGCGCATTTGGCAGGAATGTTGACGTCATGTTTCTCCGAGAAGGAGAGGGAACGGCCTCGCGTCTTCTCCGCCTCGCGGCCTTAAGGGAACGAAGCGAAGAGAAGAGGAAACTAGGTATCTTGACGGTCACGCGCCTCGTCGGCCTGGTTCAATCTCGACTTCTTTTTCCAAAAATACGGCCGTCCATTTGAGATATTGCCTTACTAGTAGTGTTGTAGGGATTGTAGTGTCCCGCCTACATCTCCAGCATTGTTTTTTTTAAATCCAAATTTCGGTTCACCATCCCTTTAAGGTATCGCGTCCAGACCTAGGCGCGCCCTTTTTTCAGTTGTATTTCGCAGCGCGTCCGCTTGGGAGATGGGGGTCGGCAGCCCTGAAACCCCTTCCACCGCATATGTTTTGGCGCCAAAATGGACAAACCGAACCCAAAAGCTTACATTTAAATACCTACACATTTGTGATGGGGCTGAGCAGACTACCGTGCACAAATAATTATTATTGATCTTTAAAGGAACACAAACATTCTCCATATATTTTTTAAATCTTATGTTAGGCAATTTATTATATTGTCAGAAAACTTCCCAATCAATATTTTGCAAGTGTCACATATATTTGTAATAAAGTAAAAAAAAAAAAAGACAACTACTCAAAACTGAAACTAGACTGGGGTGTGTAGCCGAAAATCATGTGGCTGTGCAACTTTTCTTTTTTTTTTTTAGTCAACATATAGTATCAGTTTTTAGAAGTCACAAAAAATAGGCATCATACTTTTTCCTATTTTTAAAGGGATACTTCAATGAAATTTGAAATATACCCGTCGTGTTCACAAATAGGTTGAATATGATCCACAATATCCGTAAATGACAATCGCACGTTTGTATTTTCAGCCTCCCATGGCTGTATTTTTCGTTATAAACGACCTACTCTGGCAAGCGCTCAGAGAGCAGCCAGCAGAGAGCACATCACATCCGCCGCAATCATGACGCAGTTTTTCTCGGGACCTTACGTCCGGACGCAGCGAGCTATCCCAGCCAATCCTGCTCTGTGGACGTAGCCCATGATACGCCTTCTGTGCGTCGCTATCTCTAAGGTCACGTGACATTCACACGGCCTTGGATAGGCCCCGATGGCTCGTAGCATCTGCTGAAAGCAGCCGAAGCACACCAGCGATCGCGCCCCTGCAAGTAAACCCAAAGCTGTCTTTGTACGAATTTTGAGTGGCGGGTTAATCTTCTATAATCTTGTAAAGGGACAATAGCGACTTCTGCGACACACAAAAGGCATTCTCGGGAAGAGGGGAGTTCCTTCTGCTCTTCTCTCGTCGTGCCCGGAGGCGAGACAGTTACCGTCACTACCTGTCAAGTTTCCTAGACGGGCATTACAAACGAGGCGTTTGCGACATCCACCAGGTGCTCTTTGCTAATCGTTTAATTTGTTTTAAAATTCCTCTTCGAGTCCTTTTCAACAAGAGATTGGTGAGTCTGATGTGATAATGGTCCATTAACACGAATAGACCAAGAAATAAGCTCCGAAATTTCGTTGTAGCATCCCTTTAATACCGAGTGTGCTGAGTGTGTGCCTTCGATGACCCACAACTTTGATTATCTTTAGTGGTTGTGTCCATGGTGGAAGAAAGCACTGGTGACTAAATATCATTAACATTCAAAATAAAACTGAATAAAATTAAAATAATTTTTGTAGTTCATGGCGTGACATTTTAGTATTGCAGGTCTGATACCCAAGAAGTGACCTGTTTCCTGAAGTGCTACGACAGATATATTGAACTAGGCACATTTACTACATATGCATGAACGAATTTAGCAGTTAGCAGAAATCATTGAAGTAAGACAAAAGAAAAGAAATGTAGTATTAGTAAACATTTAAGCATGATTCCTGCCATGTGCTATACCATTTAGATTACCTTTGTGTCACTTGAATGAGTTGCACCGGAGGAGCTTGTTTCCCCCGAAGAGCTGTTGCCAGCTTCCACGGTAACAGACGGGTCTTGTCCCTCATTCGTGAGTGGCACCGACGGTATGACGGGCGGTGCAACGCCGGAGGAATTAGTACGTCTTTTAAACGGCTTCGATGACGGCGAAATAGCAAGCTCGGAAGATTGGACAGAATGCAGGGGCGCTTCAGCGACAGATGTCTTCGGCTGACGTCGTTTACGGTCGCTAGTCTCAGCATGCTTTCTCTTTCGAGGCGGATTTCTGGGTTTTTTGTAACCTGCAAGGTACTTCGGGCAGTCAGGGAAAATGCTCGGAACAGCGTCTACAGATAGCACGGCCTTCTTTGGAGCATGGAGGAGAACTCTCCCCCCGAGCTCCGCATGATACGTTTTCGATACCAGTTCGTCGGGGAAATGCTTGGCACAAACATGATGACTAGGTAGTAACCTGCGATCGGCCCTCGCGATTGCACGACGCCACTGCTCCAGGCGAGCGTCATTCGATGGAGCTTTAAACAAGGGCACTCGCTCTGCACAGTTCCGGTACCCCGAGTTGCAGTTGGGAACGAAGCACTTCTTTCCCATCACCTTCGTGCACGATGGTGGCACCTGTGATTCAGAGCCGTGTTTAGGGTGCAAAACACGAGGCCAGCCACTGGCCACACACCACCGCCACACATGCACCGCTTGCACCACACCACCACTCCAACCACACCACGAAAAAGGCGAGCAAGCACACTACGCCGCCGACACCGTGGCCGCCGAGGAATGACTAGCCCACGATCAGCCTTAGGAGGCACTGTCGCACCGTGTTAGGAGGGACCCTAGTATGAAAAAACATCTAGGGACTTTACTAGTATTCAGTGCTTTAGACCCTCGTTGCTTGGTGTAAACAGTGTAAACCACTGTAGTGTAAACATAGGTTTGTTTACCGAAATTCCAGATATTCGTGTACAAGCCGGGCAACACTGTCCATACTTTCGAACTTCTTCGAACTTTAGTGAAAGTTCGCAGGCTTAGCGAATCGGGGAAACCAGGGGAACCATGAGTTTCGACGGTTCGACGTCAAAATCGAGGTTCGAAAAAATTTGACGACACCCCTTGCCAAGCTTGACTCGCGTACTACCTCGTGTACTACCTCGGGTGGTTTTATGTTTTTATCGCGTTTATATGTGAAGACCACGGTGAAGACCACGGTGAAGACCTCCTGAAAAGGGCTAGTACTTAGGAAGTGGCGCGGGGTAACAGGCTTTTGTTTTTGTTGTTTTTCCGGTTCGCTTAGCGTGATTCGCGTGTCCCGTCTACCCTACTTTGTTTTCGTTTGCTGGCGCGTGTTTTTTTAGATGTCGGATCCCGTAAAGCTGGTAAAGCGGCGCCGCTGCGCTGTCAGTCGCTGCAAGCCAAGTGATCGTGATGCCAAGTATATCAGCAGCCATGGTGTTCCGGAAGATAAAAATTTGAGAGCTAGTTGGCTGGAGGCAATCGGGCGTTCGCCTAGCGACAAATTTTTTCGGGTATGCTCGCGACATTTCGCTCCGAATGCTTTCAAGCCTCGCACTGGTGCACGTCTGCAACTGAAACCCGGGGTGATCCCTACGCTGTTCTTACCGACGGCAACAGCGGCAGCTTCCTTGGTAAAAGGTGAGGTTGCAGCCAAGGAAATGTTCGTGTCGTTGGCGTTGTAATTAAAGCGAAAAACTCCCGGCGAACAATTGAAGGCAAAACAGCATATCTCCTTTGAAATCGGGCATACAGCATACAGCTTAGTATCCGTTTCAAACAGCCGTGTTCACTATTCTTTTTATACGAGACCCAATGGGGCACAACTGCCGGCGCTTTTTTTCCCCGGGCTATTGTGCCGGCTGCCGGCAGAATATCCACTTCCAAAAAAAAAAAAACCATAAAGGACAATGCGAAGCATGTTCCGTCTCCCCGCGTGTGTTTCCTGGTAAAGATTATGGTTGCGTAAGCTACTCCGAGTGGAAAAGTACCCAACAGCAGAGAAATCATCTAGTGACGTCACCATTCTTTTATATATAGAAGGGAGACCGGTCTAGCAACTCATTCGGTTCATTTCAGACTACCATGGGCAGACCACAGAGAGTAAAGACGCCAGAAGAACAGCGTGAATATAATGCTCGACGAAAAGAACAAAACCGTCTTGCTCAACAGCGTCGTAGGCAAAACCCAGCAGCTCTCGCACAAGACGCCGAGTGTATGCGTCGGGCTAGGCAGGACCCAGCATATGCCGCTAGAGAAGCGGAGCGGAAGCGACAAGCTAGGCAGGACCCAGCGTATGCTGCCAGAGAATCCGAGTATATGTGTCGGGCTAGGCAGGACCCAGCATATGCCGCCAGAGAAGCGGAGCGGAAGCGACAAGCCCGCCAAAACGACGAGGAGCGACGTGGGGCAGAGAGCGCTGCGAAACGACGCAAGTATCATGCCGATCAGTTGGCCAATTTCAAGGGGGCTAATTCTAAATTTGAAAAGAAATTTGTTGACGTTAAATTTGGATTCACTTGCTTCGTGTGTGATCGACTATGGTTTCAAGACGATCTAATGTGCATTTCACATGTCACAAATAGACAAAAGAAGCAAAGCGCACTCGACGTGTTGTCACATTCCTTTCCTGGGGAGGACGTTGTGAACTTTAAAGTATGGTGCCTGCAAGGATTCCTTACTCGAAGGTAAAGTGCCTCTACTTTCCAAGACTTTTGGATACGCATATCCTCTGATCCCAGCACATCTACCTCAGTTAAACATCGTAGAAGAACGACTGGTTGCACCGCGGATTGTGTTCATGTCAATCGGACGTCTTTCTCATGGAGGCGGACAGTTGGGGATTAAAGGCGAAATCGTAAACGTCCCCATTGATGTACAAAAGACTGTCCAGAGCCTTCCTCAAAGCATCAATGACGACGTCGCCATCAACGTACACTTGAAGCGGTGCCTGCTCGCAAAACCTACATACGCTGCAGGTATCGTTCGAAAGGATAACATCAAAGCATGGCTCGACGTTCTTCTCCAGAGTCCGCTCTACAAGTTCAACAACATTCGCTTCAACTAACAGACTTTCGAACGTCTCCCGGACAAAGGGGAGATAGACGAAGACAAGGTTGAGAAGCTGATGGGCGTTGACGACTTTGATCACCCAAAGCAATGCGTCGTGGCTATGAATGCAACGAGTCGGACGGTTGTGTACGATGAAACATGCATGGCCGGTCTGCAAAATCAGATGCACTTCGTGGCCATTGCTCCTGGTAAAGGTCAGGCGCCAATCTCACTCTTGTATGATTCTAATCCGGAAGAACTCCCTCCGCAAATATACCTCTGTCAGCCTCGTCAGATCATGAGCGATCGGGTACATCATTCTCCCTTGTAACGAGTGAAGTTCGTTGCACTGATCGAAGGGGCGTCCATCCGACGCATGTGCTGTACATGGCTATGAAAGTCGTAAGGCACAGGATGGTTGAAAAGACGATCACCTTCAGAAGCAACCATGCGACAGGCAGCATTACGCGCAAACAACTCGAGGACGGCGAGTTTGTCAAATCCGCCATCGACCAAGACCTGGTGTTCATGCGAGACGGCCCGAACACCATCCAGTACATGATGGAGAAGAAGAGAGAGGTGTTTGCAATGATCCGACAGCTCGGGAAGTCGACAGTCTTCCTCACCATGTCGGCATCGGAAATGCATTGGAAGCTTTTGGTTGCACTCTTCGAGAAATTAAGGGTGCAAGGCAACCCGGAGTTGCAGCAATCGCTCGAGAAGTTGTGGCTCATCGATGCGTCTGACTTCGTGAACAACGATCAGGATCTTTGTCTGGCAGACTTTGTCGCCCATTACAGCTCCAACGATAGGGCTAAGAGATATGACCGGAAGGACAGACCCTTCATCATCAGATACAGGCAATACACAATCGACGACCCCATCAACTACAAAAGGGAGCAAGTTCTCCTCTTCCATGCAATCATGCGAGAAGTTGACATTCTAGACAACCAGTAGTGTAGGCTTTCCATTTTCCCGGGGGGCAGTCAGGCAGGCAGCAGGCTGAGAAGTTCTCCAGGGGCGGGGGGGGTGCCTTTTTGCACAATTTGTTTTACACCTGCAATTGTCAGTAGTTTATTATAGGGGGTACATTTTACAGCGTATTTATATCGCCATGTGTCCATCACTGTGTGTCAATGTCAATCGCCGTGCAAGCGTAGCCGTGTGTTCATCGCCGGTGCCACGGCGGATGCGCCGGCGAACACAAATCTGCAAAACAAAATGCTTGTGCCAGCTGCGAAGTTGTGGGGGTCAGAGTCGCTACTAAACAGACTTTTGGAACAGCTCCGGATGGAGTAGGCGCCCTCTATATGAGCTTCCGGTTGTTTCATTATTTATTTATTTATTTATTTTTTATTTTTTTTTTGTGGTGGGACATTGCAAAATGGCAGGCTGCTGTGGAAGCAGACCACGCGGACGTAAAAGTGATCGATCCCATGTTACGTCCTTGCCAGAACTGAAGCTTGAAGCTAACAAAAGCACGCTGGGATTCAATTTCCCATGTATTTTGTCTATAAAGGCAAAGTGGGTGTTATTTTGTTTACATGCCACTACTAAAAGCTCGTTACATGGCACGTAAACAGCGTCTTAGTGAGGGTCATGGCCCGGTGGGGGGCTCTGCCTCCCCCCCCGGATCCCACCGGAGAAGCACGGGCCCCGATGCCCCCCCCTCGTAGTCTACGCCTATGTAGACAGCAAGTTTGCGACAATTTATGAAGAAAACCTGGACAGCATAGCGAAGCAAAAGCAGTATGTGGTGGGGATGGATTACGAAAAGATCCTGAACATCCACAGATCCATCATATCCGAGGAGAGCGAGCGAGCAGTGGGGACTACTGAAGATGCAGAAGCCTCATCGAACGTCCGTGTCGACTACGACCAAGACGGCGACATTCTCGATGAACCAAAGTACATAGCTTCGATTCATAGCGACAGTCCTTGTGCAGCAGTTTGAAAGCGGACAAACATTTACACACGGGAAGAGGGAAGCATGAACCGTGGTTCCACTCCATTATGTGATTGACCAACGCAGAACAGTACGAGGTCGTCCGAGAAGTCATTCACCGAATCACTACACCCGGTTCTAAGTCAATGTGGGTCTTCCTGACCGGACCAGCAGGATGTGGAAAGACGTTCGTCCTTTTCCTCATCATGGATGTGTATAACAGGTACTATAATACCAATGGTAACTGTGATACAAATGCGTATGCCGTGTGTGCAAGTACTGGAAAGGCCGCTGTCGCCATTGGTGGAACCACGGTTCATGCTGCGTTTAAGCTCACCCTTCACAACGAGGGTGGATTGTCTGACAGTGATCTTGACACATATTGCATGGTCTTCCGAAATGTGAAGTACGTCATCATCGATGAAGCGAGTGTGCTCTCTGCCGACATGTTCGCTAGAGTCGAGAGATTCAGACAAATTACGTGCGAGTACAATGAACTGTTCAAAGGACTTGATTTGATCATGTGTTGTGATCTGTGGCAATGTCGCCTGTTAGAGCCAGTCCACTTGCATACTTTCCGTTGAATCGGGTGGTACGGCAGGAAGACATGACATTCTCGTCAATTCTCACTGAAATCGGAAAAGGCGGTCCTCGAGCAAGAAGAACTGAAACTGATTGAGAGTCGTTTCGTCACGGCCGATCATGCGACAGTGGTGGCACCGGGCGCACTGCGTCTGTACTATTCCAATAGCGACGCCGCTACGTTTAACACGGAGGTAACCCTGAAAGGGGTTGACAATGTGGTCGTTGCAGGATTGCATGACCAATACTTCAGGTAGCAGACCAACGACGAGTATGCCAAAGCACTTGCTAAAGTTAAGAAAATGCAACATACCGAAATGGGTAACTTGCCACAGACGATCATGCTAGCGGTTCGAAAGCCGTACATGATCACACTCAACACCGACGTCAAGGACGGACTTGTGAATGGTGGTGTTGGCACTCTGCAAGTGATTGAGTATGCGGAGGATGCCATTGACGTGCCTCGCCGACTTTGGTTTAGATTCAATGTGCCTAACACGAAACGCTTTGCACGCATCAAAGCAAAACCACTTAGGGAGGCGGCCAAGAGGCAAGGTGTCCGCATTGATCCAGATCTGGTGCCAATTGAGCTACGCTCCGTTACCATCACTTTGGACCAAAAGACAAGAATCAGTTGCAAGAACAAGCAATTCCCTCTCATGCAGGCGAGTGCACTGACAGTTAACAAGTCGCAGGGGGCAACCTACTCAGATGTTGTGTATGATTACGGCAAGAAGCATCCCCAGAAGTTGGAGTATGTCGCCCTAAGTCGGTGTACAGATCTCAACCGACTGTACATAACAAACGTCAACGTTGACTTCACGTTCTACCACAGAAATGAAAACGTCGATAGGGACTTGCAAGACGAGTTCAGGCATCTGGAGAACCATCATCTCCCCACCATCACGAAGGCATGCAATGCAATGTTAGAAGAACTGCATTCGATTGCACATGCTGCTCAGTGTTCGATCCCTAGGTCTGCACTCCAAGGATCTGACTCACGACTTCATCCTCAACTAGGTACCAGTGTTGTATCTTTCGGAGACGTGGTCGGACGCGTCCTACGAATTGGACGGATACATTGGAATAGTCTGTGCGAAGCGAGAGGGCAGCCGCGCGGCAAGCGTCGCAATCTACGCAAAGAAGGAAGCTTGTGTCTCTCGCTTAATCAATAATCCTTTGTATGCGGCGTGCAAGTTTATCTGCTCTTTGCGCTCCTCGTGTGTTTAATGCACCCACATGCTTTTGTTTCACCACAATCTCTTTATGTTGCCTGTTGATTGCCATACCCCTCCTTTTAAACATTTCCTCTCTTCTTGCTGCTGATGTTGGTAGATCATCTGATAATCAAGCACTGCTGAGGCATACCCTCGGCTTCAGCAATGACCTACCCACACCAGCAGCAAGATGGCAGAGGCCGCGCCACGGCACGGTTGTTTTGCGTCGGGCGCACTTCCGGTCTGGGGCTGTGGGCGGAAGTCACCATGCAGGACTTGCATTCCTGTGTTGTTTTGGAAGAAATCACACAGAAACCTGCCTTCTGGGGTTGTACCAAAAGGGTCGGGCAAAGTTTGAAGGTCAGTTTTCATGTGTTTTCTGTGTGCTCAGTTTGTCCGAAAATGTGGATAGGGGCCGAGAAAAAGGAAAACCAGACGCCGTCGGGCCACGATTGCTTGTGAGGGAGGCACTTTGTTATGTTCAGTGTGTCTTAAGTTTAAACGGCCGCCTGATCGTTCGAACTGTCATCTGCTTTTTGAAACGTTGCTGCTGGTTGTCATCTGCTCCAAACATTGACCTGGTAATTGCGATAAGAAGTAAGTGCAGGCCTTAAAAGACTTAAGTTTGAAGGTTGTTTGGGGTAAGTAAGCTCGGTGTAAACAGTAGACTCAATGTAAACAGTTTTTGTTTGTAAACATGAGTTGGTCTATAGACAAACCCATGTTTACAAACAAACCTGAGCGTCCCTGGCAGATGCTACCGGCGCGGCGCATGCGCAATGGAGTGTGAGCAAGAAGCTCTCCATCGTTCGTAAACAAACCATTGGATTGCGACGTTGTCAGCGTCGGTGTGAGTCCCCCATGCTTTTTTTTTGCGTTGGAATTGTTGATTGGATGTCTTCCTGGGGGTAATGTCTGACTACTTTAGCGGCTTGGCAAAACTAACGAGGCTCGTTACACCGCAAAACTTGGCGTGAATAATGTGCGACGTGCGGTGATTCATTCCGCATGGACGCCGCAGAATGGACGCTAAAGTCTGTTAAGACTTCAGCGTCCATTTTTAACAGAAGGCTGCCACCACGGCTTTTTGTTCTAGCTGCTAAGTGTCGTCGATTTCGCTGGTGTAGCCTTTCTATATTATTTCTTGTTTCAATTAGCAGTTCTGGTTTCTAATTACGTCAGCGGAAATCCCTTTTTTTCGTATCTTTTGAAATTTAGATGCAAACACTTTTTATAAGAACTAACAAGATGACTATTACAGGGGCTGTCTGACAGGCTGATGATGTGCTGGTGTGGATGATAGCTTGGTGTCAATTTCCTTATACTTTTTTTTCATGTCATAAATTATATATGTTTTGTCTCAGATTTGCAGAGCGATTCTGACACCCAAGAAAGTGAATCCATACTGCCGGACAATGGACTAGGTGAGTTTGTGTGCTTGTCTTTGACCCAGGTGGTCAATAGTTTTAATGGATTGGCATTATTAGTTGTTGGAAGTTCTGTGACTTGAACACTGGAATATTTTGTCAACTTGCCTTCATGCAGAGCTTCAGGTTTCTGAAAAATATCTGTAAATACATTAGGACACTAGTGTATGTGAGTGGGATCAATTTCTTTAATAATTGCAGCAAATCACTTTTATGCTGTGAAGTAAGCATTTATAGCACCTTAATTTTCAGCACATCACTTTGTGGTAATTAAAGCCTCATGCCATCTCTTTTTGCAGGGTGGGGCAGTTCCAGTGACAACAGTTTGACGCGAGCTGTTACTATCAAGACAGGTTTGTTGCTGCATGAGTAGTTTTCGCGTTTGGTAGCGGCTCATTTCGGGTTAAAATGTGGCATGTAAAGGTCTGGCAACATTTGAGGGTTGTATGACCAAACACCTGGCCTAAATGGGACGGGATAAGCATTCCAACGATGGAATGCTTATATTGGTGAAACACAGATAGTACACCTCACATCCTCAGCAGAATGCTTTCTTTGTGTTCTACCATGGTTTTGTCATAGCCTTGACTGCAGTTCCTTCCTATTTAGCATATTTGTCCACCTTGTTGGGAACAAAATGTGCACGCCGGCTCAAGACAGCCTTGGAAATTATAGCGATGCTTAGCGACAAACGTCTGTTAAGTGATGCCTATAATATGATTTAAAGTGTTGCCAGAGCTCTTGATGTCTAAAAGATATGTCACAAACAGGTGAATTATGTAAATAATGCCATCTTTGTTACGAAGACTGATGCAAGCAGTTAGCCATGTTAGACAAGTGCAACCACTGTTCTGAGTACTATTCTTGACAGCACACCAGCTTGTGATCAGCTTAAACGTATGTTGAAACCGAAACTACACTTCTTCAGCTATCCACATGATTGTGGAACATAGTTCTCCACACTACACTTAATGTTTTGGCGGCGCTTAGAAACCATAGATTACCAGTGATCGATGACCTCTGGTCATGGTCAGGAAAGAGTTAATATTGGAAGTTTCATTTGCAAAGATTATGGAAAGGAATAAGACAAATTAAAATACTGAAATCAGAAAATGAACATAGCTCTGCAAACTGAACTGTATGTGGATTCCAATAAGGTATAAATTGAAGCTCTAGGAGAATTTGTGCTTTTATGACACTTCTTGATTTTTCAGTTTCAAAGAAAACACTTGACGTTATGTTTAACATATGTTATTGGATACCTCAGACATGTACCTACTGAAGAAAAAAAAAGGCTGGGGCAATTGGATGTGTGCAAGTGGAGATGTGGCTTCCATAAAAGAGCAGTGTGTAAATACCAGTTAATTCTGAAATGATAGCAAAAAGGCATGCACAGACCCATTCTACAATCTTTTCAACTCAATATTTCAGGATAGAAGAGACTTATTTTACAAAGATACTTCAGGACAAGATGATAAGTGCTATCTAGCCCCCTTTCTTCGTATCTTGGCGCAAGCCAAACATCTCAAGCTAGGCCATTTTTTAGCATCCTATAATGTTGTTTTCATTGTGTTTCAGCATGTGCTAAAATTTCACTATGTTGTGCTTCCACTTGCAGAACCACCAGATTATGTTGAACAGGACGAAGAGCCTAGCAGCCTGGTTCCAGCTTTTACGAAAGGTAAGTTGCCGACAGCATTTCTTTTTGTAGCGAGGAACGTTTCTGAACATTTTCTCGTGATTTTTTTAATTTCTATGTGCTGAATCGCCAGATTACACGGATGTGACAAAGGTCACCTTCCACTTCAGTGCAGGTGTGTACTTTGTTAAACTGGCAAATTCGGCGTTCAATTGCCAGCAGCTCGTTAAATCCGACCACATTCTTTGCAGAGCCACAGGCTTCCGAAGAGACTCGACGACCGCACAGTGCAGCAGTGGCCGTTAAGATTGGTCTGTTGTCTTCGTGGTATTTTATGGGTAGCTGCCATTCTAAATGTTGGAATCAATTACGTGTGCAGAGCCGCCAGACCTAACAGAAGTTCACACCGAGGCAGTTTCTACGGGGACAGGTATGGAGCCATGCTATTGTTCTGTCTGTTAAATTTTTTTTATTTAACGCAGAATGTGTTTTATTAGTTGATTTCTGTATAGAGTTCTGCAACGTTTTAGTGTAACGTTTTAGAGTAACGGCTGGCAGTAACAGCCAGCTGTAACGAAAATCACCAAAAAGCGTTCCGCCCCTAGGTAACCGTATAAAAACACCTTAGCTCCTGTAAGGATTTGAACTTCCCACCTTGCGATTGTGAAAGAAGTGCTTTGCCGACTGAGGTATCCAAGGACCGCGTTCGCAACGCGCAAAAGCGACCTCTTTGGCGCTGTCATGTGCTTCGTTGTCGAAACATTTTATGTACATATAAATGAAGTGAGGCATTGTCTCGTATGACTCTTGCAGCGCGATAGGCCTGAAGGGCTATCACGCCGTAAGAATTTGTGATAGGCCTCGAAGGCCTATCAGATTCTGTGCTTACCAGTCTGTCAGCATGATCAAACTGTTATGATTTTTTTTTTTTTTTTTGGCATGGAGGTTTTTGAGGAGAGCCCATGAAATTACTTATGCTTTGTGGACTCTCTGGTAAACCAGATTCATGGTGGTCTCATCAACAGCTTGTTGACAATCTTAAATATTCTTTTGTGCATCATCCACAATATTTAGCTTGTTTTGTCTCAGATATGCCGGACGACTTTGCTGCTAGACAAGGGCTGAGTTCCCAATCCTACTTGAATGGATCAGGGTTGGACGGTTCCGGCGGCAACACTGCGACGACGGCTGTTACTATCAAGACGGGTGGGTTGTTGCACGATCAGTTTTCGCGTAATGTAGTGGGTCATTTCGGATTAAATCCAGCACTTAAGAGACTACCAGCATTTGAGGTTTCTACAACGAAACAGGTGGAACAGGCGCACCGTGCCAATGTTCACAAAATCGCAGCCCAGCACGTGATCCTCAAAGCCCGGCAGACGCATGTTTGTTTGCTTCGTGAAGCGTGGAAGGCACGTGCCATGTGCACGAATGCTGAAAATGGCAGCGGCCAGTTGCCTGCTTCTGGAATGGTCTATAAGGGTGTGGAGGATGATTGTAGAATGCGTTATGGTCAGCCATTATGGGTTCATCATTATTAAATTTATTGGTCAGGAACAGTATCAAATACTTGTCGTTGCAAGTTACTTGTTCTGCAGAAGAAAGCTACCAACCTAGACTTGTGCTCTTGTGTCGCTTGTTGTGTTAATCAGTTGTTATAATTCAATAACACTAACTTGAGAAGCCCGAGTACTAATACGTGATGTGAACGACTTTATTTTCACGGGCTGAATGTTTTGCGAAGTGCGGATTTCTGAAATATTTTGCGGGGCACAGAATTTCACGATTTAGAACCATACATAGTGCATTAAAGGGATACAGGATCAAAACTTGAAATATGCAGAAAACATCAAGAAATAAGTTCAGTATGATCAGCGAAGCCTGTAATGAATAATCGCACGGTCGTATTTTGATCAGATGGCTATATTTTTGGTTCTAAATGCCGGGATTTTGGTGAGTGCTTCAAGATCAGCCAGCGAAGAGCACGATGCATCTGGTTAGACCCGGCAGACATCTTGACGTCACCATGCCTCGGAGGGCCAGGCGTACCATAGTTACGAGTTTTGCCACTCGGAGGCGTAAACGCGTTACAATCTCGCTTTGTCGAAGTACCCGAGGGCTGTAGATATCGCGGAGCTGGCAGAGCTGCTTCAACTGCGGGATGGCCGACCAGCATGACGAGAGTGGTGGCAGCGGCGGTGGGTACGATGACATTAGCGAAGACGACGATGCCGCCACATCCCTAGTGGCTATGGTGGCCGAGAAGCGATTCGGCATGGAGCCGTATTTGTATGACCCCTCTCCCTCCTTGTCCGCAACAGACAAGAAATCCTCTGACACTCAGGAAGCGCCAGGCAGCCCCTTTCCACCAGCAGTCGGGCGCGTGGGCACGGCGAATTGGTGAGCCTGATCATTGAAGAGTCCGCAAATGCATTCGCGCAGGCATGCACGCTAAAGCAGCGAGACGCTTTAATGACAGCGCGCTAGCCGCGCTGTCATGAATCATGAAAGTATGCCGCCTAGACCAGGTCGTGGTGTTAGCATGCACACCACACTCCATTCTTCTTTCCTTATTAGCTTGTAACTTTTGTTGGTAGCCTGCGAAATGTGATTTTGTCGAAGGAACGCTCGCGCTAACAGAGATCGGTAGTTAGAGTATGCTCTCAACGGCGGCCTTCCAAAAGTGTACGAATGCACAAACACAACAATGAATGTGCCACAAAGCGCTTTTACGGAAAGGGCAGAAAGATGTATAAAATGCAAGTTTGGAACCAAAAAGCGCGTGTGGCCTTCAAAAGAGTTTTCCCCGTGCGAGGGCTTGACCGTGCAGGCAATGCAATCTGCCCTAGTCTGCTCCATGCAAGTGTGTACGTAACCGGTGCTACCATGCTGTGCTGCAAGCCCGTGGTGGTTTTGCACAATGTTTTCCCTTTGCGCGTGCGCAGTGGTCCCGCTCAAAGTGGTGTCACCCTCATTCCCGTAGCATCTTTGCTCACGCTTGTCACTGAAGTCGGCCTGCCGTAGCATAGCAACGGTGCTTCACGCCGTAGCTGAGACATTGTGCCAGTACAGTACGTCAGGCAGTAACGGTACACGACGGTACGGTGCTCATCCAGATCAAACAGGGGAGGGATGGACATTCAGTCCAGAATCCCAGCTGGTTCTACGATTTGATGTTGCGTTCAACGTGCACCAGGCTGCGGAGTGCCAACACGCTCGGCTACCAATCCTCCCTGAAGGAATGTAGTCTACTGCGACTGCTTGCAAAACAAATATTTAAAGAACACACATTGCAAAGATTGTGAGAATTTAGCACTTTTTCACAAAAACATATTTGTACGTGCCACACACTTTCTAGGCCTCGAGAACATTAAGGGTGAACAAATAGAAAAAAAAAATGTATTTGTTCTAACAGGTGCTCCTGCGGCAGCATGTGCAGACCAATGCAGACGGCGAAGGAGTCAGTGTGCTGCAGGGAGCTGCACAATGTGGCACGCATGTGCAGTGACCAGGGGGTGACTTGTGTAACAAAGCACCCCTTGTTCGAGCTGTACTGCCTAAACACCGCCATCTTGGACCTAGAGTACCAAAAGCTCCGGCTCCTCTGCCCTCTGGATGCAGGAGACGGGGGCCCACAAGAGTATGTATATTAGAATTCTGGCAAAACTTGTGATATAAGCAAGATGATTTTCTCAGTTGATACTGCCTGTCCTTCGGAAATCAACATTCCATGCCTCCAGTTTTCATTAGCTGTTTTTCTCCTCGATTTGTAAGATAAAAAGATAAATCTCTTAAAAAACTAACGGGGTGGCAAAGGAACCGTGGAGGAGTTCTGTAACTTGTATTGCTTGCACCGTACTCGGCATCAACCATTTCGTGCTGCATTGTCAAGGGAAGTGTAGCTTCCACCATGCTTCAGCTCATCACTGCTGCAAAAACACATGGCTTCGTGTTTATTCTCATTCAAATGCTATCGCGCGACTAGCTTTGACAGTTAAAGCACTGTTGCAGCAACACTGACCTTGACAACACAGCACAAAATAGTTAACACTAAATAAAGCACGTGTAAATGTGCACAATCTGACGAGTTTACTATTCAATAAAATTTGCTTTCAAGCTCGTCCATTTCTGTATTCACAGAATCTTGGATAAAACAGATAGCAAATAGTTCATACTGGTCATCATTGCAACATGGTTGGGTGTGATATCTCAAGGGAAAAATAACAAAATTGTGTAATGGGCGAGGTGAATTTTTTTAAATGACAGTGACTGATTGACCTCGATGATGGTGAGCAATAAAAATATAAAAGATAGGCTTGCTTTTGCATTATCGAGATATTACCACCATATACTAGTCATTGAGAAAATTCTTGTGTGCTTTATCTGAATTGCAGTTAGGTTCTATTATATATCGAACTCGCATATATCGAACTCCACATATATCGAACTCTCAAAACAAAAAAACGGGAATTAATTCGATATATCGTGTAATTCGCTATAACAGTTTTATTGAATTTGACTTCTCAAAAATCCACTTTCAGCTGACATATTCCACAGTGAAATAGTCTTGTATCTCCTGCTGCCTTTTCTTCATTGCATCCGCGATAACGATATTTTTTTACACTATCGGTGGACTCCAAAATGCTGAGGCCGCTGCCTTCCTTATTTGCGCATTAGCGCCGAACTATGCCGAGAGCACAGAGCTCGTCCGAGCATGAGCACCTTCTGCAGACCGCCGTTTTGCTCTGCAAGTTGGCTTTCCCCTAAGACAGGCGGCTGCGTTGAGGGAAAGCCAGCTATAAAAAGCAAGCTGGCTTTTTTTTTTTTTTCATTTTTTTCTGAGCGGGAAGAAAAAAGAAACATTATTCTCTTTTGCGGACGGAGCGGGGAGAGGGAGCACGAAGCACCCTCTCCCCCTCTCTCCGCAAAAGAGATTTTTTCTTTCTTTTTTGTTTTCCGTTTAAAAAATAAAGCCAACGTGCTTTGCAAGCTGGCTTTCCCCCAATGCGACTGCTAGCGTTGGGGGAAAGCCAGCTTGCAGAGCAAAACGGCGGTTTTGGCAGTTCGATATATCGGTAGCGGCTGCTATTTTTGTTCGATGTAACCGTATTTTTTGCTATATATTATTACTGTAACATTACTGTGCACAAAAATTGTTAGATATAAGGGATAATTCGATGTAAACGGGTTCGACATAGTCGGGTTTGACTGTATTCTCTTGAACTGGCAACTGATTGGTGTTTCATGCAATCTCATCCGATCTTAGGAGGCACCGCTACACTGCCTACCAACAATTTACGTGGTGGGTGGACCACAAGCCAAGGCACGGCAACCGGGTGCCACTGCCCAGCTGCGCCGTGGAACGGATTCGACGGGAGTTCCCATCCACCAATGGAAGTTACGTCGATCAAAAAAAATAAAAGGTATCCGCCATATGAAGAGCTCCTTTACATAGTGCTATAACTGATGTGGCTAGACAAAAAGGCCTGGTATCAACAAACACATTTATTATTCAACACAAAACCGGAACTGGGCAATGTAGGTGAAATGTACAAGATGGTCCGCTTCCGTATTGTACTGGAAAATATCCTTCTTGTAGCACGTCTTGATCTTTCTCATTGTGTCTGGTTCTGCTGCAGGTCGTCCCGTGAAGTCAGTTCAAGTGTGCTCCCTATGTCAGTTATCAAATACTTGATCACCAATCGTCGCAGAAAACTTCACTCATTTTCACGTTTTGCTCAGTCGGGAATGGAAAGGCATTTGAAAACACATTTGTACTAACTTCATAGAACGATTCACAACAAAACTCAACTTTCTAAAAAAGATCATCACATGTGACAAGGCACAGATTTTCTAGAACAGTCTGGACACCGGACGACTGATGCACTGGGAGACTTTTATGTTGCTGATAAGGAAAATGTCAAAATGGCACTGCAGAATATGCAGAAGAGGTAAAAGAGAAAATGGTACGACTGCTAAAAGGGTTGGCACATGGTAGCTTGCAGCACCGTTCTCAACTGGGGGAAAGTTGTATGTAACACTATAATGATAGGGAAGGGGGCATGTTGAAGACAATATTAGTTCAGTTGCAAGACCTTGGTGACTGGTGACTTTTGTCACCAGTCATTATTTAATATCCACAACTCGTAAAACTGCCAGAGGTGAAAGGTTTTCATATAACACTGCACAGATGACCACCCTATATGCTACGCCAGTTGTCTGTCATGATATGAGCACGTCGACCTACAGACCCAGCCTACTGTTCAGGGACAGATGTGATGAGCTGCTACAACAGCATACGTTTGCAGAAAGGCCACATTCCCAGCAGCCTTTGACATTGCACTCAAGGGCTGAAAGAGTTTCTAACAACATAAGAAAACCGCAAACAAAGTGGAACTCCAAGTCAACAAGAAACAAACCCTCGACACACATAAAGGGGCAATGCCACTAGCCTTGTACAGCGTAATATATTCTGATTGAGCACGCCCTAAGTGTGGACATACAGCTTGTTTTGGAAGATGAAAGAATGAAGTCAAGCAAACAAATCAACTACTAGTACGTAACGGCAAGAGCAAATGTACAAGATATTCTTGATATAAAAACACCGCGTTTTTCGGACCAGGTAAATAAACTATCGCAGGAAGCTGAAACTGCGAGAATGTGACGTTAACGACTGGGACAGAATGCGAGAGTTTGAGAATGTGACGTTACTTGGATTAAGAAATTAAAAGTTAAAAACCAAATTTTTTTTATGAGCTGCTGTCCCCCTAAACCTAATATTGTGCGAACAATAACTGACATTGCAGACAGATGTGGCATTGATATCAGTGAAAAACACTTGGCACAAAGAAAGAAACTTTTTTTAGAGAGAAGCTGTTAGGCGCCCGTTCTCGGCTCGAGTGGCGGCGCCGTCGGCACAACTGCGTGTTGCATTATGGGACGTTTCCCATAACGACGTCACGAGGGCAAAATTTTCTTGCCAGGTTTGGCGCGAAATTTTTCTGCTAAAGTTAGCAGGAAAATTTTCCCGCTAAGTTTAGTGGAATAATTTTTTCAACAAATTTAGCGGAAAACTTTTACCCTCGTGACGTCACGTGACCCTCCCCTCCTCCTCAAGAGCTGCGCTCTAATTTGGCATTACTGTCGAGACCGGTTATAACGAAGTCAACGGGAATCGGAAATCCCTTCGCTATATCCGCTGTTTCGTTATAACCGACTCCGGTTATAACGAAGCACAAAAGGGAATGGGAAATCGTGATCGCTTCGCTGTAGCTGCTATTTCGTTATAACCGACTTCGTTATAAGCGGTCTTGACAGTACAGAGAATTTTCTTTCTTGCTGCCAAGAGTTTCGACCCAAATAAATGTCAGTTCTTATTTTTACTATAGGTAGAGACGCCTACTTGGTTTTTCTTTTATAAGGGGGGGGGGGTTAAAATTAATAAAAGCACTTGCACAAACTTACATTGATGTACATAAATCGAAAATGAAGTTTTTTTTTATTTCACGACAAACAACATGAGATACGACCTTTCCACGAAAACCTAGAGACTCCTCTCGGTGAGACTTTTGGTGTTGAACTGCGCTCGCCAAACTACGAAGATCCGCATTCAAGCTGCTAACTGCGAGTCGCAAAACATTGTGGAGGTTCTCGTCAGGCATCCGTGAGCGGAAGTTGGATTTTATGCACTTCATTCGTGAAAAAGTCTGCTCGCAGACGGGCAGCGAATTAGTCAACTTTATTTTTTTGTTGTTGTTTCTTTAGCTGACTGCGTAGGGGGGGAGGGGGGGTTACCGGGAGGTTGAGGGCCGTATGATACTACGGCCCGCCGGATCCGGCCCGCAGGCCGCTGGTTGCCGACCACTGCGCTATAGTTTCTCCTCCCTGCGACAGGTAGTTTTCTAGCAAGGATAAAAGAACAGTTTTTTTTTTTCTGAGTAACATTTGGTAGAATTTTGCTTAACCCAATTCTGGACGCTCATTTCATAGGCCTTTTCACCCGCCCTCGCATGGGTGCCACCATCTTGGAATCTCATGATGCGGCTGCCTTTATGTTGCTTCAACTTGTCGATCCGCTCTCCCCTCCACGCCTTGGCGGATGCATTGTGTTCATGTCTTTCGTTGCGTTTCACCGCGTTTTCTTATTTCGGAAATTGTCGTCCAATACTTATGTGTACTACTTAATTGCATTACAACATTACGCGGCCAAGTTTTGTGGCACGTTTTAACTATTTTCACCGTCTGTTTACCGGATACCTGTGAGGAGGCCATATGATGCGCGGAAATCGGTGTTAGCACTGATATACATTGAGTATATAGACGACTCTAAGATAGCACAAAGGTTCAAACGCCAATGCAACACCAGTTTGCTTACTAATAGTGGCGCAACATTCACAATAAGACGCAAAAAAGGTGACAGAAACAGTCAGCATAAACAGCCTCTATCTGTTTCACGAGAGCATCATCCTTTGCATTCATAACAGATCAAGAACATTTGCTTTAAATTATAGGAGGGAACTCGTGGAGAAGATGGGCAACAAACGTCTAACGTGCATTTTATCTGAATCTAGGCATCACGGTATGTCAGGATCAAGCGATTTGTTTGCTCACATTATTACACCTACAAACGTTTGATGTTCTTAATTGTTTTTGCAATATAAAGTAGCTGATCATTTTATTTATCAATTTAGAGAAAAACTACGCAGTGAAGTCTTTTGAGTGTATTATGATTTGCTTAAAATAGCCAGTTCAATTTAATATAATTTCAATATAAAATCTGAAGCCCTTCCACTTCACGTGAAGATGGAGGACCAGCGAAACTGTTATCTTTGCCCTGTCTACGACGATGCCTAAAGGACGACTTCTTGAATGACGTCTAGTACGACGCCTAGGACGACATTTAGGATGACCTCAAGGACAACTTCTAGGACAACCTCGAGGACGTCTTAAGATGGCCTCAAGGATGACTTCTGGGACGACCTCGAGGACGACTCCTAGAGAAATTCAGTTTTTCTACACTGGTGAAAACCAGAGTGGAAAGGCTGGAAAGGTTGCTGCTACCTATGAGCAACGGCGGCAACCAGACAACCGGCAAACCGATTGTCTGGTTATCGCCGTCGCTCATAGGTGGCGGTAGTTGTCTGGAGTTTTGTGTCAACATGCCGCTTGTCCGCGGACACGATACTGGGCAAACTAGCCCTTAACAGCTCCGCTGTAAAAATTGGGACGTCCCACGGAAAGCAATACCGACGAAGCTCACAGTCATCGCTTTTCCGCAGTGCGCGGGTGCTCGGTGAGAAGTGCACTCAATGGGACTGACCATAGCCTCCTATATACTGACAAAGCCTGGCAGATCGCCACGAGAAGCACCCGCCGAAATGGAAAAGGTGGAGCGGCAGATAACGGATGAGAAGAAAGCCACGTGACTGGTGCCCCACTGCAGCAAGACGCTGAAACGCACTTCTTCCGAGCGAACTAGTGTGTTTCGGGTCCTCGCCGCCGCAAAAGCTGTGCGCCGACGTCCAGGTTCCCCGAGAAACGGCTCTTTGATGCTCCCTGCTACCAGATCCTCGCGCTCCAAATCTGCGACTGGGCGCTCTATGGCTCCGTCGCTGAACTGCCAGGCGTTGCGAGCGTAGAGGCTATGTATAGTATTTGAAAATTTTTGTTAAGTGATCTACAGTACCCAGAGGGTGCCACTCGCCATCATGTACACCCTCGCCCCCGGGTGCGCAGCTTCATGCTTGTGAACAGTTGAGTAACTGAGTGTGGCTGGAACTTCCACCTGTGTTGGATGTCTTTCTTTGCGGCGTTGGCACACGAATCCTAGGCCGCCGGCTACCTCCGTCTTCGGCATGCAAGATCGTCTTTGCTTCTCGCAGGCTCGTGTGGGCCTGTGCTCTTTTCGTGGGGTTTTCTTTTTCAAGGTATAACCGCTGACATCAGCACACGTCAACCTCTCCCTCTCCCTGGCGCTGACCAACTGACGGACACCGCTGGGTTTTCTTCAAAACGAGCCCTTTAGTTTTCGGCAAAATAATTTGCACAGTCGGCACGGAGCCAGAGAGAAAGAAGCACCGTACAAAAGCCGTAGTGCTGAATGAGATGGCGTAATCAGAGAAGGCCAACACTCGACACTGTTTGGAAACGAGTGCTGTGTCGGCACTCGGCTTAGAGTCAAGTTTGAGCAAAAGGTAAAAAAAAGGTAAACTCCAATTGTTTCCAATCTGTGCCCAGCGTTGGCCTTCTCTGATGATGCCATCTGATTCAGCAATATGGCTGTTATATCTAGGAGGTTTTGCGCCGCGTCACGGTGGAATGCAGGAGTGTTCAGTTGCCACTCTGCCGTCGCTGGTGGTTCTTCGTTGTTCTGGTAGATGGTGCGTAGGCTGTGATGTGTGTGTGTAGTTAAAATGATGGATGCGGTTCCTTCCATGAGTGGTATGAATGTGGTTCTTTCCACAAGTGATATGGATGACCGTATCCAAGGGCGTGACATGCTCCAATAGGCAGAGTACAGAAAAGGTGAAAAAAATTACAGTAAGATCCATTGGTGTTTTAGAAAATACAATATCATGACCCTTGGGAAACGCTAACACTGACCCCGTAACGAGGCCAAAAAAGGGCAGCAAAAAATAAAGGAAGCAAGAGAAGGCCAAAAAATAAAAGTGAAGGGGTCAGCGTCAGCGCTTCCCAACGGGGGACGTGTGTGACATTTCCAAGGGTCATGCTAACGCATTCCTTAAGAATCCACCAATGGATCTTCCTGTATCTGTTTGGTCTTTTACGTAAAAATGGGTCATTACCACTTGCAGTCTAGTGTTGCTCGAGATCGTGTGACCTACGACTGGGAACAGAGAAGAACGAACCCTAAAGCAGCTAGCTCACCTCACTGTAGACCTCGTCACCAATGGAGAACGGAAGGGAAGCTCTGGACCAACAAAGCTCTCCTGTACTCCGTTTCACCGTAACTTCGCAAACAGCAAAGGCTACGGTCTAAGCGAGCCAATCCGCACTGGAGATGCGAGACTCCCTAGGCGCACACAGTGCTGTCAAAGACAGGAGGGAGAGATTGCTGCTTTTGTACAAATTGCGAGTGATAAGTTTCTGGGGGTTCAAGGCGACGTCGAGGGACACACAAAAGCATCGGATAAGTTTCTCCTTCCTATCTCCCCCACGGCTGGAGAAGAGGGGAAAGAGGAGCTCCCCCCTACGCTTGTTGATGTCTGTGTTTGGATCCCAATTCTTTATTATAGACGACCCGTGCTATGGACGATTTTTCTGGGGAATGGAGCCGTTCTTATTAGTGAGGCACGACTGTACAGATTTTAAATGGATTACATTTATAGGGCCACCTCTTATACCTGAGCCCCACAAAAGCGACAAGCAGTAACAACCGACACCAGCTAGCCTAGAGCACGTGCTGCATTTCCGCGAAACTGCCCCTGGCGGGCTTGCTGTCTCAAGTGCAGGTTAAGTAAGCGGCAGTGATTGCGAGCCTGCCAAAGATACCTTTGCGGGCACGGGGCTTGTCAGTGTCGGTCATTTGTTTGTTGCTCCAGCGGGACTCTGGCATTAGGGTTCTCGTATCCATGCCCACAAGTGGCCTGAATGGCGACGTCACACTAACGACACATATTCCACAGAATAGTGCCACAGGGGACATAACCGCTGCACAGTTTGAGCAACTCTGGGATACACTACCAAAGAGACTAGCGTTTCTTTTGTTTTGTTTGAAGGTGATGTCTTACAAGGATTGCGTGGTGTCCTACAGATCCTCGTGCCTGCGGTCCCTACCCTTGCCCCATTCTTGTCCTTGGGACAGTTGCCTGCAGTGAGATGCCTTTCACAACAACTAGAGGGTTTGCTCAAAACCTGGGAGGTGTCGTCGCTCAAAAGAACATGTGCAATTCGGTTCTTTTTATACTTCAAAATCGTAGCACAACATAGCGCTGCCAAAGGTGAAAACAAAAGATGCGTTCGCACACAAACTCGAGGCATAGAAGTAACCCCACTTCAAACCCTGTGGGCAACCTGGGGATCCAAAGCGTTGGCCCAGGTTGCCCATCTACCAAATCGTCAGTGGTCAATTCTACCGCGAGGGGGCCAAGAACAACTGGCCATGCAAGCGGCGCTCCACCGCTGACAAAAGGTCGTCGCAGCGTATGCACGAGGGCTCTTGGGGTCACGGTGCGGGCGATAACGGTCATTAAATGTCTACGTGTTTTTGAACCAGTGTATTGTGTCCTTCCCCGAGACGGGTAGCAGCAAAGGAATTCCCACAACCTTCATATTACAAAAGGGAATGGGTGACATTTATTTTCTACAAGTATCGTCAGTGGCACTGCCACATACAGAGCTCAATGACAGAGCACAACTACTTTTTTTTTTTTTTTTAGGAGGAGGAAGTGTAGAACAAACAAAGACCTACTGTATCGTCGTCTCAAACATCTATTACACAAGCTTCTGAACAAGCGTCGCAAAAGCCTCCAAAAAAGAGGCGTCGTCCGACTCCTTTAAGTATAGCCACGCCACTACCAAAGGCCCTTACTATCTTGTTCTATACTGGCACAAAAAAAAAGTGTGCCGCGCGGCTCGTGTGACCTTACCGGGATTGAAGGACGAGTTGGAGTCGCAGTGTATAATACCGGCACCGGTGGTACAAACACACCGCCAAATACCGTGGAATTGGGCTATACAAGCAATACGGCCGTAACGGCCTGGTGGTGGTAGAGATGCACAAACACTGTTTTCACTGACCCCACTAACACGCAACATGCAGTGTGAGAAATAAATAAAAGGATGCAGTCGCACAAAAGAATGTGCCACAGGAACTCATAATCGTCGAGAAACGAAGAAAAAATCATGCGCCTCGTCTCGCCAGCGTCCGACGATCCAAGGCGATCCGACGTCGAAGCTGCCATAAAAATCCAATCGCGCCGTCGGATCGAACCGTTTCCCGAAATGTTACCAGCTGCACTCTTCTCGTTGGAGTTCCCGAAAACTTATGAAGTTCCAAGTTTGGAACAAACTCATTATGAGGCTATGGCAAGACACTCCTGAGCGGACCCCGAACCGGAGATCTTTGTGTTTGGCTCCGACAATCTGGTGGAGCCTTTTCTTTTCTAAAACCGCTCCCGAAATCCCGAAAGGCAGGTGGGTCCGAGACACGGAAAGGTGCGGACCCGCGGAATGAGAACTAAGCTAGCCGGCTTTCCGCTTCCGCCATCGGTTGTTTGTTGCCTCGGCGAGAGGGTCGTGAAGTTGGGTCTTCGGATGTTTTGTTTGTTGGCTGGCTGGCTACTGCCCGGCAAATGCCGGTGGCGGCAGCATCCGAAATCTTTCTTCAGGCGGCCGGAGCACGGCCCTGGTACGTGACGTCGTTTGGATGACCTCCACCGCCTTGACATTTCTGCGAGGGAAAGCAAACAAGTTAAAACTCGGATTTCAAGAAACCCAACTTTACAAACTAATTACTATATTTTTTGGTTTCTTACGGCGTGTTTCGTCTGCCAGGTCTTCATGGCCAGCTTGTACTTCTCAAACTCGTGGCACCAGTCCGAGTAAATCTTGCGGTAGTCCGTCTCGGATGGCGTCCCGCAGGTGTCTGCGAGCGGGAGCGGGTCGGCGTTACTCCACTGTCACGGGTTCCCACGTCAAAGCGCAGTATTTTGGTTGCGCCGTACCCCATTCATCTTTAAGCCAAGTGTTGAGATGTCTATGAGCATGTGCTCCTTGCTGTATTGTAAGCTCCAACATGAATGGGACAAAGACTAGAGCAGTGGGGAAGCTACAGACCCATTGAGTACTGCGAATTTGATTCATGATATGTTTGAAAGTAGTACTGGATGCTGAGTGTCTGTCATTGATTGGTGAAGATTACAGTAAACCAAGAGATAGTCTTTCCATACTCTCCTAAAGGTGAAATAGGGATGATTTTTTCATACTTCACCTATTACTTTTTTTGATAATTGTGTGCACTATGTTATGGAATGACTCAACAGTTGCAGTTACGCACGCAATTTCCAGCCGTCTTGCAAATGAATAAATATTTGATTCCAGTTTTCATAATTTGCCAGGTCAATGTTTTCGCTATCTCCACTCAAAAACTTGCCGAATTGGGTACCCACCAATTTCTCTTTCCAAAACCAATAGGAAATTTCAGTCCCCGAAAATACACTCTTTATGCGATTTTAAAAAAATCTCCACTTCGTCCTTCTTTTTCCAAATGCCCGCATTTGCAATGTTGGCATGTGCAGCGCTTTTCAAATACTCACGAAGGATTTTCTTGTTGCCGCATTGCAAGGAGCTTGGAATTGAGTCGATGCAATGAGTCAGCATAATCCTAGCAAACCTGAGCCACTCGCCCACGGATAGCTATGAGCCAAGCACTTTGAAGTATGAACATTACTGCTGGAAGGGATACGTCTGCTGCCAGAGGACAAGCGCTAACTAACAACTGACAATTAATGGACGAGTTGTTTGTCAGTGGGTGCTAGTCCTGCGTTTGCCCCCTACTACGGGGTGTTTCAAAGCAATGCTGTGGTGTAAAAAAATATAATAAAAATACACCGATGAACGGCGTTCTATCTGCTGGATTGGTTTTCGGGTATTCGCTGCAAAGAAGCTTTCACGTTTTTGCTTTACGTTGTGCCATCTGTGGGTAGCAATGTCAACCAAAGACGGCTTTTGCCGTTTTCCTCTCTATGCATAGAAAATTTTTAAAAAAGTTTTGGACTTAAATTATGTTTTTGATTTTTACGGCCGAATTGCGGTTGGCGACACACTGCAGTGTTTGTCCTGTTGAGCCGTGTTTACTTTAAGATGCACAACCAACTACCGTAAAATACCGAGCATGCACCCTCACTTGAGCAAGCGCCCCCCCCACATCTTCCTGGAATTGGCCATTTTTGTACATGACCGAGCAAGCACCCCCTCCCACTGCCACCCGTCCCGAAGGCATTTTTTTAGCTTTGTTTCGGGCTTTTCGGCTGTCGCAGTAGTGAACAAAGCCAATGTTGAATCCAATCCAATAGATTGCTAGAATGCACCACCAGCCATTGCCACCATTTCCTTGGCGCCTGCGTAGGGAGCGGCTGTCTTCGTTCGCCAAGCATCCGTATACGGTGCAAAAGAAACTCGAAGTTGTGAATAAACCTCGGAAGAATGGCAAAAACGTGTACCTGACCTCTCGCCATTTCAAGTTGGACTGTAAGAGGGTATGCGAGAGGTACGTGAAGTACAAACTTCGGGAAGTCAAAGGTGCGACGCAAATTGAGCAACGGTGCCCATATCTTTAGCGAAGTTGACGACGCCTTGTACGAGTTCTCGGAGTGCGAAAGGAACTCTGGACGTGCGGCGAGGAGAGCGACCTTCATGAACGGCTGTCTGACGTCGGCGCCATTGTCCCCGAGAACCCCGACAAGCTGCGGACCGAGGGCCTAGACCTCATTTTTAGATCTGATACATAGGATCGTTTTTGTGACTTTCATAGCGACTGAGGAGAATACCAGAATTTCCGAATTGAACATTGATTGGAGTGTCTGTAAATGAATGTTTTCAATATTGCACGCTATAATGCTTTCTTTATTTCAGTTTTACTGGCCTCCCTTTTGTGGCTGCCATCTTGAATTTCGGGATCCATCCGAGTAAGGGCCCTCTCCCTATCTAGGCGAATTATCTCGAAATTTTGGGGGGTGCTTGCTCGGTATTTTACGATAGTCTGCCAGTCAATTTCGATTCAGACAGGGTTCCTTAAGATGTGCAAGTTTGAGAAACACCGACCCAAAACACCGCACCAACGTAATCGAAGAGACTGACCGGCGTCCACGGTGACGTTGTAGCTGCACAGCGTTCCGAGGGAGTCCAGGTGCAGGTCGTAGCGTCCGGTGTCCCGCTCAGTCAGCCCCAGCACCACCAGCCCGTGTCCCGTCGAGTGGACAAACTTGTCCCGCTTGCTCGGCACCGGGCGCCGCTCCCGCCCCTGCTGGTGGTACCACACCGGGGTCGCCCCCGTCGCACCCGGGTTGCCCCGGAGCGCTCCCGCGTGGGGCGGCTCCAGGAGTTCGGGGTGGTGGCCCTGACAGCTCAGGTGGACGCTCTCGCCCCAGTGGGCGCGCAGCTGGCGACGACGGATGCCTGGGGGCGAGGCGAGACGGCTCAAGGGGAGGTGCGACGACTTTAGCGTTGCAAGAACTTGCGGCACGTTACTTTTATTTAGCTTATCGTAGCGCGAGTAGAAGTAAATATGCCGTTTTCCCCTAGAACCAGGATACTGCAATGTCATCGTGCAATCACAAAGCAAAAAACATGGTAGATGGCGCTACAGATGCCATCCAAGTCAACAAAACCATCCCATCTCTGCCATTTCTGTGACAAACTGGAAAAAAATGTATAGCAACACTTGTGTTTTCTCGCTCGCCTGAGATCAAGTGTCAGTTGCGAACGTCAGTGATGCCGACTGGTTGTGGTGTTTGGACAAGAGTATGTAGAAATACAAAAAAAAAAAAAAGAGAAGTAAAAGATATCAAAGGAGGGAACTAAGATGCATAGAAATACACCCATTTAAATGCAACTAAAGCACCACACGTGAAACAAATGCTAGGCTCGTTCGATTTGACTACACCTCGTGCGCCAGTCTGCACTTCGTGTCAAAGTTGCCAAGTAACTAAGTTCAAGAATTTAGGCATTTGTTATTAGCTACAATTTTAGTAACTAAATACAAAAAAAAAAAAAAACTTGGACGCTTTGTTTTAATATTTTTGGTTATTTCGAAGCGTGGTTGCTGCCCCGGCAATCATTCATGCCAGTCTATGAAGCAAAAAATATTCAGAAATTAAAAGTTTATCCTATAAGACTGGTTAATACCGAAGGATATTTTCTTGTGCGCTCGAGATATCCAGGAAATTCAGGAGCGTGTAAAAGCCTCGTGATTATGCTGGCCAAGCTTAGATAGCAAACATGCACACTTCATCACTTTGATGTACTGCGTGGCCAAGTCGAGCATTACCGCGGAGCACGGACGACCAACGAAGCTTGCTTCGAGGAATTTCCCAGCCCTATGAGCCCTTTTGTCCATCGTATACACTGATGCCAACGAGCAAGTCATGGTCTGTGACCGCTTTTGGACACTGAAACTGTGCAAGCGGTTACTCCTAAGAACGGTCGCATCGCTTTCAATGCCGAGTGCCGCTGACACGGAAGTCGCGTGTGGCATTGCAGAGGACTTTTTCACATTATTGTCGGCGAAGAAACTGCTGAATGCACTCTAAGAAAGGTTGGCTATTTGCAAAGCGGTTACTGCTGCGCAACTGTTAGCAGAGGCCAGCAAAAAAATCAACAAATTCTCCCCAGTGAGTACTGAATAAAAAAACAAACTTGCAGTTTGAGTGTGTTTTATTTAATTCAAAGTTCACTTAATTTTTAAACGTCTTGCTGTCCTCGTGAGCTTTGAATTATCGAGAGTCTACTTTCTAAGTAACAATGAAATTTAAGCAATTCTACGTTCAAACTGTAGTTGCACCTCTGGGGTAAGAAATTAATCGGCTCCATTGCTTGTCAACATCATGCTCACAGATATTGCATAAACTCACGTTAATTTTACTTATATGCGAGCTTGGTGTGGTGCTCTTTCACCAAGGATGAAATTACAAAAGTGGAAGGCATTTAAAAGTTAGCTCCTCGGTTTGTGTTTAACATTTATAATCAAGATCATCACCCACCAAATTAACAAAAAGAGCTCAGCTTCCGATATTAGAGACACAAGCTCAAATAGGTTGAAAACTGTTTATAATATGATGAACGGCTCCATTCACATAGGTAGCTCTGACAACCGTTTTAGGACTTCTTTCTTCCCTCGGGCAATTCAGGATTGGAACAATTTAGCAAATGACATTGGGACTTTAACTAATTTCGATACCTTAGTAGAGGCTATTGAGTTACACTTTAACAAGAAGCTCAAAGGGTTTTTGATAAAAACGAGTTAGACGTGAATTCTAGAGTATATTTATCACGTTTGTTGTCCTCGAAGATATAACTAAACATCAGAAAACAAGAAAAACCTCCAACCAGTCGTTACGTCGTACTATTATCTACTATCTTTCAGCCGCTAAATGCGTGTCGCTCATGTGGGCAGCGCGTGCAATGGCAAGCTTGCCGGGTATTTTCCCCCGCACCGACACCAGCCAAGACGTCTTTTTCTAACCTTTTTGAAAACGGCAAGAGTGCATGTGCATAGCTTTGATTGGAGCTAAAGACACGCGAGAGCGGAGATTTCGAAAACTCTGGCTATGACGTCACACTCCGAGAAGGAAGGACTTCAGCGGTACTTCGAAAATCATTTTCCGCAGCCTCCGTGCACCAAATTGAAAAAATAATCTCGATATTTGTGATTTTGGAAGCCAAATGAAGACGATTTAAGTGTTTTTCCTCAAAAACAGAGCCCCTTCAGTTTTTGTTTAACGGTGTGCCGCTATATTTTTCCTTATTTTTAAGAAAACAAAACTTTAAACCACTTCTACAGTCGATTTTTCAGGGAAGCTGGTAGTATTTTCAAATAAATAAATATATATTGGTGCAAGCAGAGAGCTAAGGCCCACACGAAACTATGCCGACCTCTTTTCCGTGTTAAAAATTAATCTACAGTGAGCGATTGCAGCACATCTCGATGTTGAGGGATTTTTAAAAGCAATCGGAATGGGCGTTGTATTTTATGAGTAAGTTTAATGGCAACCAAGTACAATGGCAAAAATGTAACAATAGTTATAACTTAATTATGCTTCAGCTCGTTTAACCGCAACCTAAAGTACTTTTCTTGGACAATTTTTACACCTCTGTTCGGTGTAGGTCGGCACAAGTAAATGACAGAATAGCAGAGAATAAGATGCTCGAATACTTACTGCCTTCGCAAAGCCCTGGCGTGGTATTACTCACATCCTGAAGGTACCTGGAAAGGTGATGAGGCATACAGAAATTAATCACAAGCTTAAGATACAGGTGAATGCTCTTTAATAAAATCCCTAGTTAAATGTGTTCTCGCACACCTGCTTTGTTACACGAGGGAACTCACTACGGTAAGTCTCGCATGAAATAAAAGTTTCTAAAGTGCGCACCTAACTGTAATGTATGGAACCTCGACCCTTGGGAAAACGTGTGCATGATGGGATTTCAACCACATTGGGAATATTCACCACCCTCAAACATAACCGGATCTCAAGCAGATTGGGAATGAAATGCATTAACAAGTACGAACAGAGCTCATGTTGCGCACGTTCCAGAACACCACAACCTTTCAACAAATGCCCCCATAGTCGCAGACGGCACGCCGACGTACACTCCGTGCTTTCCACCGTTCCTCTCTCTCTCTCTCTCTCGTATCCGCTCCACCTTTCAACTCACCCCAACATGCAGCTTTGGAGGGGAGGTTTAGGAAAACTATCATTTGATAATGAAGTGACGTGTGGAGCATGTTTTTCAAGTTTTTGTGCTGAAATTTTGTAAGGACTGCAGCTGGAAGCTTACTTTCTGCATTTTCATGTTTTTGTTATGAAAAAATACCAATATCTTTAACCTGCTGTACGTGAAAAAAAATTAACTTTTTTTCACAATTTTATTTTTGATTAAAACACTTCCAGCCTTCCTCTCTGGTGAAGAAGGAAGACCAGCGAAGCTGTACTATGGTGGGATTGAAGTATTTATAAAAACTACCCAGCCAGCGTGGCGTCCTGTCGTCGCCGGGCATCGCGCTTGCGCTTGGCTTCCGTGGCACGATCGTCGTCCGTGACGTTGGCCCGCCCGCGCCGGCTACATCGCTGTTTCTGTTCACGGCGGTGTTCGAGGCGACACTCTGCTCTTCTTTTGCAAGGGATTCGGAACCACTCAACGCAGAGGAACTTGAGGCGATAGTGGCTTCGCGGCGTTTGCGCGACCCATCGCAGTGCTGCGCGTGTCGCCGCTCCTTGCGCTCCCGCTCTTCTTTCTCCAAACGAACGTTGTCACGTGGCCGAATCATTGCGAGTCCAAAGGGCAACTGATAAGAGCACTTGCGCAACCTCAACATCACAGGACACAGGACACACACGACTGGTAGGTAAGATGATGTTTTCGACTCTCCTCCTCGTACGCAAGTGAGGGTGACGGTGAACTGGCTCAAGTTTTGTGTCAACACGCCGCTTGTCCGCGGACACAGTAGGGGGGGAACCAGCCCTTAACAGCTTCGCTGTAAAACTGTATAATTTCTGTAATTTGTTTCTATAGCCACATTGTTACACTGTATGTTTCACCGAAAGAACTGGCTATTATCATGACCTTTTCTAAAATATAGTCATCCCCAGGTGGCACAGTGTACACTCTATGCACTTCACGGAACTCTCCCAACGATAAACTTATAAACTTGAAACTTTACACGTCATCCTCTTCCCCAGCTATGGATATGCCTTGAAAATTTTCTACAAATGAGACTAACAGTTACAAAGCTTGCTTTCCCAAGCAGTGTCCTCCCTTAAAACGAGCAAAAGGGGGGTCGTCTTTCTGTCCTTCTCACCCGTTGACGTAGGGGCGGCACTCATGGTGCTCCCTGTCCCAGCCACAGTAGGGGTCCCGCACACAGCGCAAACAGCTCAGGTGGCGCCCCCTGCACAGGTGCAGGCTCACCTGGCGCACTCCGTCGTCCGAGCCCACGTACAGCGACTTGTGCTGCGAAGGGGGAAGAGACAGCCAATGGCCGCGTCGATTTGGGACCTCCATTTAACCCCACCGTATAACCCCGTAACTCCATATAAACCCGTGTTCCACCAAACACGGGTCAAAATGTCTGTGTGAGAAAACCATGCATTGCGCAGAAAAAAGATGCATACCGGTAGCGTCCTTCGTTTTAGGGTAAAACCCTATATTTACACCCCGACTCGATCTAAAAAACACAACTCGATCTAAAAAAATCGAGTTAAGCTTGATTTTTTCCTCCGAGGTCGGAAATTGAATTTCACCAATTTCCAAATGGCTCTGCTCCGAATGTATCTTTCAGGAAACAAAGGGTTGGTAGGAACACGTGCGCTAGCCGCAGACCTCGGAAGCAAACCTAGATTCTGTTGGATTCAGTGCACTGCAGAGAACTTCAGTGAGTCAAGCCCCAGAATGCTCCCTTTAGATCTATTGTCAAGTACCCTTTGCCCTTCTCAATTTTAATCCCTGCAAAAAAAAAAAAAGAGTAAAGAGAAGGATGAGAAGTTATTTTCAAAACTTTGCTTTGAAAGAAGAGTTCGAAATTTTGTTCTCGTCAAAATGAAGTGTTATTGTTGTGCTTTGTAAATGTATGCATAAGCTGGGAGATGTTGAGAGAACATTCTCTCAATTCAAATATGCCCAAAGGACGAAACAAGACTAGCTAGGATGGAAACAGAAATGGTGCACATGCAGAAGATAATGTAAGCAAAAATAATTACGAAAAAATTAAAAAGTCCGAAAGAGCTCTTATATTATGTTCCCATGCTATCTTGTGTGCTATAACTTGACTGTGAGAAAAAAAAAAAAAAAAAAGAAAAAAACACATTGATATAATGAATGCGGTCAACGTTTTTTACTGTTAATTATACTTACATCTTTCCAAATAAAATCTGAAAAAACCCGAATTCAATAATTTTCAATTTCTCCAGATTACCAGCTTTAACCCAGCGCCCAATTTTTAGCCCCAATTTTTGAAGAATATCAAACTCGAAATCGAAGGATTCTACGCATTGGTCACTAATTGTGTGGTGTGTATGTTCAGACAGCCAAATGTTATTAGCCAGCCCCAGTGGACGTCTGGTGTCTCAGCTGTAGATGAGAAATTTGACCAGTGCAGTACCACTGGACACCTGGGGTCTTTAATGTGCATCACGCAGTAGCGATACACGACCACACGCCGGTTCGACGTTCATCCAGGTCGAAACGGACGGGGGTGGGGATGGAACCCAGGATCTCTCGGCTCTGCAGCGCGAGCTTTTGCTCTACGTGCCCAGAGCTGCCGTGCAGTAACGCACGTGGCCACCGTTCTTCCACTTGCTTACTATCGAAGAGTCTATTTACTGAGGTGCGTAGTGTCTAAGGTAATTAAATATTTTGAGTTTGATTCGCATAATTAACTTTTGTAGTTAGTGAAAATAGAAAGATAGTTCCAGTTAGAAACTTGGTAGACATCATTGAACAAATTTAGAAAGGTTTGGAGTGCGCGCTTTATTTTTGTCTTCCTAAAATTTACCGATTTAATGGTTTACGATGACGCTTATCAAGTTTCTAACTAAAACCATTTAAATCAGTGATACAGCACGCAATTAACACGAACAGAGATGGACAGCGGACAGGATGAGCGCCGAAACGACACGTTTATTTTTACTAACAAAAAGGTTAACTATGCGCAGCTAATTAAGGACTTATTCTCCGAAGCAGTGTGGACTTCGCTAAATTGGCCACTCAACAATGACTGATGTGGTGCCGATCGGTTTTCCTCCGCGATGCATAGTTCTTGCGCTAAAAGTTGGGCCGACGTTCGGTGAAACGGCCGACCTATCAAACACCGACACTGCAGAGATACACTAGGGGGAAAAGAGAGTATGCTACCTCATTGGAGACCTCCATGGTACGAATAGGTTCCCCGGGATTGACCTCGAACACGTCCACGAGGTTGGAGAAAGACTGGCCGGAACGGTCCTTCCACTCCACCAGCTTGTAGACCAGGCCGTCCCCTGCGCGCCAGGCCAAATACGTTGATACAACCACTCGGGTGGTGACAAAAAGCAGGCACCGATATACCAAAGTTTCTTTCTGCTGACTTTACTGTAAAGAGGTTTTAACTGTACTTCAACATTGCTTCCTCGACAAATACGCTCGCCCATTTTGCTTTAACACCACCACAAATGCAAACAAACTGTAGTCCGCTTCGCCTCTAAGTGTGAACGGGCAGTAGAGGCCTTTCTGGTGAGAGTGCTCGTTCCAGAAAAGCATGTTTCGAAGCGCCTTCGAAACACTAAACTCTCGGAGAAGCTTTTTTTTTTTTTTTCTTTTTTAAACTGCCTGGATAAGACATTCTGTCACAAAACGCACTCCCCCCCTCTAAATATATTAATGCTATATTTTATGTTGCAAGACATAAGTTAGCCCCTTGGCTACCAATCATTCGTGTCGCCCCTAAAGCCGCAGTCCCACAAAAAACACTGTGTTCGCTGCAGGCGTAAAGACAGAATTGTCTGCACCTCAAGCACGTTTCAGGACACATTTGCTTTGAACATATCTTTTTGCATATATAGCGTCTGCAGGCCATCTCTTATAACGTACTAGCAGCGCAAGCATGGCTTAAAGGACCAGAATCGGTGCCGCGAAGGCCGCTTCAAGGGTGAACGAAGCACCGTCCAAACGCGACGGGGAAATTCCACTCACGGGTGCCGGCGTAGTAGACGAGGTAGTCCACGCCATCCACGTCGACCCGGTGCACGGCCAGCGAAAGGAACACGACGTTCTCGCGGAAGAAGACGGGGCGCCCTCCGGCCTGGGGCACGGCCGAGTCCATGAGGGTGTGGGTGCGCAGAAAGTTGAGCACCGCGTCGGGCAGGGTCTTGGTGCTGTTCACGCACAGGCCTGGACGGGGCTCCGGCACCTGGCTCGTCAGCACGGGGAGCCAGGCGGACGAGGACGTCTTCTGCTCCTTGAACTTGCCCCCGAAGGCGCCCTGGATGTCGCTCAGCCGGAACGAGCAGACGGCTGATCCGTGCGGGCCGCCGTGCCTGGGGTCGGGTGACACGGTGAACTCAGCACGAGGACTTAAGGCCGCCGCCAGAATCCGATTCACACGGTCGGGCGACGCTTTCAGGTTCGATACGGAAGGTCGAGCCAAACCGCCACAATCGAATTCAAACGGTCGGGCAACACTGTCATCTTAATACGGAGGGTTGAGTCGCCACAACCCAATCCAATCTGCATGGTCAGGAAATGCTAGCTGCATTCGATTTACCCGCACCTCCTGCAGCGGTGCAGAAAAGTGTAGGGTGTTGTACTTTCAGTCGTATCTCAAAACACATCACGGAAGTACACTGCCCAGCACTTTTCTGCACCAGTGCAGGAGGTGCGGTTAAATCGAATGCAGCTACTATTAACTCAATAAACGAGGCTAAGCTGCCACAATCCAATCCAATCTCATCCACATAGTCAAGTAACAGTCGATTTGATATGAACAGTTAAGTTGCAACAATTGAATCCACACAGTCGAGCAACTGTCGACTCGATACAAAGGGGCCAGAGGAAAATTGTTCACACCCTCGCCGGGCAGAAAAGGCGGACGGGGGGGGGGGTTTGACATTTTTAGTTTTTTTTTTGCCTGATCCCCCAAAGGTCTGCCTGGTGATAGTTTCAAGCCAATACGAGAAACGCATTGACTTGAAAAGGGAAAGGGGAAACCAGGTTTTAGCTATCGTTTCTAGGCTAAGTGGCGCAAGATACTGCTCGTTTCGAAGGCTACACCGTTATCATCCATCCATCCAGTTTGAGTCTCCAAATTCCAATCCAATTGACATGGTCAAATAACACTACCAACTCGACACGAAGGGTTACCTCACCGCTACCGAATACAATCTAGAAGGCTTTTGCAATGTGTGGTGGTCGCACCGCTGAAAAGCACCGACGTGGTTTCCTTGGGGGCTTTCCTTTCTAAGTGCGCGGCGTTCACAAATCGGCCCACATACTGCGTGTTCCGTCGCCGCATCCAGTAATCTGAGTGAAATTGGGCTACACTACAAAAAAGGGTTACATTGGAGTCCACTTACAGCGATGTGGTGAAGACTGCGTAGACGTAGCTGTCGTCGTCTGGAAACTTGTACACCGACTCTGCCAATGAATTGCAACGAGTACGTAATTAAGAATGCGGGTCGGCTTAACTCGGCGGCTAACGGAACTCACGGATTTCATTGAAGTAAAAGGGGTACTCTCCGGGTAAGGAGCAGTTGAGGCGTGCCTTGAGGAATGTGGCCCAGTTGTGCGTAAGGATGTTCTTTCCACCCGTGTCTTTCTGCAACATTCCAAGCAGACCGACAAATCTAAGGGCAACCGGCGACCCATCGAAAACCTTGCTGTGAGCTCCGCTAACATTTAAGCACGAAGAAAAGAGCTTAACTGACCTTCGTTGTGACCAGAAAAAATGCAGTGCCAACACCGGATTTTCGCATCAAAGCAGCTCTACTAGGCGTCGACTATTCTGCGCTACGTTGTCGAAGTTAGCGTAGCTTCCTGCAGTGCTCCAACTCTGTCAAATCTAGCTTAGCAAGAGCATGAAAAGGAGATGCAAGATGAAGTCGTGTGCTCTCCCAGTAGTGCGGGGCTGTGGCACTCTGGAAGATACGCTAACCTTTACAATGTAGCACAAATAGGTGGACACCGTTCATATAATCACTAAACAGACTGCGCTTATAAGGGAAGTCAATGAGGCCGTAATTTTGAGTCAGAGCAGTGTTGTTAGCTGTCGGCGACTTGCCTGGCAGAAGGGATTTTCACCACTTCTAATCTTTCTGCTTGTTAAAACGGCCCGTTACAGAACACTACAATGCAATCCAATTATAACGATAATTAAAAAATCCAAAAATTCAATAGTTATAACCGACTATTGTTGTATCAGGACCAGAAACTGATCATTTCTAGTCTAGAAACAGACCATTATAAGCAGTACATTGTTATATGTGGTTCCATTATAAGTGGATTGCACAGTACACCATTGACAAAGTCTCAGCATAAAATGTAGTAGAAATCCATGTTAAGCCTAGCTTGACAATAATTGTCCCTAGTTATGTTTCTTTCATGCATGCAGTAGCAATGCAACCAACTGTTCTTAGCATGAGATGCAAAGCTAAAAAAAAATTAAGCCCAAATTAAAAAAAAAAATTTATACAAGCTTGAATATGTTGACAGACTGGTAAGCACGGAATGGTAAGCACCGAAGTCTTTTTATACGGTACCCTATGAGCATAACGCTTTCGGTGTCAGTTTTTTGTTACAGTCAAACGTTACCGACCTCCATAGAAATCGCCCGATAAAACACGTGCTGCGTTAAAATTATTATTGTCCTTCCGAGAAGGCAGTAGAAATGCAACTGATTGTTCATAAAAGTAAAAAGGATAGATCAGGCTGCGGCAGCTCACCTTGCAGACGCGGGCAACACGCGAGTAGATGACCTTCCCGCAGTTGATGTACTCCACGGCGCTCTCGCGGAAGAAGAAGAAGACGTGGTCTCCGATGTCGAAGGAGCCCACAAAGTTGGGTTCTGCGACGCGAGAAAATCGCAAGAAGACAGGTCGTGAAGAAAAGACGTAACGGTGTAACGTAATGAGAATAACCTTTTGTGGCAATGCTTGGTCATTTGCTCCTGAATTTAAAAGGCACGCAGTCATCCGAAGACATTTTGCAAGCCTATCCTTGTATATCAGGTTTCCGTTTCACTATACACCTCTATACTAGTAGAGACCGATGTATAGTGAAGTTGGGAATATAGTGAGACAAAGTTTAAGCATGCCTCTAATACTTCTAAAGGCTTTCAGGCACCAATGTAGAAAATGTTTTACTTCTCCTCCCCCCCCCCCAAGAAAAAAAACAACTGAATTTATTATAAACAGGGTTAGCGATACTGCTTACCTACTAAAAAAAAATGCTGAACTCCACTAGCTATTGCAGCACCAGAAGACTGTTAATAATACAATAGTGACTGCTAAAGTTCAAACGCCCCGACCCCGATACACTGAAGAAGTATAGGAGTCGGTACGGCAGTAGACCCCACCGCCCCAGTTTTTGTTCACGAGGCCCGTTTCAAATGCCGCAACTTATGACACGGGCCGATGCAGGCACCTTAAAAACCCGCACCACAGGGGTGAAGCGCAGAGTGAAGGCAGGGAGCCGTGGTGACTCACTGTCGAGCCACATGGAGTCGTATTTGAGGGTGCGCATGAAGAACTCGCTCTGCTCGTGGGTGGTGCGGTTGAACAGCGTCGACCGGAAGATCACCGTGTCCGCCTTGGTGAACTCCGCCACCGTGCCGCTGTACAGCCCCGGCAAATCTCCGGGGTTGCCCCGCTCTGCGGAGAAGGCGGCCCTCACAATTCGCCCGAGTTACTGGTCGGTCGATTAAGTCGGTTGAAGTAATTTCCGGCCTATAAGTCGCACCTTCCTATAAATGCTCCTCTTCGCAAAAACGTTGCTACGCAAGTCCCCCTTCTTTGCACAATGAGCCCAGCACAGTAGCCACAGACTATAGTCCGCGGATTGTACGTGTTTAAAAGTTTAAATTTTACGCGGTGCGAACTTTCTACGGGTGCGGACTATACAAGGATTTGTTTTTTCTAGATCGTTGATTATGACGAGACAAGACAAATTCTGCGAATGACAGAGTAGTATGTTAATAAAAATTTCTGTATGATACGAGCTTCTTTGTGAGCTAAGAAAGCTAAAATTTATCAAGGTATACTGATTATAAGTTTTTTTGTTTTTTTTTAAACTTCAAACTATACACTGATTCCAACTATAGTCCAGAAAATGGGTTTCACAGATCGGCAGCAAGGGGGCGGTGCCCAAGGGTTGTACTTGCAAACATGCACAGACAACTGGGAATATCATTGTATTGAATTTTATATAAAGCTCAATTCTTCCACAGCCAGTAATGTGTGACTGTATGCATTGCTTTTTTTTTTATTCTTTTACTATGACATTGTACGACTAGTGTTGATAGGTCGATCAATAGTCAAGTCCCTTTTTTTCTCCCTCTCCGACGAGCGCTGTGCACGGCTGCGAGCGCCTCGTCGGGCAGCGTCAGCCAGCCCCTCGTTCCATCATCCGGGACTAAAAGTCCGAATAAGGTCTAATCATTATTATTACTACATCGTTAAAACATAAATCTCCGGCGAAGCGCAGCCACACTCACCGACCCAGACGGCGGTAGAGTTATCGTCCGGATCAAAAGGGCACTTTCCGATGCCCCGCCCGATGTCTCGCAGGGTCAGCTGATCCCTCGGCACCTCGGTCAAGTTGCTGCTCTGCAGGGGCAAAGACGGTAAGAGCAAAGTCGTCTCAACAACACTTTGGGACCGCCAAAGGCCCGTTCGCACGCTTGCATTTGCTCACGACCGAGCCTCTACGACCCCTTACGACGCAAGAACACGCTGACATCTACCAGTTAGGCCTGGAACACTTCTGACCCTCGAATATATTTTTCTCTTTTCTCACTCATCTTTCTTTCACTGTGGGCTCTAATGGCGTAAATTCGATCTCAGAAAGACAGCAAAACCTTCGGTCTGGTTATACGCTGGTTCGATGTGTTCCACACATACCCAATTGACGACAACAGCGGGCCAGCATTTGGAAGGGATCGCAACATACGAGGCACGGTCAAACGCAAACGTGTGATCCGGCATCAAAACGTTACACAACGAGGTAACCGGCAGACCGTTACTACGATCCAATTTGTGTCGAGCGCGGGGACTCACGAATATCTCCAGGTCCCGCGGATTCTGAGCGTTGGTGCCGCACACGTAGAGCTTGCTGCCATCGCCTATGGGCTGGATGACCTTGATGTGGTTCCTGCACTCGTAGTCCTGTAGACCGACGTGGTCGGCTCTGGTTAGGCTCAAGATGCAAGTCAAAAATTGATGGGCAAAGTTAATGCTTCCAATGAGAAGTAAACGGACTGACACACGCTCAATCACCCAAAATAAAGTGTGCCGTCTGAAAGCCTAAACCTGAACATCACTCGTGCGTGCCATTGATGTCTACCTTTAGTTGTTTTTTTTTACCTTCACAGCCTTCGCATTGAAAGCAATTATCTACTATGTACATGATACCGCAACCTGCACATCTGTTGCATGATTGCCTAAATAAATTGAACTTCATGTCATCAAGATCATTATAAAGAAGGGCCAGTTTATAGATACCCTGTAATCACATGACGTTTTGGACCCAACCCCGAGACAAGGCAAGACTTCATCCTAGTATTTTGTTTCTGCATTATGAAAAAAAGATGTTTCTTCTTAGGTATGTATGAGATATGACCGTTCATTCAATAGTAGCCTTACCTATGCAGACCACACAAAGCGGGAGAAATACAAGGGAACAAAATGAACAAGGCAACATACCTCACGCTTTCCTTTATAGACACACGTGGACACAACGTTGGGATTCGCCGTCAAGCTGCGATCCTGTAAAGAGCGCAGAGTGCGTATTGGCACGATAGACCGGCAAACTCACTTAAAAAGTTGAGTACCTAACTCGTAACTCATGTCATATCAAAAGCCCCACTCACGTTGCACTTGGTTCGGTTGACGTTGGCCAAGTTGAGACGGAACACTTTGTCCCTGAAAACAAGTGAAACACGGTAATGTTAACAGTCTACCTACGGCATCCCGATGTGCCACAATCCGGTTATCGGATTTTCTTATCGTATTTCTTTATTATTTCGTATCAATTTTTTGTTGTCTTCTTTGTATTTGTTTTATGCAGACTTTCCGCTCGAGGTCACGGTTCAAACCTGCTCACATTCCTCCGACGAAGAGAACTTCCCGCTTGCGATCCATGTAAAATGTCCTGTAGTAGAGACGTCCGCACGAGAACTCACGTACATGATCTGAAACAAAAGTTTTAGATCAGTGATTGTACCTGAACTAGAAACAAACTCTGATCAGCCTACTCGTAAGCGAGACATATACAGGGGATTTCTGCAAAAGCTTTCAAAAGTCCCCAAAAAATATGCTGTTCGAGATAAAAAAGAAACTTTTTGCGGGAGCCTTGGCAGACGTCAAGGATTGCAAAAACATAGTACCATAAAATGCCGTGGAAGAGCCCACTTCGTTCAAGTGCCCACAATTAATGTGTTCCAAACTTGGGAATTCTACAACTTATGCGTCAAATGCTCGATTTGACCGGACGGGCGCCCATGTTTAGATTAATCCAGTTTTCAGTGGAAGTGGAGTGGGCACTTTTCCGGTATTTTACGGTAATTAGCAAGATGATTAACTAAATATTTTTTAATTATTTTTTCAATTAGTCAAAACTAACATATGACTCCAATTAGGAACTTGCTAAACGCCATCGAAAACCACTAGATCAACTTTTTTTAGAAATACATAAGGCAGGGGCAGCACTTCACAAAATGCCAAAAAAAAAAAAAATCAGTTTGGACGTGTTTTTTGGGTTTAATTTCTTACCGGAGCGCATCCCTTTGCCCATGGTCCCCAGTGGCCGAGACATGCAACACACGTGCACCATACTTCCGTTCATTCTACGAGGAAGGCAGCGCGCCGGGAAGTGGCTCCGGTAAAAAACCGAAACCTAGAAATGCGTCCAAAGTGAGTTTTCTTTTCAGAACGCCGTAAAATGCTGCCCCCACCTTATATCTTTCTAAAAAGAGTTCATTTATCGGTTTTTTATGATGCCTAGCAAGCTTCTCGGTAAAACTATATGCTTACAATCACTAATTAAAAAATTAATCAGTAAATTTTAGTTAACCGTCTTGCTAATTAGTATGCTTTCGCAGCCCTTGACGACGGGCTGGTAGTTCGTTCCTGCAAAGTTTCTTTATCTCGAACAGCATATTTTCAGGGATTTTTAAAGCTTTTGCAAAAACAGCCTGGATAAAGGGTTTTCTTGAGCGATCATAAGCCATAAAAAAGCCACACGTATAAGCCAAGGGACAGAGTGCAATGAAAAATTTCACAAAGGTGGTACATGCTCAAATCTGCCAAGCCTGCTCTAAAATGTTTGTCCTAAAATTTTTTCTTCAAGAATTTGTTTTAAGTGGTGCCACCTGTGAATAGCAGGCCAACTAGATGGTTTGATTCCATTTTTCTCCTGACCATAGGAATAACACATTCTTCTTTTCTTGCATTATTTTTTCCAGAAGCCTACACTTGCAAAATTTGGATATGATTAGAATCCTATGTTTTCGGTGTTTATTTTTCTTCAAATTCAGTAATGTTTTTTCGGTTTTTTTTTTTTCTTTTTTACCCGCACATGAGGTATTTCTCGGTGTCAATTTTCAGTGTTGGACAATAAATTGGTGTTTGTCGAGCCTTATGCTGAAGAAATGAGACACTAACTGTAATTCTTCAACCTCCAAAAACATGCTTGTGCCCAGAATACTTGGATAATGTTGCGGCACCAACAAAAGAAGAAAACAAGATAAGGGATCTTGCTTCCGAAGAAAGAAGCAGCCTCGCAAGCAGTTCAGTGTGGCCGTGTTCACGTAAAATAAAATAAAATTGGAGTCGAAGACTTTTTGTTGGGGGGGAAGCTTGGGTTTTTTTTAGTGAAGGAAAGTTCTCATTCTGTGTTTTTCGGCTTTTCCCGATTTCAATAAAACCAGCTCAGGGGTTAGTTTTGGGGCTTGTCGGTATTTACAGAAAACAAGGAACCTTAGTTACGATAAATGCACCACATAAAGACACCTTTGTGATAAAGTTTTGTATACTCTTTTCTTTTCATTTGCTTATTTAAACTGCTCTTTACGACAGAATAGTGCACGAGAACACACTATATATGGATGAGCTATGCAAACGTATGCATCAGGAGTCGCAAACAAAGAAACAGACGTCCTCAGCTTCAAGTCCATAGTAGACAGCCCAGTACAAGAACAACAACAGCATCAATTATTCAATGTTCAAGAGAAAAACACCAGTGTCCCCTTGAGCACACACACAACAAAAAAAACTCTAGAGAGAAAAAAAGAAAAGGAGGGTAAGAAAAAAGTACTAAACAATGTGGGACATGGGTGTGGCTAAGTGCATGAACATGCCAGCCACCGTTCCCCTCACCCATCCTCCTATCAGTCCACCTAGAACGGTTTGGCCACTGACATCCTTTAGAGAATGCCCCAAACAAACAGTACTATAAAACCAGTATGTTATAAAACGTGCCAAAAAAATTATCCTGACGATGATTACACTACTTCATTACCCACTGACAGAACCCTGTCATTAAACACGAGGCAAGAAGACAACGCCTAAATGCAGACGACCAGACATCTATTGCAGACGACGCCGCCGCCATTATTTCGAACCGCCCGCGCAGGCGGCACAAAAAACGCGGAGTCGCGCGACGCGAGGACATCTTCGAACACAAGTTGTTGACTACTCCGAGAACACGCTCGATCACTGACCTTTGTGATGATGGCGTAGCGCAAAAGGCCAGCGACTGCCGGCAACCGCCCGCGCGAGAACCGTTACAAACAGCAGCGACAGCGGGACCGCCCGTTCCCCGGCCATAACTCCCGCCACCCGATGTCTTGCCGAGTTCTAGGAGAACGCTAACGACTGGACTCTGGGGAAAAGACGGGCTCGTCTCCGGAGAACGGCACGACACCGTCCCCACATCGCGAACAGCCGGGAAACTCGCGGTCTTCGAAGCCCGGTCTGGGCGGGTCTCAAGCCGCGGGCGTCGCGGCGCTACGGTCTACGTCTCTACTACCAGGACCGATCGATGATGTGGGGAGAGCGGCACGAGTAGCGACGCACCTGCGTTGCGCCGTCAAGCGCATCCTTCCCTACCGACGGGGCCGTGGCGGTGTTTCGACCCGGAGCTGCGACACTCGTGTTTTATGGTCTTTGAGCTAAAAAAAGCCACACGCATCGCATTCTACTGTGTCGAGTACGCGGTTCCATTCAAGATGGCGGCCGCGTCAGGAGATCACGTCTGCTAACCGTCTGATATCGGCAAAATGAACAAAACTGGCGGCGCGACGCCGATTTAGGGTCTTCTCAACTGAACAGAACGAAGCTCGGGAAGTTTCTTCACTTGTAAAATGAATTCAGCGCGATAAAAATGCTGCTTTGTTCGGTAGATGGCCGAGATTAAGTCGGGTGGGTGGTCTTTGTAACTGCAGTTTCAGTTTTCTAGAGCGGTAGCGCGCCGCTGTTGTCGGGTCTGCCTTTTGAACACGGGCATCATCGAGTAGTAAAATGCGCACTGTAGCGCCAGTCACAAGTGCAGGTTCACGTTCGCTTCTTACGGAAGTCAGTGACCACGCGTCGTTGCAGTTCGGCGTTGCAGTTTCGTTCGTAAGAAATGCCGAGACGCCGCCGGCAATGCTGCTTTCAAAAAGGGTAATTTGCGGCTAAAACCCATAAAAGCCTACTCAACGTTGACGCGTGACTCCGCTTTCCAATGGGAACGCGTTTATTTATTTATTTTTTCGGAAGGAAGTGACGTTTTTTGACAGCCATCGACGCTTTTGAAGCACATAACGAACTTTCGTTACAGCGCTTATAACGGCAAAAAGCGTTTTAACGCCGCAGGAAGTTGACGAATGACGTCACTTCCTTCCACTAAAGAAACACGTTCAAGCAGAAAAGCTGCCTGGAGAGAATTTGAAAAATTATTGAAAGCCGACCAAAACGTTTAGTTCTGGTCTAACTGAGGGCGCATCAAAACACGAAGCCCGCGCATTGTATGGCGCGCAGATATCCTTTGGGTTCTTTTATTAAAGGACTAAACATTACCCCATATTTCCAAAGCCGTAGTGAATTCAAAGTCACCGTCTCCATACAAATAAACGCTAAAAGTAAAAGCAAAGGAGCAAGCAAAGCGTTCCTAGTTGCTTTTGTGCGTTTTTAAGTCATATGACAGCTTTCAATCAAACTCGAATGCCTCGTGCTCCTTGAATATATATATGTTTCTTTTCTCTATATCTTTGAGGGGCTTGGCCAATGTCAGATTGAAACCAAATATTATTATTCAGCAAGACAATGTGAGATCTTGGGAAAAAAAATGAACTTTCTTGGTAAAAAAAAAAAAAAAACTGAAAAACATTCTTCATTTACAGTACCCTCCCGAAATATAAAATCAGTGGTGGAACCAGCATTTGAACTTTTGCGGCAGGTTCTGTAGCAAGCAAAATATTGGTTTTGAGCAGCCACTGACGCTTTTGGAGCAGATGCCAACATCTGTTAGCACATCACTTGAGAATGAAAAAGTGACTGCATCTCTAGATGGGTCCATTAACGATAGTGATCAAGGGATCCTTTTTGATATTCAATCATTTCACGCATTACCGTTTGTGATAATAATAGACAGGACGTAAGAGGAACACAGTCAAATAAGGCTCTAGTCAGAGTAGGTTTCATTTACAATGGGTATTAAAAATGGTTGAAAAGTGAATCATTGCGCAACACTTCATTGGGATAAATCCTGTCTCCTCCCCGTTTTACGCTCGGTAGTCTGTTTACCCTGTAAATATTTCTGTCAAATGCCAGCATATCCGCTAACACGTCAACCGACAAAAATGGGTCCCGTAAGTTTAATGAACCCACCGAACTCAAGACCTCTAACAACATAAACTGCAAGAAACAACCGCCCAAAAATATTATAAAAGCCTACACGTGAGCTTTAAAGGTGACACTGCTCTTTTGATGGACAGCAGTTGTACGGGAACTACCATGATTATTCAAATATATGCAAACCCGTGTTTTCTTCTCTCTCTTTTTCTGCTCAGTTTCGTTCTTTTTAATTTGGAGATGAACTTACAATTAGGACATAGAAGGTCGACCTTTAATAATCCTGAGCGTAAATTGTGCGCCTATCGCGCTAAGCCAGGCGCTCCCCCGGGTCAGTCGCTGCTCCTAGCACTCCGGTGTAAAGAGGTGAAGCTCGACGCGAGGAGCGCAAGTGCCACGGTACTCTACAGCCACCAAACAAAGGCACGCGGCGGACGTGATAATCGATTGATCTGATCGGGAGTACCAGACCCTGGTTTTGTCTTATCGCGGTAGCCGCAATCGGCAATCCTGCTATTTCGCGAAGTTTTCTCGGGACTCTTAGTTTCTGACATCGCCGCAGCATCATCTGGAAATTTAGATGATCTCGGCGATCAAACGGCCAGAGCGGTTGATGCCCGGCATCGGCGGCTCTGGCCGGTTGATTTGCAACATCAAAGCGCGACATCGTGGCATTCGTCATTTCCTTGTACGTACGTTCTTGCATCGGCTAAACTAGAGTAGGCTAAACCAATGAAGTACAGCGAATGTCCTGGGACTTGCGCTTTTAGTGTGCGTGTTTGTAGTTGTATGGGTTCCGAAGTTCGACTGTGCTCCGAGCTAAAACGAAACATTGCTATGAAATATATATTTGTACAATTTTTCTTTCTTTCGACCATTTTTTTTTTTTTTTTTTGCTTTATGCAAAAAAAGGCATTTTGGCGCAAGATGTAGCAGACTTTCGTCAATTTGGTGCAGCACCTCCATGACTGTAAAATGCAAAAGATGCGCTATGGCCTGAAACATATTGTAAGAACACCTATGCTGCCCATATGTTGTGTTATGCTTTCCACCCCACTGAATAACAAATCTGATGATTAGTCGTCATGTCACAAATCACATTACTTTCATCGACACCCCATAAAAAGGACAGTCTCAGATGTCAAAGCCTCCTGCACAACTACGAATATGTGCCCCCCCCCAATGTGTTGTACACTTTGATGGCCTTTTGTGACACCTCGAACAAAAATGAAACGACGCTCCAAACTGAACCTTTGCTTCCCCTCTACAGCGTCTGCACATATATCTTGGAGTGAGGCACAGAACAAGCGTGAAGACAAAGTCTCCACAAAACGAATAAGGACATGGCTAGAGTAGCATAAAACTTTCCAGCAGTTATGCAGCACCAACATAAGTGTGACCAAACTGACAAGGCCAGTGGCATACCAACTTGCTTTTGAGTGGGGGGCAAACCGCACCCCCCGCCCCCCCCCACACACACACACAGGGCGGGGGGGGGCAGTGCCTTTAGCACACCTTGGACGCCGCCGGCCATTGTTTGCCCTGCTTAGTGGCAGCTGTTTCAGGGGGGGGGGGGGGGGGGGGGGGGGGCAAAACACGTGCCTTGCCCCACCACTCTAAGAACTGGGGGAGGGCAAGCGCCCCCTTGCCCCCCCCGGTTGGTACGCCCATCCACACGGCAGAATAAGTGAGAATACTCACCAGGCCAGATGGCACGATGGCTGGAACCGGTGACGGTAGCCACTAAGCAGACCACGGTAACTGTGATAACCGCAGAAATCCCCATGCCGCCGGTGACTAAGTTTTTGAGGCGGTGCCGTTGAAAACGGGTGGTTTGGCACAGGTGCACTTTCTTGGCGCCTGAAAGCAACTAGATGCACGATAGAAATGCATTGTGAGACCTGAGAATTTTTTTTTTTTTTCGGTAGCAATTTTGACATGAATGAGATACTGAATGTAGCATGTTTTAATTTTTAGAGAAAGATGTCATTAGGCAATAGTATATAAAGTTTTCAGGGATCAAGCTTGTTAGGATCAAGTTTAAAAATCAAAAGCCTCAGTGAAAATCGCTAGCAGACGATTCAGACGTTGGCAGCGATGAGATGCGCAAGGATCTACAAGAGTGATGCAAATTTCAGGAAATCAGACATTTGTTTGTGTACAAACATGTATAAGAAAAAAAAATTATCCTTACAGTTGCGAAGTCAATAACGATGTGACATCAGTGAAAAAATGCAAAAATACCACTACAGGTGTAAAACGCAAAAATACTGAGAAGCCGGGAGACATCAGAACTAAGATAAGCATGCTGACTACACAATAAATAAAAATTCATTGCACGCTTCATCTTCCATGCATGTATGCACACAGCAAATACAAGCATCCATCTCAATACAGAGCTATTTCTCGGCATGCCTGAGCATTAGCGTTCCCTTCAGTTTATATATCTCGTCTAAATCCTAAGATGACATGGGAATCTGCAGAAACGAAAACAGAATAATAAAGTTGCTTGATTAAAGATGATTCTTGAGATTTCAATCAGTTATCGTGCCACATGCCGCAGAGACTTGAAAAAAGGTTTTGAGCTTGTTGTATGTTTACCTCAGTCTCTATGCAATACATCTAAGGGGTGTTACCGAGCGCTTTTCAGGCATAAAATAAATTCATATAAATAAACCAGTGGTCGGAGTGCAACAAAACTTTTCACAAATGTGTGTTTAGTTTATGCATTTATTATAATAAAAATTTGTGAGTGTAAGATTCCGGGAAAAAAAATGCAAGAAAGGAGAAACATGTTATTCCTATGCGCAGGTAGAAAAACAGAAACAAACCATCTGGTTGGCAGAGCTACTTACAGATGCCACCACATGAAACAAGGACCTGAAAACCTTAAGGAGGATAAATGCTTGAAAGCAGATACATCAGATCCGAGCACGTGTGGCATCATAAGTGAATGGGAGTAGCAACATCAACCAGACAGTTAGCTTCCATTTTGCCTTCTGTACATAGGAATAAAACTATACAAAGGAATAACATATTGATGAATGCACTACCTAAATACACTATTCTGTTCATAATGGAACAGCGTGAATTTTACAGGGACAGAGGAAGGAACTGGACAGGACGAACGCTGACTAACAACTGAGAGGTTTATAATAAACCTTTCAGTTGTTCGTCAGCGCTCGTCCTGTCCAGCTCCTTCCTCTGTCCCTGTAAAATTCGCACTGTTCCATTATGAATACACACCAACTCGCCCAGCTATCTTGTTTACTAACACTATTCTGAAAAGTTTCAATGCACTCCACTCACTGACTTATTTGTTTTTTTTTTACACCTGGGTAGCGCTTGGGGAGAGCACAGATGATCATGTTGCAATGAACGACAGTAAGCCTCTGAATAGTTGCATGTTAACAATAAAATGAACGGGCAATCAGACAATTTATGCTACTTGCACCCGTATCTTCTGTACTTATACAGGACGAGATCAATGGGTAGACCAATTAATAAATGACATTTATGTTGGAAAAGCACCTCTGCATACCCCCAATGACTGCGCCCAAAATGAGAACATAGACATATTAGGGTCATCCATTGCATTTTAAAATTGGCGTGCTTCTACAAGTGTTTGTACCGAGGCCCGTTCACACACTTGTGACTTCTTAAAAATACACTGACATCCCCCCAAAAAATTTTTTTGGCAGTTGATTCAAATTGGTGTCAGAAGATTAGCCAATCAATATTTTGCTACAGCGCCACATATATTTTTAATGAAGTCAAAAAACACAACTGCTCGAAACCGAAACCGAGCTGGGGAGGAAGAAGAAATATAGAAGAGGAGAGAGTTGGCAGAAGTCATGTGGCTGTGCAACTTTTTTTGTTCTAATCAATGTATTTCCAGGTTTACAGAAGCCAGAAAAACTGGGTATCATATTTCTTTTCAACTTTTTCATATTCTGTGTGTGCCTTTGATGACCCACAGCTTCGATTATATTCGGTGGTTGTGTCTGAACCATAGAATACGGCACGTGACCACTGAGAACAGAGTGAGCGCGACTCATACCGGCCAGTTCTCGATCGACGGTTTTAGGGGAAAAAGAAACCGAATTTCGAGCCGCGAATTGTTTTCTGGGTAGTTGGCCTCTCATATGTCATGTACAACTAAAAGCCTCGGCGAGCATAAATACCCTGTCAGTGTCCCTTTAAGACCTAGTGCCTTGGAACCTCTTAAAATCTCTTACAAGAGGACACACTGGTGCCATCTATTGAGTAGCGGTGGAAACTTGGCGGTCCCGTATATTTTCTATTTCTCTCGCACATCATGCTTTCTTTCTTGGCTCGAAAAACTTTTGTCAAGGTTATAAATGACCATTTCTCAAAGATAGTATGCACATTTTACCTCGGAAATCCCGCAAAACCTTCGCTCTCGTGAAAAGCAGTTTCAGGGTCATCCACAGATGGCGCCAGTGTGTTCTCTCGTCCCAAGCGATTAGGAGTCGCAAGTGTGTGAACGGGTCTTTAGCCAGAATTTGTTGTATTTACAACCTCAGTTTAGGAACAAGGCTAAAAACAGCTGCTGTATGTTTTGGCTCGCTGGAAGCTACAGCTTCAGCTCTGCACAAGCTGAATCTGAAGTTTAATGGAATGCATGCCCAAAGCAAACGTTAATATGATGCCATTAAACTTGTCATCCTTAGTGCAAAAACAAGTCATGACTGATGTCGTGATTGGAGTTCTAGTGACCCAAATGAACCTGGGCAATTCCTTCTTAATTGGCTTTTGAACTTCAACATGACAGGCCTTAATTTCAAGATACCACAAGTTAACTTATGACTTGGATCATTGAAGGTTCTACCTTTCAATTCTGCTGCAGACCATGAACATTGTAAATATATTTTTACGCATCAGTGGAATACTTTTACACATTACTGTAGTCTACTTTTATGCATTACTGTAATCTATAAAAAAATATCGTAAAAAATCTAATACCTGTTAGTGATGTAGTAATCACCACTGACTAGGTAAAAAGCATGCTGACCACTCTGCTTTTTCTATCTTTTGATCTTCATATGTTCTTTATAAAGTTAGTACGTTGCCTTCGCTGCGCTACAAAGATGTTCTGACCGAGCACGCAGTCTGCTGTAACAGCCCCGCAAACATGGTGAGCACAGAACATATATTTTCTCCTTAAACCACCGCCGCGCCACATTAGAGAACATTAAACATTCCATTATAATAAACGAGGTGCACCCATCCTCATTGCCGCCTTCATGAACACCGAAACACTTACGGCGCTTCAGCTTTTAAGTAAGTTCGACATCGATTAGTAGCGAGAGCAAATTGGAAGGTAAAGGGAGGGGAGCGGAGGCATCAAAAGATGCGACAAAGGAAGTAGCGACTTCGCAGGTGATCGCGGGATTTTTCATCCGAGCGATTTTAGCTCCGAGCTCGCTAGGAGCCTACACTCGGAGTCGGGAAATTCGAGCATCTGTAAAGATTCTGCGAGCGATCCGAACATCTTGTAGGGTAGGTTGCTCAAAGGGGGCTATTTTCAAAAGTGATTACCTCAAATTGGAGCAGAGGCCGTCGCTGGCATCAAAGCGAAGCCGTTGCCGAGCGATTCTCGACGACTGCTGGATACGATGTAGCCGATTTGCAAAGCTGGGGATAAAATGAGGGACTATCCTGACACCGAACACGGCGTAATGCGACAGTCGGTCATTTTAAACTGTGACTTTTTATTCCAGGCATCCGGCCCATCAGGGATCAAAAATCATCAGCGCAAAAGAAGCGGATGGCGATAAATTGACGCGTCAGCCGCTGCGCTGTGCGTGGCGCTGTTGACGTTAGCGACGCAATTTAGTGCCGCAAAAGCACACCGTGCGTAAAAGTAAACTCATGGTAAAAATGTAAAAAAAGCTGAAAATCCTGAGTAGTCATGTTCACACTTAGCCTTAGCGTTTTTCGTTAATAAAAATTTTAATTAAGTGCTAACACATGCTATATTTAAAACCACAACAAACAAGAACCTGCTGGTTGCGATCGTTAGTTCAGCTTTGTTTTCAAATCGAAAATGAAAATATTTTCAGTCCTTTCAGTGGATATGTTACGAGTGTATCGTGTTATACAAAGGTGTTTCAAGTGTTTGGTAATTAGTTAGAGGAAGTATTGTTTGTTTTCGAGGTAAGAACAAAAGGTTCGACAAGATGACGTTTTTTCCGCACGGTCAGAGTTTTCGAACACGCTCGTTAGTGTTTTCTCTGTTTTCTCCACTGGTTTTCTCGTAAAAGCAATGGCGCCCATCCCCCTCTCCGCAACAAGGACAACAGAAGCTTCGGCTGCATGCACACAGTCCGTGATTCCCGTGCGAAATGATCCCCGAGAAAAGTGAGGAACCTCTACAACGAGAGACCGATGACAACGACTCTAAAAGAGGCAAGCACACCGCCATGCCTGCGTCGCTGACGCGTCGCCAGCGTCGCGGCAACGACGAAGTCTTCATCGGCGCCGATCCGCGAGCTCTGTTAGACACGTCCAACACTTCCCGTTCCTCAGACCTTTAAGAAACCACCGTAGATCGTTCACAGTTCGAGGAACAGCGCAGTGTAGGCTAAGTGCCCGTCCAAGTTCGGTTCGACCCCGCTTTCCGATGTAAACAAGGAATCGGGCGATGCTGTGCTCGGCGGAAGCGACCGGTGAAAACAGCATCTCGGTGTGCCGCACCATCGTCGTCGGGAGTCCCATCGTCGTCGTCGCCGGCGGCGGAAACGACGGCACCGCGGGCGATGGACAGGAGTTCGTCGGCGGGGGCGAAGACGACGACGTCAAGCGTGAGACGAGAGGCGAAGGAGTCGTGGTCGGCGCGGAGCCGAACGGAGAATCCCAGCTGAAGGTGCTCGACCCGACACCCCCGCCATGCGTCGTCGTCAGCGTCGCCGGCGGCGGGATCGCGGCTAACCTTTCCGGAGACTCCTACCATAGCAGCGACTCCAGCGGGGCGCCCCGCTACTGCGACGACCCGTACTGCCAGCTCAAGGGGGACGGCGGCGCGGTGCAACCCGTCGGCGACGGGAGGGCCTGGAAGTGCGACGTCTGCTGCAAGCAGTTCTCCCAGAAGCACCACCTGCAGACCCACCTGCTGTGCCACTCGGGTCTGAAGAGGTTCGAGTGCCATGTGTGCCACAAGGCGTTCAAGCAGCAGGCCCACTTGAACACCCACCTCCTCATCCACGAGGGCCGGCGGCCGCACCGCTGTCCGCATTGCGAGCACAGCTTCCTGCAGGTGACCCACCTGAAGCGCCACATGGTGACGCACGGCGGCAGCTGCCTGCCCTGCGGACTGTGCGGCCGCCGGTTCGCGTTTCCCAGCGACCTGTCGGCCCACGTCGCCAAGCACCACCCTCCGCCGCTCGCCCGGACCACCGCGGCCGGTGCGGCGCCGGGCATCCACCAGCCCGCGGCGCACCAGCTTCAGTGCGAAGTGTGTGAGCGGCTGTTCCAGTACCCGAGCCAGCTGCGCGACCATATGCTGGTGCACACACAGGTCCGCCGCTTTGCCTGCCACGACTGCGGCATGCGCTTCATGAAGGAGCACCACCTCCGCAACCACCTGGTCACCCACAGCCCTGTGAAGCCGTTCCCGTGCCCAGTCTGCGGCCGGGCCTTCTCCCTCAAGGCTAACATGGAGCGCCATGTGCTCATCCACGAGGCGCAGCGGCGCTTCGGCTGCGACCGCTGCGGAAAGCGCTTCTCGCAGCCGCAGACGCTCAAGATGCACCTGGTGTCCCATGCGGAGGTGAAGCCCTACTCCTGCTCGGTGTGCGGCAAGGGATTGGCACGTGCGCACAACCTCCGCGCCCACATGGCCATCCACCAGACGAGTAAGCCCCACCGGTGTCCAGACTGCACGAGCACCTTCACGCTCCGCGGGAACCTCGTGCGGCATCTGAAAGAGAAGCACGCCTCCACGTTGCCTGGGGAGGCGGTGCAGACACTCCTGGCGCCAGCAAGCCCGCAGCGGGGCGTCGGTAAGCGGCGTAAGAACATCCCAAAGCGCCTCAAGAAGTTTGGCGACGCGTCCGGCGACGAGGACGGCAACGAGGACTGCGAAGACGACGAAGCAGACGACGTTGAAGCTGAGCATGAAGCGGAAACGGAGGAGGTCCAAGCAGAACAGGAGACCGAAGTCCGGGATCGGTTCCAGGACCTCTCCGGTCACAAGTACCAAGGCCTCCCCGGGTCGCCGGAGACGGTGGGCGTCGCATCTCGGAACCCGGAGGTGATTCAGATGACGTACTACCCGGCGATGTCGGAGCAGCAACACCATCATCACCATCACCACCACCATCACAACAACCACAACAGCGACGACCCACCGGCGTCGGGCGCGGAGCACAAGCCGTTCTCGCTGCACGCGCTCCAGCCGGCGCCGTTGTTTACGGCGCCCGGTTGCTTTTACGGTGAGCTTCCGTCTGCAACGCCAGCCGCAGTCGGCGCGGAGGAAGTTGGAGCGAGGCTCCAGGCGCTGCATGCAGCCATTGACGACCTCGCAGGGAAGCTGGGGCCCGATCACGACAAGGTGACCGCGCTGCACGCCGCACTGGATCAGCTCGTGCCGCCGTCGCAACAGGCCACCGAAGTCCCGCCCTAAACGCCAAACGGGAACTGTCGCGGCTCCGTGGAAGCCGTGGTCGGAGGCGAGACTGCTGCATCTCGCGGAAGTACTTCGTTGGCGTGGGAAATTGCAAACAAATAATTTGGTCGTACTTGTCTGTAGCCCACCCTTAAACAACCAAAGAAAGATCGGCGTCCAACCCCCCAACGGCCACTTTTTGGTGTGAATGACCAACGAAGGAGCAGAGTGAAAAAATGTGCAGCTTCGATCCCCGCTTCATCGAGGAGGTGGTGCGATCGGTACAAAAGACCGAAGAGAGTGCGAGCTGCTGTTTTATTTTCTAATAACAGCGGCGGCTGTGCATGATTTTTTTCTCGGCGTTTTAGGCAAGTCAGGCAGCAGTGCCAAACACCAGTTGCAGAGGGACAGAACTATAGACAGTTTGCAGCAAGGACACACACTCCTGGGGTAGGAGTCTTACGAGATTCGTGGAGCAAAGCTTCGGCGTGAAAGCCTGTCGTGGGTTGTTGCATGCTGCCTTTCATATTGCATAATATTATACTGCCTCATCTTGGAATAAGTTGCTGTAGAACAGCCTAAGAAAACGTCGTGGTGTCTCGCTTTTCTGTGCAGCTCGTCTGCGTTGTGGCGAAAGCTGCATAGCAAGTGTGACGCAGAGCCGTATATGTAGAGAGTTTGGCCATTCATTGGGAAGTATAGCAGACAAATCGGGAGGCGCCATTGGCCGAAAGCGGGCTAGGCGTGTTCCAGGGCGTCTTCACAAATTTAAATGTAGCCAACCAGAAGCCGGAAACAATACCCTGGCGGTGGTCGCGAGAAACAAACTTAAGAAGTGCATCGGAGTAACTCTCAGTGACTGAAAATGTGGTGCACATGATGTTTCAATCACTGTCATCCAGATTCATGTTGGAAGAGTGCGACTAGCGGAACGATTGACATAATCCGTACGCCAAGCGCCGATGGCCGTCTGCCGTCCAAGCGATCACACTCTGTCTGAGCAAAATTGAGTTGAACGGCACAGTCGTTTCTTATAACTTTCTGCATGATCCTTATCGAAACGTCACGTGCACCCTATTTTCAACCATGAAGGGTTACTACATTGAACTCTTACGCGCTTATTAAAATCATATGCCTATGATTAAAACTGTTTCTTGCTACCACCGCTAGGGGATCCTTTTCAGCTTCCAGTTGGCCAAGAGAGCATGTCAAGTCCTCTTTCCGAACCTGGTGCACGCCCTGGCTTTGCCCGTGCCTCCCATTGACCAAACTCTCTGTATACACGGCTCTGGTGTGACAGAAGAGCAAACCTTGTTTTTTGCTCCTCAAAAGTGCAAAAAAGAGGCATCACCAAAAGCTCAAATTCTGCTCGAATGCAGTAATGACAGTTGGGGTGAGATGCTGATATTTAGAACATACCATTGGCAGTTGGGATGAGACGCTGAAGTTTTAGAATGTACCATTAGCCGAAGCAATTTTACAAAAGTTACGATAAGGAAATAACACCCTCGTGTGGCAACAGACCCCATTCTTTTTTGAGCAGTTACAAACTTGCTAGGGTATCTTCCATTTTCTTGTTTAAAATGATCAGTCATTGCTTCTGACTAATTAATTGTTCTCAAATTTTTGCATCCTGTTTGAGTGATCTGCATCACATTGAAGCAGAGCCTGAGCTTTTAGTGATGTAGATTATTTTTGCAGCATAAAGAACCCTATTCATTTTTCTCAGCTCACCCTGTATATATAATGCTGAATGTATGTGCCTAGAGTCAAATCGACGACATAACCTTCCAAGCTGGACGTCTCTCTTGCACAACCGTTAAACGGCATATGCTCGATCAGCACAAATTTGACACATGTTCAGTGTTGGACATGCCAAATCTAGACATTCCAGACAATCCCTCTGAAGTATATCCAAACCGGATTTAGGTTCAATGTTCAGCCAGGTCCTTGCTGCTGAACAGAGCATTAATGTGAGGATTTACATGGAGAAAATGTCTGGCATCAGCAAACACCTATTCAGCTCACACCTGGCGAAAAGTTTCAAGCTCATTGGCTCATGCAGAATGTAACATCCGATAGCCCCTTACTTGTGAATGCAACTTTTGTTTCGATCAGAGCCAACGTTGCGGGTAAAGGATCTAATAATTGCAAAAAGTTAGAAGAGGATCAAAGTGGCAGCATTAGCGCTACGAAACAGGAAGTATACATGTTTACGTTTTTTACCCCCCCCTCCCCCTTCCGGATAGTGCTAACACCATAGGCAGCATCTTGGGGAAAGCATCAGCAGTATAATGGAGGCTACACTAGGTGGTGGTGGTGGTGGTGATGTTTCCCTTCACCACCACCTGCGCTTCGTTCTACAGTGTGAGCAAGCTACTGTCGCCACCTACCACGGCCCACTGTTCTTTTCATCCTTACTGTCAAGCTTGGCCGGACAAGTGTGGCGGAAGCTGCAAAAGCGAGCTGTGGGCTTTCGAGCATCTTTACCGAGGACGCTTGTTCGTGCAGCGCAAGCAGCATCCAGGGTAACATGCTCGTGCTTGTACGTTCAGCTTTGCTCACACATGGGGTGAAACAAGCTACAGTCGATCCAGAACAAGGCTGCCATTATCGATGCAGTTTAATGTATGCCTTAGGCCCGGGCATTTCAAACCGGGGTAAAGAGTGCCAATTGGTCAGTCATCGGCTGTTGGTGCAGCATGTATATGTGTGTGGTGGGTCTCTTTTAAACGAGTTCACTTATAATACCAAAATTATAATTTTACGACAAAGAAAAACAGTAAACCAATAGAGGGATTTGGTGCATTATGTTTCTGCACCCTGTGTGTAGACTGTCGATCAAGCTTTTGGTCCGACGTTATCGGTTGACTATGAATGTCTCTGTTCCACTTGATGTGGGAGCCAGTGCCGATTGCCCCTTCTCACGTCGTGCAAGAACCAAATGTTGGGCGTTTCTTCCGCATCTCTTCTAAGCAGCTCCGTCACATTGCCATCCTATTTATTACTGGGGCAGTTGGCTATTCCGAGACAAAGTTTGTCTTGGAAGGATGCATACAATCTGCTCTTGCCCGATTGGCTTGCACCGGTATGCTTAGAGGGTAGTTAGCTGTTCCCGAACTTCAGCAATTTGGCAGAAAGCCATGGCACTTGTTACCTAGTTACAAGAGTGCTCGATAATTCCACGATGACATCAAGCTGCTACGTAATTCAACACCGGACAACAAGGGCTATGTGAACACAGTGGACCGACACATTCAACGAATCCAGATACAAAAGCTTGAAATGTTTAATACGCTGTCGAGCGAAAAAAAGTTCTCAATGTGTAATTGTATCGTGCTCACCAACCTTGCAAGTGCTGCCCCCAACACCAACGACGTCCCAAGCATTGCGGCTACTGCTTCATTGCACTGCTCAAAGCCTGGTTCCCTTCTTTGCATTCGAGTGTGATGAACTGCGCCGCAACCGCTTACGAGAGCAGGGCCGTATATGCATAGAGTTTGGTCATTGATTGGTAAGAATAGGACGAAAATAAGGGCACGTAATTAGTCTAAATTGTTTTAATGACCTTGGGTGCAATGCGATGATCGACAGCTCTTGTGACCAACTACTAGCCTCAATTATTCCCCTAGCGGAGGCAACGAGCTTAACAAATACCCTCCAATCACAATTTCTAGGTAAGGATGTATTCAAGTATTTCATTTCAGCATGCTAGAGTTTAAATTAGTGATTCTTCGTAACTGAAAGGGCCACATTCATGACGCACTCACTTTTTTTTTACTGCGGCCGCAGTCATGACTAGTAGGGGTGTCGCGAACCGGCCGCGGTTCGAGTTCGACCAGGTTCGACTTTTTCGAATTTTTAGCGGAAAGTTCGTCGAACCTTGTATTGAGGTTCGACTCGTGTGCGCATGCGCGACAGGCTAACCAGTTGGCTTCGGATTGGATGGTAATGGCTAAGAGATGAATTAAGTGCAGCGCTGATCGGCTATTTCAGTCAATACAGTACTAAAATTTAAGCTATTAACTTCTTCAGTGAATAGAATTAGTTTCTTTTAATTGCAGCTGTTCACACAATAAAATAACCCTTTGCATAAAAAAGAAATTCTCCAAACCTAGACATGCTTGTATCAAGGTCTGGCCACACTGTCCACAAAGTCGAACCGGTCGAATCTGGTGAAAAGTTCGAAGGTTCGTCGAACCGGTTCGACCCAGTCGAACCCCGAAAGTTCGACCAAAAAATCTGGTTCGACAAAAGTTTGCGACACCCCTAATGACTAGTGGGCAGTAAAAACTGCGGCTTCGGCTCCGTGGGAGTTTTGACCCAAATCCGGGACGCGCACCCCACATTCACAGCGTTGCCTCATGTTTCAGGAAATTTCTTTGTCGATGCCTCCTTTCCTGGCTCAGTGAACGCACTTAGCACTTTGAAGCTCCCCTTTTCCACCAATATCTTACAATTATACAATCACATACTCTCGGCCTCATCCAGAAACAACAAATACCTGCACAACGCTATGCGAATCTCAAGGTCATCCCAGCGCATTCTTAGCAAGTTGATCGCAAAAGGAATGTGCGGCGCTACCACTCCACCTCCGGCTTTCTCCAGCTCCTCTCTTTGACCAGACTCTCTATTCGCGACTCCAGCAAAACGGACGCCACCAAGCGGGAAAACCGGGAACCAGTCGGACCAGGTCGCTCCGCGCCCCTCGGCGCGTCTGGTGGCTTTCGCGGACACGTGTTGTCGACGCGGAGGCGAACGATGTAATTTGACGAAGGCCCGAATATTTCTTAAGTTTGCCTGAGTGTTCATTAGTGTGGTGAAGCCTCAGTAGATTGTTTCCTTCCATCACTTGTTTGAAAGCCCGTTTACTCCACAACACACAGTCGCAAGCTTTCGATTTCTTGGATGCATGGGGAGGAATCACGGAAAAACGTTTTGATTTCTTCTCTGTCTCGAATCACATTGAAAGTGACGACAAGCTGGTAAGTGGTTTCTTTATAAGGATGTAGAACAGACTGACGATGACAGACGAGGTGTTTCACTGAAGGGAACAACAATGTTGCAATCAAGTGAATGGGAAGGTTCGATGGCTGCTTTTCTTGAGTTTGGTTGTGCTCGATTAGCTTCAAGTTTGAGCCACCCACGCCGGCAGGTGCGTTGGCTATTCATCTTGGCTGCTTTTCGCGAAAAAGCCTCTGGACCACACTGAAGGAGTTGGACTGATTTTGCAATTACTTGATTTAGGGAAACCTGCTTGCTGCATATGATTAATGAGGGAAATTATCTGCTTTCAAAAGGTGGGGGACGCGTCTCGCAAAGTTAGATGCTGTCACGGCGTTAGGATCTATCGCGCCTCCCAATATTTATATTATACCCCCGTCGAAGCCAGCAGCAATATACCTCTTCATTGCTCAGGTTGACCAGCCACAAAAAATACTCATTTTAACCGTTCAGGATTCGAAGTCAAGTCCAATGCAGAGAGGTTCTGCGTAAATCTCATATAGAGGCTCTTCAGTTTGTCCGCATTCGTCTTCGTGCTGCCGGTTCACCTAATAGCTAGTCAACTAAGTTCATATTTCAACCCGAAAAATATACTAATATCGCTTTAGTGGGACCATAGTATGCAATATAATACATAACCCGCTCGTCGAAACGACTTCTCGATTGCTACTAAAACCTGAATTGAAATACGAGTATCAGCTGCTTAGTGGGGCACCAGCGGGTTAACATGCTCCTTGGCTTAAGAAGCGCTAGCTTAATTTTCGTAATTTTCCTGCAGCCTGTGTTGTTGACCGAGCAGACGAGTGGAGCTGTTTCTTAAAAGGGGATAAGCACAAAAGCTCGATTTCTCTGACTGATAAGTCGCATGGTCGAGGCATGCGAATTAGCTAAAAATTACTCTCGGTGGAACAATTCTGTAGCCATGGCCGCTTTCCTTAGACAATGAAAATTAGTCTAATACCGTTCCTCTGGAGCCCATAATTTCGGTTTTGAACGAAGTCTCCAAAACTAAAGATTGACATGAAAAGAACAAAAAACACCGGCAAAACAAAACTATGCTCAGCAAGTTTATGCGCACCGCCTGCACTTAACCATCTCAGTTCAAATACCTATAAAATTGGGCATTAAACAAAAGAAAATCTGTTAAATTGAATGCGCCACCCGTTCAGGCGGCCCGGCCGAGCCGACGCGACCTGGACCCAGCCTGAATGTTTGTTGGTGGTGGCACCCCCTATAGGTCGCTGGAGTCGTGAATATGCGGCTCTGTACGGAGAGAACACACTAGCGCTATCTGTAAGGTAGCCCTAAAAACGCTTCCAATCCGTGTAACTATTCTGAAGGCTTCGTGGTATTTGCAAGGCCAAGTCTATGCACGATTTGCGAGAAGCAGTGCGACACATCGCAGCCAGAGGGCTGCGATGTGTCGCACTCAGTTCTTTATTTCACGAGCGTAAAAAAAGTGAGTTGTTCGCGAAAAAGGACACAAATGTTTTATTCCAGGTGGTGCGTGGTACAATGTTCGGTCTAGGTTGAAGCGTGGCGAAGTCGGGGGCGGTGTGTTCAGCGGCGTCTCCTGTCTGAGGATCGGTCCCTGCGGCGATGACTTCTTTTCCTGTAAAGACATTTCCCCATCTAAACACTCGGCCTTTTCGTGCCCCACACGCCAACGCGTGACGCCGTTGTCGGTGCAGCGCATGCGCGAACACTTTGCCTCGCGCAAATCTGGTTTTCTGGCAAGTCGGTAGCCTTGGCAGCATAGTACAAAAGAGTTGACGCCAAGTAAAGAGAAGCGTGAAATGATGCACAAAAATCTACAGTTCAAGCGGGTTGACAGGAGACGGATTGGACTTGGATTGGATTATGGCTGAAATGATGCACAAAGATCTACAGTTCAAGCGGTTTGACAGGAGATGGGTTGGATTATGGCAGCAAAACTCGCTGTATCAGGCGATAAGTCTCAAAACTGGATCTAACGGTTGTGGGACCGAAGCAAAAGGCACAGCCGCCACTGCCCGTCCGTCCCGAGGACGACTCACTTCTTGGTGGGGCCCTTGACGAAACACCAGTCCACACTGATGGTCTGGTCCAGGATCTTGGCGCCGTTGAGGGCGTCGATGGCCGCCTGCGCCTCCTTGAACGTCTCGTACTCCACCAGGGCGTAACCCTGTGCGCAGGAGCGGGGAGTGCTCAACCAACAGCCAAGTCATGCGGACCGTTCCCACAGCGCAGCGACTTAAGGGCACTTTGGCTAGAGCCATGGGTTCCTCAGAACCCGGAGTTTTTTGTTTTCCAATTGGCAATGAACCCGTCTTCACAGATAAGATTAGTGAGGGCCAAAATTCATTGACTCGCTCTCCAACAAAACTGAAACCAGTACAAGTTACTTAAAAAAAGAACAATATTCGGCAGCTCACCTTGAGAAAGCCTGTCCGTCTGTCCAGGTTCAGATGCAGGTTCTTTATCTCCCCGTACTCTGCAAACTTCTCGTAGATGTCGTCCTCCTGAGCTTCCTCGTGCACTCCCGTCACGTACAGGATCCAGCCTTCCACCGCTGCAACGTCCATTTGAAGACATGGTACAGGCAGTTTAAAGGGGCTGTGCAACGATTTCGAGTAGGAACCTTTCTCACTTTACACGAGCTTACTGGCACTAGTGGGGTTCAAGTACACTCGCACAAAGTGACGCTCACAAAGAAGCTTCTTTGTCGCCGGATAATTTGAAGCACAAAAACATGCATTTTCTCTCAGTCCCTCCTTCGCAAAACTTGATGACAAAGTTGAAGGGACCACATTGTTGGCATTGTCAACAATGCCATACCTAGGAGTTCGCCGGACAGCTCCGCGATAATATTTAAATGCGACTCGTACAGTAGACACGAGCACTGTGCAAACATTCAATTAGGGCTTCTGACAATCGATACCTCGACGTGCGTTCAGATAGTGGACAACTACTGCGATGACGGGAACAGCTGAACCTTAATGCGCAGAACTCTGTGCAAGCCCTATACTTTGCCAACCCCAGCACGTGGCTATGGTAAACATTGGCGGCATATAATTGGTTGCAGGTCACGCCAGCTCAGCACCAGCGGAATATTTGGCTGCGAGACCAGTTGGGACAGGTTTTTTCCGCGCAGAAAAAGCTTTCGTGCCACTGCAGCCGATTTGGATGCAAGGAAATGGCGCTTGCTGAGGTCGCACTCTGGTCGAGTCGCCAAAGTTGTCGGAGTTCCCCAGTTGTGCAAATGCTGCTGTCTCGCTGGTATTGTTGTGTCGGCAGAAATGCTCATTGAAACTAAAGAATTATTCAACCCTCTTCGACAAGAGGCATCTGAACGATGAAGACAAAAAGAAGATCTGTGGGATAAAATTGGAGTGAGTGGTACATACACACATTGACTCCATTTGCTAGTCATTTTATCATTGCATTCTCGTATCGCTGAGAATGTCGAGAAGTCTCTCGGCACTGCAGCACTCTCAATACTAAAAAAACACTGCAAATAAAAAATAAAAAATGCATACCAACAGGGATGACTGTTTGTAATGTCCGAAGTCGGCTTGTTAGGGCGGTTTCCCAAAACGAGAGCAGAGTTTAAACACCGCAGCTATCAGTTCCGGCTCCACACTGAGCTGCAGCCTGTACTCTGTCTTCATCGACGTCGCAGCAGAGAAGACAAGCTTGAATTTTTTCTAAAGTTCCCGAACCTCTTTGCGACCTTCCACTGAACCTGTTGCGACCCAGTTTGGGAAACGCTATCCTAGGTCACTGATTTACACTTACATCTCTGTGGGCCAGGTTCGTCGTTTTCATCCGTGTCCATGGCTTCATATTCCTGAATGTCTTCGCGGGCAGTGCCATCTGCGCACGACACAACACGAAAGAAAATTCCGAATCGAATTCGAATAGACGAGTTCGTTCTACAGCCACCGACAGAATAAGAAGGGCACGGAGGCCTTCCAGTTAGAGAGACGCACCGCCCTTTTCATCCACTCAGTGACTAAACTATAGACCCACCTGCGCCGAAGCCACGGCCTTTCCTCTTCCGAGCTCGTTCCTTCAGCTTCTGGACACTCTCTACAAAAAGAAAAAAAAAGAAGGGCAGCGTTTACTACGGCACACGAGCTCACGGCATCTGTCGCGGCAAGGAAGGGTCTTGTGCGGGATATGTGGTCTTAGCGAAGATGAGCAGTGAACGAGGAGTATGCTGAAAATCCCAAAACTACGCAGCAGCTATTGGGTATAGATAGGATAAAATTACGAGCATTAGGCATTAGTCACTCTGCGTCGTTTCACCCTTGTTCCATCTCTGGCGTGTTGCCGAGACTGCATGAAAAAACGCTCGTACGGAACGCAAAGCGACAATTCTTAGCGCGTCCTCGAAATAAGAACGAACAAGGAGTCAATGCGTGATTCGAAATTACTTCACTTTTACGACGAATAGGCCCGGGACCTGTCGAAAAGATCTTTTCATGATCGCGTTTCTGACACTACTAGGCGCGCCGATATTTGTGGCGAGCGCGGTGGTGAGTTAGGGCGCATCATGAGAAGTTCCAACACCTCCGTACTGTGGAGATTGAGCGGTAAGACGTTAAACTCTAACAGGATGAGAAAATATGTGGCTACTTACGATCTCCTTCTTCATCAACCTCAAAATCTTCGCCTCCGTCCAAATCTAACACGTCCGCCATTTTGAAGCTTGAAATGTGCAATGCGCTGCGGCGCTAGAGTGTACGGCGTACGGCGCTGCGGTCAGTCGTTTACAATACTTAAATGGATGAGGGTATACGCTACATCCTTTGTAACGGGCGCTAGCTTGCGCCACCTAGTCTAAAAAGACAAACATATGATTCCTTGTAGAGCGTGTCCAAGAGCTCCAAGTGTTCTCAGAGGTAATTCCATTATAATAACTCTACGGGTAATTCTCACCAGTTAACAAAAGGTTTTCAAAAAAGTCTTCGGCGAATGACGGCGGACGAACAGAAAACTTGCCTTCAGCACGTTGCCTCCCAGCCTACGACTTTTCGTGTGTGATGATCTTTCGGGGGAAAATAAAAAGAGCCAGAGCGGTTCCGCACTAGTTGCGTGCAGTACAGCCAAAGGCGATGCCAGGCGAGGGGAGAAAGAGCAGGCACATGAAAGGCTGGGGAAGAGAAACCTCCTCTCCTCTCTAACGTTCCTCGTGCTCCCCCTCTCTCCTCGCCCTCCACTGCCCTCTCTCGTCTTCCTAGTGCTCGTTGCCTTCGCCTGCACTCCACATCTGTATCTGTGAGCAGTCTGTAATATCTGTAAATCGACAGCAGCGCCATCCTGCACCTAGTGCTTGCACTACAGTAGCTTAAAGCGGTAATGTAAGGCCGACCAACAAGCAGAAAGAGGGACGCTCCCTCCTCTCCGCGTTCAGCTCAGATACCCGCTGCTGTATGGACAGGGGGAGAGAAGGAAACTGGGAACCGGATGTCTGCCCAGCAGAAGAGGATTCTGTGGGTCGGCCTTTAACAAACGAAGCTGGAGGAGCGGCCTCGCGTTCCTTGGAAAAGTGGTGCCATTCATTGTTGTGGAAATGCTCGAGACATATGTGCCGCGCGCCACTTCTGGGAAGCACATAGCGTTTAAATCTAGCTCGGTGCTGCGCTGTGCCGCCATGATCTTCTCAAGGGCTGCACGTTGCATGTGCCTCATGCATCGATGCACCTTGCGCTTTTTTTAAAACGTGAAGGGGCTTTAGCAAAACCATGGTCGCCGCGACGGTTTCACAGGAGCCAGGGAGCGTCGTCACTCTGCGCTTTTCAACTGCACAGATGTGATGGCGGCTTGAGTCCCTTGGAGTACGAGTGACAGTTGGTTTCGCATAATTTTGCTCTGTACTGAACCTTTCGTCTATGCAGTAGCAGCAGAATGCAGAGTGCCGTTTTGGCGCCACCCTCACGATTGCGGGACCTCTCAACCATTTAGCTAAGCAAGCTGTCGTCACACCTCCACCTTTTGTGTCACGGCAAGCCGAGAAAAGCAGGTAGGAGCTTCACTTGTCCCACCTCTGAGGATTAAGCCCCTCTATCCTGGGTAAAGTGGCACCATTCATTGTTTGGAAATGCTAGACATGTGCCGCGCCCTTCTGGGAAGAGCATGGCATCTGAAATTTGTGCTGCGATATGCGCCATGATCTTCCCAAGGGCTGCAAGTTGCATGTGCATCGAGACACCTTGCGCTACTTTTAAAACGTGAAGGGGCTTTACCGAGGATCGGTGGCCGAGCGGTCTAGCGCACACCAGCTCGGAGCACATGGAGCTGGTGTGCGCCCCTTCCCGTCTCAATCTGGATGAGCGTTGTACCGGCGTGCGGTCGTATATCACTACTACGCGGTGCATGTTGAAGACCCCAGGCTAGCGGTTGTACTGCATTGGCTAAACTGCTCATCTACAGCTGGGAGACAAGTCGCCCGTTCAGGCAGACAAAGTTCTAGGCTGTATAAAGATACACACAACCCCCCAATCCCACCTCCAGCATAAGCTCTCTACCTCCGAGAACGCAAGTCTCCTGCACCGCGAGCACGCACGTGCAGCCAAAGGTGTGGAGCGTGTGCTGGACGCCGCCTGTCAGAAGGCAGGTCCTTCTGCTCATTCTGTCAGTGACCAAAGAACACCGTAGCCCTCAAGTCCCATTGCCGCTTGTTCATGAGGGCCGCTACCGTTTTCCTCACTATGGATAGTGCACCTGCCGCCCACGCGGTCATTTTCATTTTCATAGTGCATAAAAGCTTGGCATTTCACGTGCTTGCACTAGGAGAGGAAGTTCAACTATCCCTACTCTGGCTTGTAAAAAAACTCCACAAGGAGGCGATATACAAACTTCTCACTGCAAATAAAACCACAAATGACACTCCTGCTAGCTTACACCGATGTGAAATACATCTGAAGTAAAACTGGCGATACCTAATTTGTAACAAACCATAAATTGCCTTCCAATTCAACAATAACCGCCAAACTTGACTACGATAAAACACACTTCTGACTTTTGGGAGGGCTGCTCCACTGGATCACCCTTTATTGAAGCTGTTATCCAGAAATTCCGTTTACAAAAAAATCCATAGTCCCAGGCTAACGGCCTCCACACAGCCCAACTCCGAAATATTTTACTCGCGCAGCCACAAATAATAATAATAATAAAAAAAAAAAAACCTTTCCCCAGTTTCACACTTTTGCGAGCCTTTGTACCTACAATCGAGGCTGCACGACGCAAAAAAGAGACTGCCGCTTAAATACTGCCTCCGAGGACTACAGGGAAAAAAAAAAAGAAACACAACAGAAGTTCAATTGAAGTTTGTCGTACACGTTCACACCAACAAACACACTATTAAAGTTCTCCTGCCACTCGACGTCCGTTTGAACAAGAAAGTACGACAGTCTGTTTCCTCCCCCCCCACTTCCGACGTCTACGAAAGTCCATTCCTATTCTTGCGCCGGTCCGCAACCGCCGCCACCTACGGGAGGGAGACACCGGCACACAACCGTGTTGGCTCGCATCTTTGTCTTGGCTAGACACCGCACCTTGTCGCGGTCGACGCCGCGAAACACGTAGCAGACGCCGCCACAACCACTCGCATTGACTTGGCACGGCTCGCCCGCCCGCGGAACCGTCCTCGAGCCGTGGCCGATTCCGGAAATCCAGCGAGTTCCGCCGATGGCACCGTTCGACCGCAGAGATCCACAGATGGCAAGGCTGCACCGAAGCAGACGCGCCGCTCAACCGCCGATTCGGCGGACGACTGGCGCGGCCCGGCACGACGAAGCGGGGCATCGCTTTTTGCCGCGTCATCACGTTTTCCAGTTGAGTGAGCCCTGCGCCATGGACCGCGGCGGGATCATGTCCAACAAGTACTGCCGGTGCAGGTCGGCCGCGGGCGGGAGCTTTCCGGCCGCGGCCGCGTTGGCGGCGCCCGCCGCACTCAGCATCTGGTACGAGTACGCCGCCAGCAACGGGCCAAACGGCAGCACGTGCGCGGGCTGCGGCGGGTGGTGCCCTCCCTGGTGGTGCCCGCCGGCCGCGGCGGCGGCCGCCAATTGCTGCTGCAACTGCTGCGCCTGGAGCAGCTGCTGGGCGCTCAGCTTGGGCAGGAACCCGCCGGCCCCGCCCCCCGTGCCCAGCCGCGGCGAATGGGCCGCCGGAGGCGGGGTCGGGGAGGCTTGAGGGGGTGGGGTCGGGGAACCCGTGGCCCCGCCACCTCCCGCAGCCAGGCGCTGCTCGATCTCCTGCTCCTGCTGGAGAGCCTTGACGAACGCCGTCTTGAGCCGGTGCGTGTGTTCCGCCTTGAGGGCCTTCTTGAGGTTCGACGTGACGCAGGCTTCGCAGATGACGGCGGGGCGGCCCGACCGGCGCGTGTCCTGCCACTTCCAGACTGGCGTGAAGTCCAGGCCGCACTGGGTGCACGAGAAGGGGTCGGGCGGCAGGGTGCGCGAGCCCGCCTCCCCGTCCGTCAGGAAGCCCACGACCGTCTCGAGGCCGAGCAGGTAGACGAATTCGGGGCTGCTCGCGTTGGGCACGAAGTGCATCTCGGGGGGTGGCGGCTTTGGGGGCGGGATCTGCAGCAGCGTCTTCTCCAGCTGCTTGCGTAGGGCCAGCTTGGCCGCCGCCTGACGCTGGGCGGGGCTCTGGGTTTCGCCCGCCGACGACAGTCCCTGCGGCAAAGGACGGTCTCGTAAAGCACTGCTCTCGACCGCGGGTGAATGTGCGCATGAGGCGAGTGCATGTAACTATGGAAGCGTGCCAAACTTTGCAATGAAATGTGTCCGGTAAGGTCGTCTCTTGGTGATTCGGACTATGCCGGAATTACCCGAGAAAAAACGTGCGAGTAATCCACCGGCTTTTGTGCGTAACGGATCGGCTTTTATATTAACGTGCACATGCAACTGTTCGGACCAATAATATGGTCGTGTCTGTACCCAACTAAGAACATTAAGTTTTTATAAAATATTTCGGGGGACCACTTGTTTCCATGGGATGCTACTTCGGGAATGAACCAAGTAAACGGATGCATATTTCTATCACTATTATGGACAAAGGACAATGATCCACAAATGTCAAATAAAATGACTGGTCATAGAGTGCACCGAGAGCTTCACCGTTCTTTGTTCTTCCCTGTCCACCTTGAGAAAGATGCGAGGCCTAGGCACCGAACAAGAGATCCGATTCTCCGAGCTTTCGGGTCAGACGGGTCACTTGCCCCTCACTTCCTATTGTCGTCTGCAGTCGTGGACAACAAACTTCAAGTGTTCGCTGGCCATGCATGCCCCTTAAGTGTAAAGGGAAAGGCAGGACACCTCTCTGGTTATTTAGAAAGCAGTAAAGTCTATGTCGGGCGTCCACCGGAGGTGGACAAAATGCGCTTTAAGAGTAGCAGATGTGTCTTTTAGACAAGTAGGCTCCGAAGCGCCCGCGCTCTCGCTAGAAAAATTGTACATTTTGTGATCACAGTTGTTTATTTGTAGTCTTGACCTCATCCGTTGCTATAAGCAACTTGTATTATGGACAATTTTTCTGGGAAATAAAGGTCTCCGTAACAAAGGGGACTTTGAGTCCATCTTTTTACGGCGGCAACTCGATATATAATTCCAAGGCCTCCTAAACAAACCAGGATTACGGTTATGCTAGGCCTTTTTTCCAATTAAGAACACAATTAAATAATGCAAAATGCCTTTCGTCCGAGACACGACTCCCAAAAAGGGGGCGTGCTGCGAGGTTTGGACGCATTCGTACGAGAAAAACAAGGCTACGCGCAATTGCAATTCAGGGTTTTCAAGACGCCTAGGGCATGCACCATAAAAAAAATTATCTTAAAAACCACTTTCAACCTTCTCCGTTCACCCCCAGGCTGACAGTGCAATGGAAGCTACGCGTTCGTGCAGTAAGTCATACGTCTACCTTTTACCACGTGATCATACTCTCGCCCATACCCTCGAAGAGAAAAAGGGCAACACCTCCTAGGTAAGCAAGCCCGAGTGCTGAATTTTCCTGCGTCACTAAAAGAGGCCAACGTAGGCCAGATCGGACATGACTGCAGCGTCGGCGATTGGCCGGGAGTCACGTTCCCATTGATTGGACACTCCTCGTAGCCCAATGGCGATGTCCCGCCCAATCGATCCATTTGAGGGTTTGCAATTGCGCAATAGCTTAGCACACTGTCCATCGTTTGACGTCGAATCGTGTACAGCAGCGGAACAACTCGACGTTTGCAAACGAGGCGCAGGTTGCCCATGGCTTCGACGCGAAACAGTGGACGATCACAATTTTAGCCCGCGTCCGATCTCACTTCGCCGTAGGGCTTGGTTCGTAGCAGACGATTTCCGGTGTGTTAGCAGACAACGTACGCCATTTCGTTTTACTTTTGTCTGCAGATGGCACTTCGTACCAGGCAAACCGCATTCTTCGCTCGCGTCGGCAGACGGACCGCCTACGAACGCCATTTTTGCTCGCATTGCGAGGCAAATAAGATCTCTCTCAATCTCATCAAAATGGGACCCCAGGCATCGTAGCCCAACGAACCGGCACCCACCTGTTGCTGGGGCGCCGTTTGCTGCTGCTGGCCGGCCGTCGCCACCGCCCCCTGGTGGGCGCCCGGCGGACCGCCCTGGTGGCTGTTGCCCATGTAGGCCGAGCCGTGGGTGGCGTTGCCACGCCCGCCCAGGCTGTTCATGGACATGCCCCCCGGCGTCGCCCCGGCGTTGGCCGGCAGCCGCAGCACGTTCTGTTGCAGCGAGCCCACGGCGTTGGACGAGCCGCCCCGCGGCACCCCGGCGTTGGCGCTTGCGGCGCTCAGCGAACCCGGCAGCGAGCTGGGGCCGCCCGGCGACGCGCCCTGACTGCGCAGCTGGGGACACCAAAGGGACGGAGAGTTCACCAAATTGTTTTTCCCCTCGAATGGGACCATGTGCATCCGTTTCCGAGTGTGCACGGTTTAACTACGATGTAGTCTCTTGCAGCGTAACATAGTGTAAATAACCTAATCTTTGCGAGGACTTAATTTTCGCGAATTTCACGAATCGCCTACAATTCGCGATAATAGGTCCCGCAAGCGCAAACAGCTCCGGTAAAATGTAAACGCATTGGAATCTATATTGAGGTCCTACAGTGTCGTGAAAATTAGGACCCGCTAATCATTCCAAAACTTCAGCATGAACCTAAATCATGAAATATTGAGCCCGTGCAAAAAGGAGCCCGCTAAGAAATAAGTCCCTTGCAGTATTTGTAAACTTTCCAGTTTTAACCGGAAAACGCCAATAGACGACTGTCAGTGTCAGAAATACAGAAATCGGTCAAAACCGAAAAACGTAGATCCCTGAAAAGTTCTGCTCCTGCTAGGACTGTCTGTGTTGACTAAAACCAAGAGTTAATTTAACTCTTAGTTTTTCACGAGTCTTTCATTGATGATCACTCTTTCTAGTGTCCGTCCGAAATAGAGCAACATTCGAACAAAAGTAAACAAAACCACAAAAACATCTCTCTCCAGCGAGTACTGGAGCCAGAGCTTTTTTTTGCAGGTCCTACGTCACAATGAAGTGTACAGTACGGTACTAGTTTGTCTTAGAAGCTGCCTTCGCTATGTCAGGTCGCTCACTGTGGTAAAATCTCTCTTCGCTAAAGTCAACATTTTTTTTTGGAAATCATTTTCACATTTTTAGGTATCTCCAATATACAATTACCTAAAATGGCTGTACTACCGATAAAAGTGTACTTCAGCCATACTGGACCATATCCATATTGTACTGGGTGGGTAACAACCTCCTGAACAGGTGGTGAAAACATTTAATAAAACTAGAGGAGCGGGACCATTTACATGAACCACACAAACCCAATCTAAATTCCCACTAAGGGTGGGGATGGTCTCTGCGAGATCCCGTGGCATATGGTGGTAGACAAGAATTGGAGACATATCGAGATAACGGGCAATGTGTCTGAATTTCTACCTGATCAAATGCCAGACGCCTACGGCACGTTGCCGCATTTTGACGAAAATACATACGGGCAATGTGTCTGAATTTCTATCTGATCAAATGCCAGACGCCTGCAGCACGTTGCCAAATTTTGACAAAAATACATGTAACCTAACAGCTTCACATAAACGAAGGGTCTATTTCCGTTCTCATGCCCTTTCAATACATTGCCTCAACAATGAAGCCGCCTCTCGAGTGACACAAATTTTGCCGGGCAAAGTCAATCCAAGCAGAGCCAACAACAGTCAAGGCCAACTTCCTGGCACATTCCACGGAATAATAAGTTTACGAGAGAATATCAAAATTTTAATTGATTCATGCTTTACGATACCAAGACAATTAAAGTCCTTTGGAACACTACAATCTTTCGTCATAAAACATTGTGGCTCATAAAATTTAATGGAAAAAACAAAACAAAAAAACTTGTAAGAGTTGTGAAATAGAAACTATTCTCAACCAAAAGTTCATTACTGCTTATTGATATTTTACGACTGTCATCCCCAAAACACTTCTGGGAAACATTGGGCGCGTTCAGTAGCGGCCCCGGAGTCAGGGAGTCACTGACTCCTTCCACTGGACGGCCAAAAGTCACTTCCGGTGCACGTAACTCCGGGGCTTCGGAGTCAAGCTCCGAAGCACCGAGTCCGGAGACGGTGCACGTAGAGTCAAAGGAGCTAAAATGACGTAATTTCCTGACTGGCGACGATTTCCGGCGCTAAAAGAGGAAAAAACAAACAATATGGCGGGATAAACTGCTTCGGTTCTGTCGCGGGTGCGCGGTTTGCTCGCTTTTGTTAATGAAAAGTGCTCTAGGTAAGACGAATAACGCGTTCGAATATCTTTTTCAGGTAAGGCTCTTTTGGAAAATGCATTGGACAGTATTTTGTTTGGTTTGAATATGCTAATAAACAACGCAAACGTTCATTTGACGCTGTGTCTTGATCACCGTTGCACGGAAACTCGGTAATTGACGATAGTCCTGTCCGCGCTCAACAGAGCAAAACAGGTTATGAACGCGACTTTGGAAGCCGGTTGGACACTCACGCAGTGCATGATACCGATTAATGTTTTGTTTGCGTAGCTAAATCGGGGTGCACGTTGGCTGAGGCTCGCTTCGGCCGACAAAACCTTCATCGCCGAGCGCGGCCGAACTTCCCGTGTGTATACGAATACATTTTATAGGAAGTTCGTTACGAAGGGCAGAACAAGCTTATGGCCGTATAAAAGTATCGCAACCGGCGGGGTAGATTCGCTGAGCTCTGTATTTTGCGTGTGCTGACGACGTTTTTTGTCGGCTTTTATAACAGTAGCTGCCTTTGCACCGCCAAGCGAAGGGCTCGATCGCGTTGCATCGCTTCGAACAGCAGCGCTGATGTGTACAATCACCCGCTTGTTCTTCAACGACCTTGTAAAGACTTCTTCAATACCGGGGTCAAATAAAAGCGATCGTGCTCGCCATCGTCTGCTTCCAGTTTATTCGGAGACCGTCTGGCGCAGGGGAGGAAGCGGAAGTTGCGTAGAAGCAGGTTTGGAGCCGCGGGTTTTTTTGCCGTTCAGTAGGCGCTCCGATGACTCCAACTCGAGGCACTCCGTTCGGAGGCAAGGGAGGCGCTACTGAACGCGCCCATTGCGACGTTTGTTGTTGTTCAGTTGAAATTCACTTTTCGTGGATTCGTTCCTGTCCAAAAACGTTGGAAATGGACAGGAAGAGCTTGCTTCCTTTCCAAGACAAGCCAAAACGCTCGGAGAGAACCAACAACAAGCGACAGAGCCCTTACCCAAGCCGCAACGCCAACCAGGTCCGGTGTGTTTCGACTGTTGCTAGCTTGCGCTGCCGCCGCAGCCACTGCGTGTTGCGCAGCTTGGTGCTGCGCCGCAGCCACCGCCGCCGCCTGCAAAACGTTGTTTCGATTCGTTGTCGAAAATTGTTGCAGACAACAAACTTCTCGCTGCATGATGGCGATACATTTTCATACTCGAGAAGTTTCAAACCTTGATCATGGCATGCTACACTGCTGAATTATGAGCAGAAAAAACTGTTCAAGAGCCGACCAGCTTTGTTACACATACGACACACGAGTAGAAAAGTAGATATGTAAGGTGCGTTATGACGGAGAAATGTGGGGCTCGGCTACGTTAACCCTCTCAAACGCTGCTTCGCCATTTATTATGGAAAAAAACTTTCTTTGCAAACTTTGCCTGCCAGACGTAGAGTAGAGAATTCCGCTAAAATTGTTAAAATGACTCGCTATACAATATTCCCCCCCCCCCCCCTCCAAAAAAGCGAGGAGTTTAGATGTACACATTTTTGTACATAGCGTTCAAAGGGATTAAGTCCATTGCCGAAGCTAGTAAAGCACTTTGCTTAGGGATAAGCAGGGTTAGGGCTGCTTGAGGAATTTCTATGCTGTGCTGTTAGGAGCCTATTGTAAAGACACATGTCAAAGCCATATAGGCAAGGCAAGGTTCCAGCCAAGTTAAAAAAAAAAAAAAAATTAAGCAATGCAAAAAAACAAAAAAAAAGGTTTACGAAGAGACAGTTTTTCCCTAAAGGCAGTAAAACCACTGGCTGACATGTAGGGCTCGCAACACTGGCTGGGTGCAGCAAGCCATCAGCAAGCCTCAAAAAGTCCCAAGGACCACCCCCCCCCCCCTTCTACCTTGTTGCCAACCGATAATACTGGGCAATTAAGGTGTTTAGATAGTGAACAAAGTTAATTGCACTGACAGAATATGACAAGACAGAATAAGAAGGCAGAGGGGTTAACCGTGGGCACAATGTAATATATATATATATATATGTATGTATATATACCGTATTTGCACGAATATAACGCAAGTTTTTTTTTTTTTTTTTCGGAATTACGCGTTCCGAAACGCACCTCGCGTTATATTCGGAATAGAGTTCAGCCACGAGGCGCGAGAGTCTGGAGGGAAAAGAAGTGGGGATGTGGAAGGGAATTTATTAGCTTTTGGGCCACGTAAAAAGGCAAATAGAAAACATAAAAAAAAATAGCATTTTTATCACTTTTGTGACAACACGCGCAGGCCGCAGAAACTCAGCGCACGCGCCATGCCGGAATGCCGGCACAGGCCAATTGGAGCCAAGCCAGGCCAAGTTAAGTCAACACAAGTCAAGCAAAGACCACCGACGCGTTCACGCAATCGTGCGACAGGAGGTGCTTATTTATGCAGAGGGACCAGAACAAGAAGTGTGACCCTGTATCCGGTTCAGCAGTATTCCTTCTGCCTGCACATTTCTTAGTTTCTGTTCTCACTTCTGCTATGCCGCCCAGTGCGAGAAATTGAGAAATTGATGCGGCCTCGGCTCCCGTTATAATAGTAATATATTTTTTTCTTTTTGAGGGCATCAAAACCTGCCCTCGTGTTATATGCGTACAAATACGTATATACAGTAAAACCTCGTTATAACAAAGTTGAAGGAGCGGTCGTAATTATTTCGTTATAACCATTAGTTTGTTATAGCCAATGTCCATTTCTTCCCACTATTAGCAAGCAAGGGGAATTATGATTGCTTTGTTATATCCATTAGTTTGTTATATCCCGTTTTGTTATAACGAGGTTTTACTGTACATACATATTAGTGGGAACGGTGCCCGCAACACCAACTCAGTCTGTGGAAGGTTAAACTAAGAGGGGGGGGGGGGGGGGGGGGGGGGCACTGCAATTTGGGGTGCTCGCAGAACCTATGAGGCCAGCTTGCGGAACACTTCTGTTCTGGGGAATCCAGTTTGAGAGCCCCTGATCTAAGGGTTTGGTCATACTCATCCATCCACTTTAGTGAACAGCATTTAAACGAGCTAAAACAGAATTTAAACATGCCAATCAACACCAAGGTAATGGTAACAAGCGGTAAATACAAACAGCCTTACACAGAACACGGGGAGAAGTAAAGCAAGTACCTGTTGCTGCTGTTGCTGCTGCTGTTGTTGTTGCTGTTGGTGATGATGGTGGTGATGGTGATGATGGTGGTGGTGGTGATGGTTGCTCAACGTCATCTTTCCAGACGACGTCATGGCCAGCGTCTGCCCCGGGTTGCCCATCATCGTAGGGGCGGACCTCGGAGGTGGAGGGGGTGGGGCCAGGGGAACCCCGCTCCTTGGTGCGGATCCACCCACGGTAGGCGTAGCTCCACCCACGGTGGGCGGGGCGACGGTGGGGGTCGGCTTCGGGGTGGGCGGAGCTTCCCTCTGCAGCAGTTGGCTTTGGCGTACCTTCTTGAGCAGCACCAGCTTCATCTCCTCGTTGCGGAGTTCTTGGCGCAGGCTACGCACTAAGGCCCTGAGGGAATAGGAGATGTCATTACCACTCTATTACCTGCACGAGTTTCTAGGCCTGTGGTCTATTCTGTAAAACATTTTGGTAGTTAAATACTAATCGAGATGTTTCTACGGGCATTCTCAATGCGAACACTTCGGACTGCTGCCTAGACTATTAAACATCGTCATTCAAATGAAAACTGTTTGGTTAATATGTGCAATTTGGTTCGACATGCATCAGACAAATAAACCGATTCTACGCAAAAATGGCTGCCACATCGTCTATAATACCATACTTAGTGCTTTGTACTTGTGAACCCCGAAACACCTTAGTGTTCAGAAGTGTGTTGTTTCCTAACGTTTCACTTGACAATTATTTTGTGCACAGTGAGTTGTGCAAGACTACTCCCACCAAAATGAGGGTGACCTTGCTTCAACCGGCCTGTACCATCCCGTAATAAGCCTCCAATAAAAATTTATCATGCAAGCTCACATTACATTTAAAAATTGTAAACACACTACAGCCAAGACCGTCGTTCTAGGTTGGCAATTCCTGGGCAGAATTTAGGTTAGAAGCCGTGACTATACTGGCTTGATAGTCTGGCCCGCGTCGATAGTAGTTTTGTCAAAATCTAGACACTCATATGCATGCACGCACCAAGGCATATAATAGCAACCTAGGTGCCCTTAGGGGGCGCCCAGCTTTTCAAAGACCCAGAGATCAGAAAATCAACAAGCTTAAAACCGGCAGCCCTTCCAAGATCAGTTGGTCGCAGGGCAGTACCGTAAAATACGGAGCAAGTGCCCACCCAAAATTTGGAGATAGTAGCGAAAAAAAACTGGGGAAGGGCACTTGTCTGGTCATAAATTTTACATATAAACGTACTGTGCATATTTTCTCACATGTTACAAATTTGCAAACTGGCGCTTAGTATAGAATGGGCGGATGCACGGCATTCTTTCTACGGTAAGGTGTGGATCAAGGCTATCAACAGAACACACAAAAGTAGAACTGACAATTTTCACAGCATTCATAATTACGCTTTTCGAGCTTCCAGAAATGAACTTGGCAAACTATCGCAGAAACCCAAGATCACCGGAAAGTCTCAGAAAAAGCTTCCAAGCCCCTAAGACCGGTGACTTCGCAACAGAGGGCTATCAAACGTCTGCTTGCTCATCTCCCGGAACAACCTCGGGTCCTGCCATTCGGTAACGCCGGATAGTGAGGATCGTCCATCGTCCTGTGTAACCAACACCTCCCAGAACAATCAAAGCCTGTGAACAGCCAGCCCCCCTTCCGCGCAACGTCATTGGGGCCAAGCCCGTACGGACTCCCGACTGTCTTAGGTGGCGCTTGCACGACGACCCCGGACAAACCGTGTCGCCGGCCGTACCTGCGGGTGAGCAGCTCCTGCTGGGAGAGGGGTGGGCCCTGCCAGGCACCGTTGAGCAGGCGGTGTCCGTTGAGCCGGGACGCGTTGTCCTCGTCCGAGAGCACTATCACGTCTTCGGGACCCAGCCGCTGGGGGCCCCCGGCCTTCCGCCGGCCCCCCGGGGCGCGGCCCCCCGGGATCACCGCGTCCGCCACCGGCAAGAGGGGTGGCCCCGCCGCCAAAGGCTCCTTCCTGCGTCGCCACGGACGGAACGACAGCGCAATCCCACCGTCAGTGCATGCGAGCATTTAAGGGGGGAACGCTACCAGGAAAAGTGAACTTCTGTGCCGCTTGCTTGATTTCAGTCAAATTTGCAGTGGAAGTTTTTTTAGAATCAAGACCATTCCTGCCGAATTTCATTGTCCTACGTCAATTCTGAAACTTGTTACGAATGCTACAATATGAAAGTCAGCGTGTTCGTTTAGGAAAACTATTGTTTCAAAATAATACTTTCGTGATTTCTATGGGTAATATAGTCATAAGAACAGCCACAGCACATACTGAGGTAGCTATTTTGCTATATTGCACTGTTTTTCATTAGTATAACTCCGTAAGATGAAAATATTTTTTCATGTCCACTTTTTTTACAAATGAAGTTTTTTTAGCATAAAAGAATGTTAAAGTAGAAAAACTAACCAGCCATGCATGTTCCTCACAAAATTCTATCCCAGAAAACCACCAAGAATAAATCTATTGTGCATTAGCAAAACGACAGTTTTCCTAAAGTGAAATTTATCAAGAAAAGTGGAACGAAGAAAAATTCATTCAAAGTGTTCCAACCCCTACCTTTTCTTTTGCATCGGTGGACCGAAAATAATTTATAAAATATTAACTATGCAGTGTAAACTAATGAAACATCATGGGCATACTCTCTAGGTGTTGGTGGATGTAAATACGGCATTTTTAGAGCGCAGCTCTCAGGGGCGCGTTTCCGGCTTGAGCGACATCGGCGCAATCGCGAGGTCACGTGTCCCTCCCAAGGTTACGTGCCCCCCCCCCCGCCCCAAGGTCACGTGACCCCCCCCCCCCCCCCCCCCCTGAGGTCACGTGACCGCTTCCATCCTCCTCCTCAAGAGCTGCGCTCTAATCCGGCGTTACAGGGAATTGTAAACGGCTTTCATTTTTTAAAATCAACTTCGCTTGCAGACATCGTTTTTTCTGGGTAGTGTACCCTCCCCCCCTTAAACGAAAAAGTGCAAACTCTCCCCCCACCCCGACGGTAAGGACGGCGCATGAAAGGACACTTTGTCGTATGTGTGCCGACCTGTACATGCGCCTTGTTGCAAGTTTGTTGTGTTCCAAATGTGTTGTCCCGTGCATGTCCTACTACTGCATGTGCCTTATAAGTGCATCATCCTGTGGGTGTGCCTCCTGTATGTGTGTTGTCTTGTGTGTGCCCTCTTGATCACATACATAGTCCTGTATTTGTATGTTGTTGCGTGTGTTGCTCTGTATGTATGCCTCGTAGGATGCATGCTGTGAGTGTGCCTTGTAGCGAGTGTGTTGTCCTGTGTATATGTCACTGTGTGTGTCTTGCCTGTGTGTTGTCCTGTTTTGTATGCCTCGTGCGTGTTGTTCTCTTTGTGTGTGCATATTTCGGTGTTTGTTGCGCTGTGAGCGCCTTGCGTGTGTGCTTTCCTGCACAGAATAGATCTCTTTCAAGAAACCTAGAACCCACCGCCAGCTGATGTGTCTTGGTGATCTCTCGCCCAGCAAAGCGTGTGAGTGGACCCGAATATGAAGCCAAGCACCCACCGACACAATACAAGGCATTTTACGCAAACACTTTCCATTAGTGATAGAAGTGCAGAATTAAAATACGGTACCACGAATAATTAGCACAGCTTCCACACTAGGTGGCATACATTTGTGTAAAACACCCATCACACCAGCCTCCGTTGGAAGCAACATTTTCCCGAAAGCGAGACAAAACGGGCACCCACCTGACCGAGAGGTCTTCCACCTCCATGGCGTCAAGAGAGGGGACCGGACGTTCCGGCGCCTCGAGACGTTTCCTGCACGTAACAGACGATTCACCCCGTGTCATTTCTGGTCCTGGAGCCCGAGAGTCTAGGCACTCGAACACGGGCAAATCCGCGCCGGGAGTCTAGGTCACAACTCGGTAACTGTCTTGCCATGGGGTTACTCCCGTCTATACCATATACCTTTCGCTACACCAATCCTACATTAAAGGGGGCCCTGCAACGACTTTCTTTACTGGTTTTTAATTTGCACCGAACCTGAGCGCACTGAACGTAGTAACTTAATAAAACTTTCCTTTTTTCGAATTTCGCTTTATTTTAAAAGTTATAGGCAAATTTAAAATTACAAAAACAAGCAAAAAATAACCTCCTTCATGACGTCCCTGGTTGCTTGAGTGGCCGTGAACTAGAGGAGGGGTAGTGAGCTCAGCGAGCGCTCACGGCTGCCGCGCTCCGTGTCGACACTCCAGAGGACGCCACTAAAGCATGTGCTGGATAGGCTGTATGAAGCGAGCGGCCAGAGCGGCTCGCATTGCATTTGCGGTGTGATTAAACACTAATTCGGCATGACACTTCATTGGCCACAAATGAAAGCAAACACGGGGTAAAGATCAGTTCAGAACGGGAGCCACTTTGTGCTGCTATACCGCCAAACCTGCCCACCGAAGAAGTCGAAGGCCTTCGGAACGCTCGAAACCGGTCGGATCCTCGACCGCAGTGCCCACACATCCGGGACCTTTTTACGCTCGCCACTCGTTGGAGACTGATCCCACTACCCCTTTTTAGTATGTGCCACCTTTTCCACCGCTTGGTGGCAGGTATGTGACGGGTCATTTCTTGTTTCCGTACTTAATAAACTGCATTTGTTGCTTTTCTGACCTAAAATACTGAACAAAAACTACTTTCGTAAATAATTTAAACTGTTCGTGCCACTTATATTTTGTATTTCGACTAAAAAAAGCTTTTAGCAGCTCTCACCAGTAGTAAGGCCAGGACCAAAAATGGATGTCGTCACATATCGCGCGTTTTCGGCACCGCGGGTCGCCCCCATAGGTTAAGGAGGTTTTTGCGTCGTCCGGTTAAAATGTGACGCACTGGTATTTAGTTACTTTCTCCGTGCCCGCTGGCTTGTCCGAACCCCAAAAACTCTTGAATATAATTGCAGGGAAGCCTTTAAGGTTTGTTTCTTTTCCTACCCTGGAGCTACACAAACACCTCGAAACTTTTAGGCACGGCGTCTCAGTTGAATGCGCTGCCTCCAACACGTGCTCGTTGCCTTCCGCTGTGCTATGGCTGTTTGTGCACACTCGAAACTCGAGCACCGAAGTGTTATGGACGGCAAAAGGCTCGTACCAGAGGCAGGACCACTCGAAGACCTCCTTGTTCTCATCCTGTCGGTGCCTACAGACGCACTGTGGGCAACTTATGTCCCAGCAAACTTCCGGTCAAACGAGACGGCAAACCAGCCCCCACCATAGCACCGCTTCTCGCAGCGTTCATGAAATATTTTACGACCAGTTCTCCAGGCGATTAGCTAAAGGGCCAATTAGCTAGATACATTGGAAATTTTTTAATACTTCCGTAAAACGACAGATTCTCTCTTATCCCTTTTACGGTGCAGCAGAAAGACCTCGCCAGATCCCCAACTCTGCGATTTCCGTAGAACTAGAGAACTTCGTCGTCCCAAAAATATTGACGTCGAGAGGTTCGGAAAACAGAGTGACCGGAAGTCTCTCCGAGGGCAAGAGATGGCTCGCGTACGTAAACGGTGAAAGGGTCTACGGTGCAAATGCAATGTCGACGCTCTTCTCCCCTTTGCAAGGACGGCATGACGAGCGACCCCAATCTTTACTCCTCGAGTTGGCGCCTTGAATAAGAACTTTCCAAACATTCCACTAGCTTTCGAACGTCTTTCGCTTGCAAGAGAAAGAAGGGAGATACGGACGACCGTCTAATTCGACCAACTCCGTCGCGCTGTGCGAATCTCTCATAAATGAAGGCCACGCTCTATTCCACATTCAGTCTGGTCGCAGCCAAAGCTGCGATACGACGGAGCCGATTGAGCGGCGCTCAAAGGTGCATCGTCGCGGTGCTAATCGTCTTTGTGTGTCTGCCATCATTGACCCGAGCAATGGTGCGACGGAAGGCGCAGGATCATGTTGCGTTAACCGTGCGTGATCGGTTTAAAGGGCAACTCCACTTAATTTTTGGTTTTGAAAAAACAATGCAGTCCTCTTTAGTATCGCCTAGGAAGACCACACACCAAAGATTACGACGCAGTTCTGTCTAAATGTCCCTTAAACGGTCCGACAAACTTTACAACTCGCCCAGCTGCCGAAATCGGCTGACTCGAGCGGGCAAATACAGGCGCAACCAACAGCGCAGTCATGGTTACGGCATGGGCGTAGCCAACATTGAGCTAAACGTCATACCCATCGCCCCCTTTTGCTTGCTTTTACTTCTCCGGGCGAGCGTAGCAGATGACGTCAGCAACGGTTCCTCTCGGCGCTCAGCAGTGTCCATGTGATTGACGTAACGCGCCTGCGCAGTGCGTCCGGCCGCCCAGACGTAATCTTGCTGTCACTGCCATCTCCCGCGTCACAATCGCCTTTGCGTCTCACTGTTTGTGATTATTGTCCTTCAGAATTTCGTCTACACTACGGACACCACGTGCGCAGGATTATTATGCTGCAGTTGTGCAGAAGTCGTCGAATGTCGTAGACACCAAAACGCGGTGAAGAGTGTGGTGCAGACGACACTTGCGCCTGGCATACGTCCGCCCCAATCCCGCCCGTCGTTGCGTAGAGGATCACGTGACACCTCGCACCGCGTGATGGCTATGTTCTTGGCGATCCGAGGCCCATGTTGCCGGACGGAGCCGAAGTTTCGGTTTCGACTTCCGCTCGTGTTTAAAATTAGATTTAAGAATATATATCCCATTTTTCGCGAAGCAAACGACGTAGTGTCTTTTACTAGGGTCTTTTAATGCGAAATCCTCATTACAGCGAAATCTTTGGAGTTGAGCGGAGTTGCCCTTTAACAATGATAACAAGCACGCAAAGATGGTGAGCACCGCGACGACACACTTTCTCTGCCGCTCGACTGGCTCAGTCGGATTTTAGCATTAGCTGCGGTAGGACTTAATCCGAAACGGAGTATAGACCGCATCGCCTACTGCACTAAACCGCCCAACCTAAATCTTGTGCGGTGGCTTCCGTGGTCTCGACAACTGTGTTATGCGAGCCGTACCAAAAACAGCTTTAGAGGGGCCGTAGACGTCCAACGAAACAATGACGTTGAATGCGCCAAGGAACAAGGCCGGGCCGCCTTCTCTGGTCAGCAAGCCGAAACGGGAGTAAGAAAAAAACGGAGCCAGGCTAAACGATTTTTGTCACACAGGTGGAATTCTCTGGTAGTGTTGCCATTAAAAAGCTTAACCTGAAAGCTTCTCATATTCCTCCAAATTAACGAGTGCAATTAAAAAAATAAAATCAGCCGTCCCTGTGGCGTGTTCCAAAGCCGTGCTAAATGCGCAGCACTCATAGGCCCTTTGTGACGCGACGACGTCGCGCTATGTTACGGTGTCGCATCATAACGTCACCCATGTTGCGGTGTCATGTAAGATCACTCGAATGACCGTTCAGAAAATGTGGTCACGTCACTATAGACGCAAGGCCACCCGGCCTTGCGACACTGTGACAATACAATGTCACAATGTAACTTTTTGGTGCAACCCGACGTCACGATCTGACCCACCGACCTCGTGTCATGGCGTCAACGATGGCCCTAGAGTTCCTTTCTCTAAATCTCGTCGCCGCCCCAACACCTCAAGGTCGGAGGCTGACTGCCGCGAACACCACGACATCACCAACAAGGTAACATCCCGGGCACAAACGTGAAAACCCTAATGGCTGATCCTACGAACGGTATGCATTTTAAGACCCCGGCCGGGCGACGCGAGCGGCCCGACTTAAAGGGGGGGGGGGGGGGGGGGGGGCTCTCTCCCGCGCGGCACAGGTGCCCCACCTGATGTCCAGGGGTCTGCTCGAGGGGCGGGGCGCCTCCGTCCGCCCCAGAAGGCCCCGGTGCAGCCACGTGGACTCCGTGGTCGCTGCGCCTCACTGCTGGCCACACGCCAGACGCGCCAGTTCCCTGGCATTCATGCTTCCGCCACCAGGGGCGCCGCCTGTGGTCTCATAGAGCCTGCGAGAAAAAAAACGACCCCTCAATCGACCGCACCCGCCGCGCGTGGATACGCGCTGTGGTAAGACCCCACAGTTCGCTCTCAATGTCGCGAATTTAAGGAGACTGATGTTATCGCCGGCCGGTTCACACATTCGTGACTGCTTACGACCGCATTACTAAAACTTCTTGTGATGAGAGAGCACGCTGGCGCCATCTATCGGGTAGTTGTTGTCTCGTTGGACCATCACTCAATTTTCATACTTTTTTTTTTTTACACATTTTTTTTTGTTTGAACTATGTTTGACATTGTTATATACAACCATTTCCCAGAAAAACACTTGAAATGCAGTTCCAGGGTCAACTTGTAGATGGCCGCAAGTGTGTTCTCTCGTAAGAAATCGCAAGAACTCGTTCGTAAGCAAACGCAAGTGTATTAATGTGTCTTCTTTCCTAGCACACTAATGATGAGAACATTCGAGGCGAAGCATGTTTTTGTTGAGAGGATGCACCCCGGCGCTGACGTCAATTGGGGAAACGAAGCAAAACAGACGGTACCATAGCTTTTTGTCTCGTTCGTCCAAGGTTCTGAATCCAAGCCACGCTCTTAGCTTGTCCCCCCGAAAAACATTCCTAGTTTGGAAATGTAGGGGTCGTGGAATCGATGCCAATTTTCGCAAAAGAAAGTTGCATTCTCTCGGAACCCATTTGGATACTATTGTGTTCGACAAGTTGAGGAGTTATTTGGGGTAACAATGAAGTACCAGTGTTTAAACGGTCAAGATGTCTACTGTGTGATGGCTGCTAGGGGTTTTACCCAAGAACCTCAACGGTCCCCGCACATTATTCGATACGGTGGAACTACCTGGGAACATGCACGTCCTGCACCTGCCATGTACAGTACCAAAAATATAAATAGTATTGAGTGCCATCACGCGGGTCACGGCTTGTAACCCTTTCTGCAACCGTTGCCTTAAGAGTAAGTGCAAGCATAGAATGTCTCATGAGCTCCACTATATGAATTATATGAGCCACTTTTCTTTTTCTTCGGGTGCTATTGTGTAAGCCTGCACTGCAGGGCTGATATCAATGCAAACAGTGAAGTGCTCACTTTCATAAGCATATGTAATCAGGTGGCACAAAGGTGGCAATCAAATGTGAGCCATATGCGTTGTTCAGTAGCACTGACATGCGTGGCACCATAAGGTGGCTTCAGTTTGGTTGGTTTCGGTTTCAGTGGGCTCGCGGCTGTGTTATGCTGTTTTTTTTAGTTTTGTGATATAAATGTATCCTTTGTGGTACAGAGCCAATGATACAGTGGTAATGGTCCACCTTGAGAACTATGACGTAGTTAGGAGCCTGAACTGTGGACGTTTTTACTAACATCTTCATCTGATTGTGTTCTTCGTTTGGTCAATTTCGGCGGCGAAACGATTGAAATGATGCCGGGGAAGGATTGCGGATGTCTATGGCCGTACTGGACGTACCCGCTAAAAGTAATTTCTACGAAAATAGACAAATGAAGATACTAATGCATAGGGGCAGAGTGAAAAAGCAGGTCAACGAGCTGACTAACGATGTACTGAATCGCAGAGAACAGATAAACTCGTTTAGTGCTCACTGTTCGGTTTGCAAGGACACCAATGTTTTGTGAAAATTGCCGACCGGAAAACCCCCCTGTAATAACGCATGGAATGCAAAAAAAAACAAGGAATATTGTCTCCTTCAATTTCTTTAAAGAAATTAAGTACTCGAGAGATGTTTCGATGGTCCATCCAAGGATGAATAGGAAATTTTTTTCAACTATCAGCGTCGAGAGTAAATCTGGCATCGACAACGCTGTACTCGAGTGATTTTCATGCAGACAGCTTATTTTCGACGTCACATATTGCGTAACTCAGACGCTTTCGTCAGGCACTCACAAGCTCTCCGACGTTTTTCACGAGGGGAGCCCAACCCTTTGTGTCTAAATAAATTAACTGAATTGGATATGTTAAGAAAATTTAATGACTGCAGACGTGAGACCGAACACAATGTATAGCATCTTTAAATTCCTAAATAAATAAATCACGCAAATGTTTATACCGCAAAAATGAGTCCTCCATATAATCAAAGTTTTGGATTTGTTATGAAGGCAGAGCACGATGCTTTCAGAAAACAGAGATCATAAATGCCTGATCATACTGTAAAGTACCGGGCAAGCACCCACTGAAAATTTGGAGATAATCGTGAAAAAATGGATGGGCGCTTGTCCGGTCCTCAATTTTACGTATCAATGTACTGTGCATATTTTTTCAGATCTTACGAATTTGGGCACGGGCGCTTAATGTGGAATGGGCGGATGCGCGGTATTCTACGGTAAATATACTTTGCGCTTCTTCTTGCACCACTATCAGTTAGCCACTGTCATAAATAATTGGCCTCTCAACCTTGGTGCGTTTTAGAGCCATCCACATACTCAACGTGCGCCAGTGCTAATGCCGATTCCTTTCCTCACACATATCCGGAACGCTGACGGTGCAAATAGTCAAAACGTGTTATAACATCAAGTGCAGAAGTTGTGCACATGATGATGGCATGCAGTTGGGTAGTAAAGTTAAGTATCTGACGACGCCTCACAAAGCAAAGCAAAGAAGTGCGGTAAAACATGACCAAAAACACAAATACGCCTTCACCAAGGTCCGGAGGGGAGAGAGGAGCGACGATTTGAAGCTACCTTATGGCGGCCGCGTCATGTGATTGCAAAATGGCGGTGCCATGCGACGGAGGATGAAAAGGTCTACAACAGCAAGCGAAGCTGAAGCTACAAACACAAGCAAGCTGCCTTGAGTGGTACTTTCAGTGTCAGGGCACACAATACAGGCACGAAAAGACTAAGTTTGCAGGCCAGCTGGTGGTATGTCCTTCGTTCGTTTGGCATGTATATCCCCCATGCCAAAAAGCGCTGACGTCATGTTCGCGCTAAGTGTCAGTGCACATAAATACATGTACGAAGCCGCTTTTGGCACCTCTTGTAATCAAATAAATCGGAAAGAAAAACGCTGTAACTGACTAATTATTTAGTCTGCCTGACTGAGAAATGCTCCAAGCTACCCAGTATGTACGAATTATTCGGGATATTTGCTCTTATAATTGAGTCCAAGGAGAAAATGCACTCACTTTTCCCCATCAAAACAGATTACCGGAAGTAAATCTTCAACTGGGTACTGTTTGCTTCAATTCGCCGCAGCAGACTAGTGGCATTTGAAGCTCTAGCCAACATTTTAACTCTATGCTTCCAGTATGGGCAAAAACATTGTTTTGCCGTTGCCACGCCAATAGAAGACACCACCCATTCTCGTTTTACCTCACCTCTATTTTTTTTTTACTGTTTGCAGGTTGAAATGTTTTATTCATTTTCTGCCGCCAATACCGGATATGTCTACCAGGTGGCTGGGGAGGAGTAATCAAAAAAAGGTCTGTACATCTACCTAAAGACTCTGAATGCAATAAGGGCGTGTACGAGTACACAAAAAATATGCTCAAGGGGTAACTAAATTTCATATGTTGTGATAAACAAAATGTTAAAACTCGTGCCTTTCCGTTTTTGCAAACTTTGCAAAGCCTGTATCAGTTCAAATATTTAAATCTGCAATACAAGGTTACAGCAGAACCTAGGCGCCCAAACAAGAAGGTATTCAGTCAAAAATAGGAACACAACAAAAAAAAAAAAACAACAACAAAGTGCCGCAAGAAAAAGGCGCTGACACAAAAAACCAAGAACGCTGATGGCTGCCCAAAAGCAACTTGCACCGACTTAGATTCCAAAGACACAAATCGTGCCCTCCCAACCCCAAAGCCAAACAAGAGCCTGGATTGCAAGCTCTGCCATACTGAGTCATACCGCGTTTCGAGAGAGCGATTGGACTTTAAATTCGAAGTGGAGATACGTCCCTTCTTTATCTCCCCGTGGCACACACATTCTTTCTTTTTCCATAGAGGCGGATAACTACACCACGCTCGAGTTGACCACGCTTTCCGAGATTTGCAAGCAGCAAGAAAAAATTGCCCGATAAGGCTGGAGCTTGGAAGCGAGGCTCAGATAGCCGATCGAAAGCACGATTTACGAGGAGGGGGGGGGGGGGGGGGGGTGCGCAAGCAAAAACAGACTGTTTTTAAGCATCATATAAACTAACTATGCACTACTGAGAGTCCAGACCCTGCCAGTATTTTAATGCTAGTGACTGCCGTGGCATAGTTCCAGAATTTATCAGTTTCAAATGACAGAAGCGATTCCCTAGCACACTGATGAGTGAGAGGATGAGGAGATATCAGTCTCAAAACAATAGTTAATCGAAGTGCCCCCCTAAGTGGTGCTACCTCCCAATAAAACTGCCGAGAGCTGCATTTCTTCGAGCACTTCAAGGTCGATAGAGGATGGAGAGTACTTGGTAAAAATAAGCAAAACCACAGCGCATGCCACGGGATCAAAGTCGCCACAAGAGGTGCAAGCGTTCGAGGTAGAGGCAACAAATGGTGTCGCTAGTCACTCGGGCAGCCACAAGGGTTTCAAGAGACAGACACGCAAAGGTCTTGCTTTGTCCCTGCGTTAGTGATGCATCTTATAAGGGACACCAAACAGTAATATATGTTTCGAGTGTGATTCACCGCAAAAATGATAGACGAATAGCCTTGTTCCACTGTAGAGTCAAGAGTAAAAGTCACCCAAACAAGCCTGCCTCTTTGCGCGATTGATTAGGACGCAAGTAGCTGATAAATTAAAGAAAACCAAATCCAGCTTGTTTCTCAACATCGTCGCTGTTGGATAGGAAACATACCTTCAAGAGGGGTGTGTAACCATGCTTACATTGTGTCTGGTGCTTGAACCATCTACACTTGTTTTCCCCTCAAGAACCATGGTAAAAAAAAGTGTTTCATCA